AGGTAACTAGAACTTCGTTATACTAGGATCTTATCGATAATACTTACTCTTTAACGCGGAAAGTAGCGTTATAGTAACGTAGTATAGATTTAATAGAGTCTCGTTAAAGCTAAACGGTTTCTTACGTAGTATTATAGTAATATAGTATAGATTTAATAGAGTCTCGTTAAAGTTAAACGGTTTCTCGCGTCGGCCGGGGTCTTTTAGGGGAGCGCCTTAGCTACGTCGGCGGTGGAGTAGGAGGCGCTTGCTCTTATCTAGGTCGTTTCGGTGACGGAGTGGCAGGCGGCGGCGTCTGCGCAGCGAATCGGGATTAAGCAATAAATCGGGATTGAGCTTCACGGCGGCGGGTTCGGTCTTCGGCGCGCTGCAGGAAGCTATTAAGTAGGTGGCGGTGAAGAGTGGCTGGAGAGCGCACGGGGCATCATGCGGTCCGTGTTTTAGGAGGGGGAAGGGCGCGGAAGAAGGATCCTTTCGTCTCTTCGTTCCTTAAGGCAAAGATCCTTTCGTCACGTCGTTCCTCGTTCCTCAAGGCATAGGAGACCGGTCCCTGTAAGGGAATGTGAGGGAATTACGTCGGGATCGGGATTAGTCATGCGGTCCCAACCGATTGTCGAATTAAAGTGTGGGTCGATTCTAGACAGGAGACTGGTCCCCTATAGGGCCCGCCAATGCCTTTTCGGAACGAGCTTAAGAGCTTAAGAAGCAAGGCGGCTGCCTTATAAAATAAAAGAATAAGTCTAATATAAGCACTTGTCTTATAAAGCCTAACACCTACCGAACACATGCGTATTTATATATTAGGTAGGTGGCGATAAAGCTCTAGGTAAGTATCGCGTATTAGCCTTAGGGTTATAGGCGATTATAGATACTCTTTTAGGTGTCTATTTAAAGGGAAAGGAGAAAAGGAAAGAGTAAGCCTAGGTGCCGAGCAGTGAGCTATATAATAGGCGCTAGTAGCGTCTGCGAGCGACCAGTCTTTTACTTTTTAGGGTTTATAATACTACGTATAGGCACTAGCTTATAGCTAGACCCCGCGTTTAATAGCATTGCAGTCTAACGCCGTTTATAACCTTATTTCTTTATATGTTTAATCTTAAATCCTCCTCTAGTTATAATAATAAAACGCTCTTTACGACTATCGATTACTTAAGATAGAATAATATAGCTATATATTCTGTGCTAAAATTTTCGCCTCTACTGCCTATAGCCGAAGTATTACCTAGCACCCGCTCTAGCTGCCCTATAGTTAATAGGGTCAGTTATATCCGCAATAACTACCGGTAGTCTCTACGCTAAGCTTCTTACGGCTCCTGCTTTTATAATTAATAATAATAGAACCTTTAATATTATCCTATAATACACCCTTATAGTTTAGAATCCATGGCGATAGGGGAAAAGGGATTTACGTATGTCTATAGCTTAATTAGCGACATACCTAGCTAAGTAAGCACTACCCGTGCCACGCCCTATAAAGGTAGTGCGAGTTCTACGAGTAATAATAAAATAGGGCGTAGCACGGGTAGTCGAACGTCGGTGTTTATTACTTAGCTATATAATATAATTTATTATTATTAAATTATACGCTAGGGGCCTAGGATAACGTAATCTACCCCCTTCCCGGTTAGACCCCCTACTCGGTTAGAAAAACTCCCCACCGCCGCGACCTATACTTAAGGGATTTCCCGGTGATCTGCCGGATCGGGCGATTCGCCGGATTCACCGCCAGTTCACGTCTCCACTTCAATCCTGAATTTCTCCACCACCATGGCCCCGATTGATGAAGCGCTTGAGTTTCTGAAGCTGTGTGACACTGTTAACTATGCCAAGACTGCGCGTCAGTTCAATTGCGACGAGACTACCCTGCGACGGCGACACCAAGGCAAACAGAGGTCAAGACGGGATGCCGACAGTTTGTATAAGTCACGTCTCTCAAAACAGCAAGAAAGGGATCTTGTTGCGTATATTCGCAAGCTTTCATCACGTGGGATTCCGCCTACGCTGCCGATGATCAAAGAAGAGTATTCTCTGTTCGTGCCAAGAAGCAAGGAAAATTGATCGGTGCTGCGCAGGATGGCAACAGATCATGGATCACGTTCCTGGCATGTGTCTGTCAAGACCTGACCGCGCTACCCCCGTTTCTCATCTACCAAGGCAAGCCAGGGCAAGTTCAGGACTCCTGGCTCACGGAGTTTGATCCGGAGCACCAAGCGGCGTTTTTCACAACCTCAGAAACGGGTTGGACGAACCATGAACTTGGAAAGGAATGGCTCATTGGTGTTTTCGACCGGTTCACGAAAGAAAAGGCGCGAAACGGCCGGGATTACCGCCTCCTGATTACCGACGGACACTCTAGTCATGTCAATATGGACTTCCTGGAGTGGTGTGACCAGCATCGGATAATCGTTGCCGTGTTTCCGCCGCATTCCACGCACAGGCTGCAGCCCCTTGATGTGTCCCTTTGGCCCTCTTTCGACCGCATACACCAACCAGCTCATCCAGTGGACTGCAAAGACACAGGGACTCATCGGGCTATCGAAACGCGAGTTCTGGTCGTTATTTTGGAACGCATTCGGGTCATCTTTCTCGGCGGAGAACATCGCAAGTGGTTGGAAACGGACCGGACTCCTCCCATTTGACCCTGAAGTCGTTTTGTCGCAGATCGCGGAGAAAACAGAAGATGAGTCTGAGTCTGGCGACAGCTCCGTTGACTCGCTCGCCCTGCAGCAGCCCACTGCTCGGGATTTGCGCCGACTTGTCGACAAGGTAGTCGATGGATCCTCAAAAACGCTAGCCGAGACAGTCGGAAGCTCAAAGTACTCTCGAAAGTCTCCAATCTCAGAACGAATTGCTTCGATATGAGAATCAGGGACTTCGGGAGACTATATTTCACGAAAAGCAGCGCAGAATGCGCGGTAAAGCTCTGAAGGATTACCTTTTCGATCGTGTAGATCCTAACTCGGCGCAGGTATTTAGCCCTGCAAAGTGGCCCAAGCGCGCTTGAAGAAAGCAGCCATGGAGACTCAGAAGCAAGAAGAGGCCTTGGAGAAAGAACGACAAAGGTTTGAGCGACAGCAAAGGCGGCAAACCTCAAAGTTCTCGCTCTGGAGAAGAGAAGGCAGCGGGAGGCAAAACTGAGCAAAGACGTCAGGCAAAGGAAGCCAGACAACAAGAGCGGGAGAAAAACAGGCAGATACGGAAAGAGCTCAAGCGAAAGAACCAGAAAAAAATGTCGGAAATGGGATCCGGACCCTCTGTTGCTCCACAGACTCGCGAGAAGAGTCCGGGCGTTCGAGACGAGATTGTCGTCGCCATTTCGGCTCCACCAGAACCGACGACAGCTCCGGAACACTCAAAATCGCCAAACATTAAGTTGCGTAAAGATCCAAAGCCGGCATTGACCACTTCCTCACGTCCCAAAAAGCCATCATTGGCTGTCGAGCGCGACCAGGAGATGGTAGTCGCAATGCGGGGACTTGCGCGATCGGGACGCCACAGGAAGCGGCCACGGTGGCTTGATGACTGCGAAGTAGATTGAATGGAATTGCTAGGCATCTTTCTTGCTTCTGCTTTAATGTGAGATTGTTTCATATTATTTTCGTGGAGTTTCACTCAAATCTTCACCGGAATGCAAGGGAACCAAAATCCGGCGAATCGTCCGATCCGGCAGATCACCGGGAAATCCCTTATAGCAAGATAAACCGAGCATAACGGCGACGGCAGACCAATCGGTTCTACGCGAAGAACGGGTCCTACTCGCCGTCAGGGCCTATCAGCAGGGCCAATTCGAAAGTACCCGTAAGGCTGCGGCCGCATACGACGTCCCTCAATCGACAGTATATAAGGAGCATAATCACAACGAAACAAAGAGTAAAGAACGGGGGCCAGTGATGCAATTATTAATCTCTAAAGAGCTCCTCTAGCGGGCTATAGTTATCCCCGCATCCTTATATAAGTCCTGCCGCGCGTCGCGATCCCTACTTCGGTTTTAGATGACGCAACCTAGGTCTCTAAGCGCGTGATATAGTATCTAATCGACTGCGCGGTGTCATTCGCCGACGCGACGCTTAGATAAACAACCTAAAGTTAACGGCGACGGAAGAGACTGCCCTAGTATAATAGATCTTATCGATAGACGAGCGAGGGATGCCGCCGACAGTGGCTTACACTCGTCGGATGGCTAACTTATTGCTTACCGAGCGAGGCAAAGATCCTGTCGGGGAAAACTGGGTGCGGAAGTTGGCCGCCACGGCGATATCAAGGCAAAAGTCTTGGATCCGAATACACGGCGCCGTACGGTTGGTACGCATCGACTTCTTATTCTCGACGGGCACGGCAGCCACGTCAGGCCGGAATTTAACAAGTACTATACGGCCAATTCCATCGTGGTACTGCAAATGCCTGCACATTCCTCGCATCTCTTGCAGCCTCTTAATGTCGGGTACTATTCGCCGTTAAAAACAATATACGGCCGGAAGGTTTAAGAGAAAATGCTCGCTAGGATCCATCATATCGACAAATAGGACTTCCTTCCTATATACTTAGAGGCTCGCCGACAAGCACTTTCGCCGTCGAATATCCGAAGCGGATTTATGGCAACAGGCCTCTTTCCGTTCGACCCAAACGGGGTATTCTTATAAGTCGGTGGAGAATTTTTGACCGAGTAGGGGGTCTGACAGGGAAGGGGGTGGATTACGTTAGGCATCTAGAACCTCGGCTAAATAATTCAGCCGACGGCTGACTCTACATCAATCCATAAGTGCCTTGAGGAACGAAAGGCCTTTCTAACGTGCCCCGCAGACCCCGCCCTCTCCCCCCAAAAGTTCTCCGCCCCTTGATTGGTCCCTTGTGATTGGCCCCTCCTTGCCTCCCTCCTCGTTGGTCGCTGCCCTTCCCGGCTTCTGTTGCCTTTTCGCGTGCCTTATCCCACCACTGGGCGCCTCCCACCCTGTCTGCCGCCTGCCGACTCTTCCCGCCTGCCGAACTCTTCATCGCGTCACCTAGCGCGGCCGCCTTGACTCTTCAGCATCACCGTCCAGCCAGCGCAACGCCTCCTCAACGGTCCTCTCGCTCAGTACCTCGAGCCTGGCCTGTGCGGCAGTCATCTCCTCGGGGACCCGGTTGCCCACCAAGTCTCTGTCCCGCACCTTGGACACGAGCATGATGCCGTCTAGAGTTCGGCAGCGCGATAGCTGCACGTACAGGCCGTACGGGTCGCACTGCGAGGGCACCACCGTTCCATCCATCTTCGTCGTCCGTGTCCCTCGCAGCTCGAGGGCCACGCGCTCCAGCGTTTTGCCCTGCACCTTGTAGTCCGTGCACGCGAACGCTGCTGCGCACGGCAAACCCTTTCGGCTGACGTCGTTGCGTTGCCACGGCCTTTTTCGCTGGCACTGTATCTTAACGGTCATGGGTGTCAACAAGATCGTGCCCGGCGGCATCCCGACGAAGTGGAGATATCTCGTCGTCTCCGATTCGAGAATGATCCCGCCGGCGGCCCGAAGTGGATCGTCATATCGGCCGAGATCCGATGCCCGGGTACGCCTTGTCGACAATGACCTCCACCGCCGAGTAGCTCGCGCCGTTCACTAGCTTCAGCCCCTGGTGGGTGTTGTGGTTCACGACGATGGGCATCCCGGCCACGAACATGAAGACGGCCGGCACCGGGATCGCGCTATCGTCGCCCTGGTTGAGTATCATGATCGCCTCTTCCTCCGTCGGCAGCTCCTCCTTCCACTTGTGCTCGGAGATGAAAATGCGCATCGTCGACCGCTGCTGGACCCGGAACGCCAGGCTCGCCTCCATGTTCAGGTTCCACCGATTCCTATTGAGCGGCGTCACCACGGTGATGCCCGTCTCCCAAGGGATCCGCCTTCCTCCCGGTAGCACCTTGAGTTGAGGAGGTTTAGATCCGTGCGATCCTGCACGCCTAGACGGATCCGCTTCAGCAGCCTCTGCAGCTCCGGGTCGCCGGCGGCGCGCATCTGCTCGTCCAGCATGACGACCGTCGTGAACCTCTTCCACAGTGCGTGCGCTTTGTCGTGCTGGTGACGCTGCTCGGCCTTGAACGAGTTGTCTACGTCCCACGAGATGGCCGCGCTAGGCAGGACGATCGACCTCTCTTGGACCGGCCGGAACTGCTGAAAATCTCCGCAGAAGAGGACGATGGGGATCCCCCCGAAATCTTGCCGCGATCCGCGAAGCCGGCGAAGCCGCTCGTTCACGGCGTGCAGCGTCCGCGCCCCGAGCATGCTCACCTCGTCGATGACGAGCACATCCTTCTCCTGCCAATCCATTCGAGACTGGCCGTGGATGAACCGCTCCGCCTGTTTCGGCAGCCGCACCCCGTCAAGGTCTTTGACCATGTTCGCGCCCCCCGCCCCTTGGTCTTTGGTGAACCCGCAGGCGGAGTGGATCGTGATGCCGTTGATCCGCGCCGCCGCAGTCCCCGACGTCGCCGTGATCAGCAGACGATTCGAAAGGCTCTTTTTACTGAACAGCTCGACGAGTGCCTCGATGATTCGCGACTTGCCGGTACCGCCCTCGCCACCGACGAACTGGCGCAGCTGGCAGGCATCGCCCCGTCGGTCTGCTGCATCAAATCGAGCTGGCGGCATATTATCAGAAAAGCGATGGACTGCCTCTTGTTCAGCGTCAGCCGCGTTGCCAACACCTTGCCCGCCGCGAGGAAGGAGGTTGATGGGCCAAACTGAACGTCCATTCCCGCCCCTGCGTCGATAGCGGTCTCGTCGGAGTCGGCCATCGTCATTTCGACCTCGTCCTCCCGAAACCGGTCATCACCCTTCGCAACGCTGCGCGGCGATCGCTTTCCCAGGCGGCGGGCGTGCTTTGTATCCCTTGGATCATCCTCTCCTCTCCTTCGAGGCACTTACCTGCTGCGACTTGATAGCCTTGACCTGATCCTGCGGCGGTAGTGCGGCCCCGGAAAATACCCGCCCTGGCATTCTTAACCGCCTCTCCCTCGTTCGATCAGCGCCGTGGCCTCGAGCTCGGCCGTCGAGCGCAGCGCCGATTGCTGAAACCGACAGAGCTGCTGTATCATTGCCATGAGCTCCGGCGACTTGGCCGTCACCTGATTCGCTCCCACTGCACCTCGGACGACGTCGATGAGCCGCGTTGCGTCTCCGATGCTGTTGGGCTGATATGTCGCTGCAGACTCCGCGCCCGCCTCGCCTGCTCCACCCTCCTCGACGTGTGCGACCGTCGGGTCGCCATCGCCGGACGAGGCTGCCCATTGCTTGGCGTCGCGTTTTGCGTCTTCGGCGGATCGTCGAAGCAGCTGCACGTTGTCGACGAGACATGATATTCTCGGGGCCAGAGCGTCTCGAGCCCGCGCCCAGATGCTGTTGATCTCACCTGTTCCTTCGCCCAGGAAGGACTCCCACGGCACGAACAGCGCAAGATGCTGCACGGCTGCCCTTCAGGGGGTGGGTTAGCCTCTCCGATAACGCCCGCCGACAGAGCAGTTGCCATACACACCTCCGGTAGCACGACTCGTCATCGTAGGTGAAGTCCTTGCTCAGGTAGCCGTCGAGGCAGACGGTAGCGTGCTTGCCCGGCCGCCTGAGCACCTGAACCCAGCGTCGTCCCGGCGCCCATCCATCCTCGAAAGACATCTCCCCAAGCCGCCCAGCTCTCGTCGTTGCCGATGCGTTTCAGTCTGACGATCGATATGTAGTCATACAGGCATAGGCCTTTCAGCAGCTCTCCCGGTGCTGGTACGCCTCGACGTGGGAGATTCTCAGGCCTTCTTCTTCGACGACGACCGACTCATCCAAGGTGTCATCCATAGCCGCAGCGCCACTGGCTTCTCGGAGATGCCGCCATCGCCGAAAGACTTCCCAGTACAGCAGAGAACAGTTCAGGTACGTCCACGCGCTGCTGTCGGTGAACTCGGCCGGATATCCGAGAAGGTGAGCGACGACCTCGACCTGTGATAGCGGACGCTCCGTGAACACGCGGTTCGCCACTCTCATCAGGAACTGTCGCGTCCTGTTCCCTGACAGGGTCATCGGTGGCAGCGTCTCCGCCACCGTCCCGCCCTCCGTTGGCCGTGCCATCACCTGTTGAGGCGGCCAGGAGCTCGGCCGCGGCCGCCACACGCTTCCACACCGGGTCCTCCACCTTGGTCGCGTAGTTCGTGACATAATAGATGAGGGCCATGGTCTTGCGCTGCGTCGCAATGAAGGAAATATCATGGTTGTGCCGGAGCCCGACAGCAATAGCCTCGTTCCATCGATTGACCATGCTGTGTGTCCTCCGGATCTGCAGCACCCCGTCTGCCGTGAGGGCGGTCTTGTCGACTAACCTCCATGGCGCCTTGAACCGGCAGAGATCCCTTTTCCGCCCTCCTTTGCCCAAGGAATACTTCACACAGGTCGGGCTATGCGTGTGCACCTGCGTCGCGCCGGCACAGAAGTTGGCCTCCTCGATAAACGCGGCCGAGAACTGCGCGGCGTTGTCCAGCAGGAAACCAATACCGCCCGTCACAGATCGCTCCGCTTGCACGGCGCAAAAACTTTCCTGGTCCAGATCCTGCCTTGCACGTCAACCCGGCCCCACTTGGCCATCAGAAGAGTACTTCAGGCTCCCGGTGGCACATCTTAGGTAGTAGGCATTCTTACCTCTGAGAAGACGCTATCGATGTATCGGACGATTCGCTCGCGATACGCCGCCTGATCCTCCCCGTGGATGTCGGCAAGCATCGAGCTGAGATGCGCGTTCCCGTGCAGCCAGAGCAAGCCGTGAACATGAAGCGCCCCTCGTTCGTTCGTCTCCACGGCGCCATAGTACTTGCCGATGCGCCCGAATACCGACTCTTCACCGACCTTCACGTAATGATCGAAGAACAGCTTCATCTCGCGGTGGAAGAACACGGCCGAGCTCATGGGATCCGATATCGCCAGCCGCGCCCGCTTATACGCATCCCCAAGGCCTTCTAAGAACTCCTCGGCCGCGTCGGGATCGCGTGTGCGGTATGCCGCCAGTCGCAGCTTCACCGGGTTCGTAATGTCGTTCGGGTTGATGGTGAACCAGATGGCCGGCACGCCATAGCCGACGATGAGCGACTGGATTTTCCGCCGCATATTGAGACGGACCTCTCTCGACATGGGCTGCCGGTGGCCGTAAAGCGAGAGGCTCCTGAGAAGCTCCTTCACGTCACCATCGGTCGTCTTACCCGAGCTCTCCAACTCGACCCTCGCCGCCGCTAGCCTTTCTGTGGTCATCGAACGCACGATGCACTCTACCTTGCGGAAGTTCTTCCTCCCCACACTCAACATGCTGACCCGGCGGTTCCTCGACCGCACCCCCATGTTGAAGACGAGAAATGCGAAGATGTGGTGCAGTGCAAATCGACCACCATGGCGCCGGAGCACGATCTCGGCCCACGCCTGAAGGTTCAAGCTTCGAGACGATACGGGGTCTCCGCGGCCGCCTCTGCCTCGACAGCCCTGCCTCGCAAGTTGGCCGTGACCTTCCCGCGTCGACCATGGTCTCTTCAACCAGCCTTGGTCCCCAACGCCAAATGGGAACAGGGTCGGGAACGTCCTGGCAAGGAAGGACGCCTCAAAGGAATCGGTAAACTCACCCCCGCGAAACCCGGATGTATGGCTCACAACCACCGTCGCCACGCCCCGAACCCCGGCTAGGGACCCGACCCACGCTCTCGGCCCGCACGGCCGTCGTCGGCACCTTCACCAACAGCGTCACAGGCAAACTGCAGCTTCTCCACGTCCGCGACGTCTGGCGGTCCGTCGAGCGCGAACATGCCAGAAGACGTCACCTCGTTGATCGCTGGAACGTTCTGGTCGGGGCAGGCGTCACTTCCATCGCGAACCGCGCCTTCTCCGTTGGGCCCGTGACCTTCACCCTGGCCGCCGGCTTCTTGTCCTTGGTTGAGCAGGGCGAAGAGCTCCTCGATCTCCACCGGCCCTCCTCGTCCATGGCGCGTTCCGTGGGCGGCACAACGTGCGCCGTCCGCGCTTTCTCCCACCCAGACGGCTCGTTCCGCTCCATACGATCGCACACCGACGACGGTACCCCGTGTATCGAGTCTCCCCAGCTCTCCATCTCCGCCGCGTCGATCTCAATCTCAGCGTAGTGGGGGTTGTTCCTCTTCAGCCAGACAAAGGCCCTCTCAACCACCCGCCACCTCACCGACAAGAGACTCGACAGGTCGCTCGGTGCCGGCTTCTCCGCGCCCTGCCACGAGATGTGGATCTCGTCCAGTGCTTGCAAAAGGGGGTGCGGGAGCACTTTGGTGGCCAGCTCCTGCACATTGTTCGGAAACACCGTGATGTGGCCCCTGACATGCCTCGGATACCTCACGCTCTGCCTCTGCCCGCCCGGAATGCTATATCTCGTGACAAAGCCGTAACATGAGTTCAGCGAGATGAGCTTCTCTTCGACCGGCGTCAGTCCCTTGAGCTCATCGGGGAACATGTGCTCGCAGCCAAGGCGACTGTGAAGGTGGATCGCCGGCGACAGGCTCCTGCGCGCCAGGCATCGGCCACACTCGGCGCACACCGACACGGACTCGCCCTCAGGAAAGCAACTCCGGCATGAAAATGGTGAGCGGCCGCCCTTTGGTACGCAGCTTGACAGCCAATGATCCCATGTAATCTCCTCAACTCTCCTCTCGTACACTTGCGGTAGCACACCATGCAGGTCCGTATCGGCAACGTGCTCGCATCGTGGAACGCCTGATAGAAGTCTCGCACCGTCGACACCTTCCTCTCGAGCGGTATTGGCGTGCACCACGTCTGATCGTTAGACAATCTCTCCTTCAAGGCAAAGTCTTCCTCCAAAAAGCGCAGCACACTCGCCAGGTCTTCGGCCTGCAGCTCCCGTCTCCTATGCCTTCCGATTCCACTTCGGACCTGTTTTATCGGGCGCCCATCCCGGCTAGGAAGACGGGCTCTCATCTCCGCCTCCGGGACTGCCTCTGTCCGCGCAGCGAGCCGTCCGCTGCCTCTGCTGCACCATCGTCCACACCCACCTGTGCCCTTGGCCGCCGAACCGGTCCCCGACGGAGCTTGGGCAAACCCCATGCAATCGATGCTGCAAATTGCGCCGTTCGTCTTAGGTCTTGGAATGTCGTATCCTTGGGCTGGATAGGTCGGAGCGTCGGTCCCTTTTCGAACGAACACCCGGGACACCGCCGGTCGCCGCCTTATCTCCCTGCCCGTCACCTTCAGGACCCTCTCCTGGGGCAAAAACGGCCGATGAAGGGGCGGACTGTTAGAGCCCACTGCCCCCTGGTCTCCACGTTCTGTAGGCAACACGAACCTCGGAAGCGGACTCGGTGACTGACGTTGCGCGGAATTTCCGCTGCTGACCAAATTACGGGACTTCCGTGCTCTGCTTGACCGCAAACCGCCTCGCGGCGGTCTTCTCGGCAGTGACTTTGCGATTGCCTCTGCATGCTTTCTCCATGCGGTTTCTTCGACCGCAGACTGCTTAGGCTGAATCAGCCGGAACGTTAATGCTTCATTCGCCACTGATCTGTATCTCCCGAACCGCCCCAACCTTGTCTCCCGTGCTCCGTGCCCTTCTCGGAGTTGCCCTGTATCATCTCCGCACCCCGAAACAGGCACTCCCCGTTCCTACCCTCTTCTCCATCCTCGACTGACAACGAACAGGCTCCACGGTGAGCGGCCGCCTCGCTAGCTTCCCTGCAGGACTGTCCGCCATGCTACCGCCTCCTCGACGTCGACTAGCGTGGATTGGCAACAGGCTAGAAAGTTTTGGCTCCGGAGCACTTCCACTTGGATAATCTCGCTTGTTGGCGTACACTATTTCTTTCCGAGTGGGAAGCTTCCTAACGATCACTACTCTCATGGCCGTGGCGTTTCTTCCCTTATAATGCTTGCCTATGGCACCGAAGCGATGCAATACTACTTACTACCCCTTTGTAATCCCCCATTTACCCTCCCTATGTGCGTCCACCGTCCCGGCCCTCGGCTGGTCTCCACGTGCGACCTGCTACCCCAGCTTTGCCAAGGCGGCCCTTCCATCGCCGTGCTCTCTTTGCGCACTCCAGCGAATCCCTGGCTACTGCCGACCTCCGGCACAGGGGGTGGCCGCGCCAACCGCCCGCCGCACACTTCCAACCATACTCTCCGGCCCTTCCAACGCCGTCCCACCCACCTTGCGCATCAGTTGCTCCATCAATATCTGCCACTCCACTCGTCGAGCAACAGCCAAAAGGCTGCCGGCGATAACATGTCCACGGTGTCCCTCGTGCAACCGGACTACCCGGCTAGGTTTGCTCCCTCGCCACCACCAACGTCGCATCAACGGCCTTCATGCTAAAGCGACAGCCAGGATCCCCCTGCCTGTCCTCTTGTAGTCGCTAGCCACCGGAGTCTCGACTTGCAAACCCTGTTGGAGAGTTCTCGTGACCAACTCGCATCCTCCTCCTCAGGTCGTCCCCTATATCCGACTTCACCGTGTCCCAATAGTGGACTCGACACGGTCGGCACCCGCCTCGCTCAGCCGCACGCAATGCCCATCCAAGTACCGACGACCGTCAAAAAGGGACCCCTGCAATTCTACCATAACCTCTTCTTTCCTTCACTCTCATTCGTTATTGTCGCCTTTGCTATCTACTCCATGCAACGATGACACCGAAGGGTACTGCTGGACTTTCTTTCTCCGCAGACTTACCCACACTAACCTTACTGTTCGCCGACCTCCAACTTCTCGCGACATAGCCATCACCCCTACTCAACTTCCAACCCCCGGCTCCCTACTTCACTCACGACCATAGAACCAGATGGTCGAGACTGTTCAAGAACCTCGCCAGCTCATTCCGCATACCCCGCTTCTGATCTATCACCTAGGTAGCATTCTCTGACTCTTAAGTCTCCCCGACCCTAGCCGCGAGCCCTCTTTCGAGCAGCAAGAAAACCTGCTTTATAGGATGCCCACCTCCACTCTGCGTAACCCCTCATTTACACTTCCACGGTGACTACATCTGCCATGTTCTCACGATGTCGGCCTCCCAGATCAACGTCGATACCTCGTCCTCCCCGCGGCAACCTCTTGACAGCCAGAAAAATGCTGGCGCCGACATGTCCATGATGGCCTTTGTCCAGCCCGGCTGCCCGGCTAGGTTCGCCTACCAGAATGAGCATCGTCTCAAAGGGCTCAACGCAGAAACCCTAGCGAGGGTCTTCCTTCCCACGCCCTCATGGCTGTCGGCTCCGGAGTATGCAGCAATCCGGTCAGATACTGGTAATCCATCGACCTGCATCTTCTTCAGCCTTAACATTTCCATATACAACCAACAGATAATCTCCTCGGAATGGACCGAGCAATGGTTCTTCATGGTCGGCCGTGTTCATCCCTTTGCCCTGACGTGGGAAATCGAGCGACGTGATGGCTTGAGTCGGACGATGATAACATCACAGAATACACCGTCCCCGCGCTTATAGTACGCGATCACAGCTACCAACCGTGAGTCTATGCTCCAAATCTCTGTCGCCACTGCCCTCCCTGACGATATCCATAGAATTGTCACTCGCACCTCAGCTCGGTGGATACTTTCCCAACGATACAACCCATTGTCTCCTTCACGGGACCTGTCATCGGCTCCGGCCGCGACCTCCTGCATGGAAACTCGGCTGCGGCCCTTGACGACACCCAGCTGAGCTGCTGCGGCTTTGTCCAGCTCTCCACCTTTATTTGTCCTGGGATTCCCGGCAAACCCCCTTCAAGGGCTTTCACCCTTCCAAGTTTTCGTCATCTTCCCCATTCACGCTAATCCTTGGACCTCCTATGCAAGAAGATGACCGAGAGGGGCGACAGCCAGTTCCAGTCGAACGCTCTCTTCACCTGTACGGGCAAAATCGCCGGCTTACTGGATCACCAGATCATGAAACATGCCCCGGCTTTCGACCAAGACTATATCTTCATCGTCGTCCCCGACACGTGGACTTTCCACGACAAGGCCATGTCCGACCAGGCTTCTGCAACACAACTACTGCCGACGACACCCAAGAGCGCGGTCGGCACATCCTCGGACTATAGCGTTGCGTTGGCCAGGTTTACCTCTACGAAGAAACGCAAGGCCGCCCAAAGCCCCGCCTCCCCACGCCGCATGCTTCTGGCCCAGTCGATCCTTATGCTGGCATCAAGTCGGTCATTGCCCGATCCCTACCAAACCCCAACCAAGAGACGGCGACTTTCTCCGAAACTTCCACCATAATCACCGACTGTGACGGTCAAGACTCCCCCAAATCCGATACCTCCTCCTTTCTGTCCCCGGAAGACCCCGCAGAGTCAGAGACGGACACCGAACAGGTCAATCACCAAGACACATCCGTCTCTGGCTCTATCAGACCTCCCGCGTCGATATCTTCCCGACCACTGCGCGCCCGACGTCCGCCCAAGAATATTCTCTAAACTTTATAGCATCAAACGAAACAATACAACATGACAACATGTCTCATCATCCTCAAAATCAACTGCCAAAGGCTCGAATAGCACATTCTCTTCTCTTCTTGTTCTCCTTTTCATGAAGACGATCAAGTCAAAACTTCCCAATATACTCCTTATTCTGTTTATACCTACGACTTATACCGGTAGCACATGTAAATTTTCCGAGCCTTCCACTCGCCCAGACATGCATTACCCACTCACATCTCTCTTCAACCCTGCCGTCTCTCCACGCCCTCTGAGTTTGCGCCTTTTAAACAAAATCTCCCTCCAGCGGCCTAGCCTGCCTCCCCGACGCTCTGTCTCGGTTTCACTCACGATAATGCTCTACGTCTCTCGCCGTGTCTCGTATCTCGACCTCACTCTTCTTCCTGTCTCCTATCTACTGTCGCCAACTCTCTCTCTCTCTTCTGTAGCCAACTCTTCTCCGGTTCTCTTGTCGCCAAATTTCGTTCCGAAAGGCTTCTTTGCGCGAGCCGCGGCTGGCGAGCCTTCCTCTCGTTTCCCGAATAATGAGGGTTTGGTGCAGACAGGGGTCAATAAGTTTCCCGAGTTCTGATTGGCCCGAATTTTGTATGGACGGCCGCAAAACGTGCAACAATTGGACAACGGCTGCAAAAAGGTGGGACTAGGTGTCAGTGGCCCGTAGCAACCCTGGTTTGTTTACTTGCGCGTCGCCTTGACGTGGAAACTTCGTTGAAGCAACGCGTCTTGATGCGCGGTTCGCGAAGTACTGAGTCCTAAGTCTACTCCCTCAAGGGCTTCAAGATGGACTTAATTTCCATCGTCTGTGCCCGCTGTGCTTCCTTGAGCTCACATCATTGTTGGCTACATCTCCCGGTCATTCGAAATGGAAGACCTCCTTCGAAACCTTACCCTTAGTTCCGGCTTCCACCACATGACAAATACTTGGCCGTCTTTGATGAAATCAACCTTGTCGTTCACAAGATCAAGGTCATATGTCCAGAGCATCTTGGCAAGAAGGAGGTTGACCTCCATATACGCAAAGCTACCCCAAGTCAGCCATGAATGGTACGTCGCAGGCGGGAGCAAATGCATACTTTCTCCCGAGGCATCCCCTCGGTCCCAAAGAAAATGGTTGACTTGCTTCCTTTACATCTGAGCTGTTTTTGTCCATCCAGCGCTCCGGCTTGAATTCCATTGGCTCAAGAAAGTGTTTGGGATCATGCGTCACGGTCCACGCACTGGTGTATATCTCGGCCTGACTGAAGTGTTAGCCCGGAGTCGCTCAAACTCTGATGTGATGATTAGGTGGGTGCTGATTATGAAATACCCCTTGTGGAATGTGTTGGCCATGAATTTGAAAGCCAGGCGAGATGCGCGGGAACCCTTGCGACCCAGGAGGATACAGACGCAGGCCTTCATTGATGACTGACTGTAAATAGCGCAGCGTCTGGGCGGCCTGGGCCGTAATATCCTCATACGACTGGAATGATCCCCGTATCTCGTCTGTAACGCGTTTGAGGGTGGCTGGGTTCTTGAGGAGGAAAGACGTTGTTGCAGCCAGAAACGTCGAAACAGTCTCTCCGCCAGCAATGCTGTTCATAAATTGTCAAGTCCAAATTCCCCAGACGATCTCGATCTCACATAGATGGAAGGCGGCAAGTTGAGCGCCTGGTCACTTACGCGAGTGTCGATACGTGAGCCGTCATTTCCTCCTTGTCCACTTCCCCACATCGCACCTTTTGTGCCAGCAGACTGATGAAGTCCTTGCGTGTTGTTTTCATAGCCAAGATTCTTGCAACATTGTTAGCCGCCCAAACCTAGGTGTTCACCGAAGAACATGAGAGAATACCTCTCCACTTTGGCACGGCTATATTGAGAGTTCTTGTTTCGAACCAGCAGGTTGGACGGGATGAGAAATCGAGCTGCCTTGGCAAGAGCACCGATGCGGCTCAGATTATCAAGTAAAGTTATGAAGTAGAGGTGTTCTTCGACGAGATCGGACCAAAAGTGCGGCTTCCCTACGGGCATCGACATGTCAGTTAGAGCAAAGGCACGTTTTTCGAACCTTGCGAAAGAGCTAGAACCTACCAGCTTCTAGGCTATAAAACGATTCTCCGAAAGCCATTTCTCCGAGGATATCAAAGGACACCATCTCATACCACTTGGTCAAGTTAATGCCATCTGACTCGGCCGAACCCTTCACGCCGATGATCTCGACGAACTGGTCGATTTTGTCGCTGACAATCTTTTCCTGGTCCAACAGACTCTTTTGCGAGAACGCGGCGGACAGCATTTTTCGCATGTTTCCATGTTTTGAGGGGTCGCGCTCGCTGCCGATGCAGAGCTTCTTGAACCCTGCGCCGAATATCTCGTAGAACGGAGCTTTGATTGGCGTTGGCCTCTCTGAGTTAGAATGACCATATATGGCTTTCCATGACTCCACAGATCCAAACGAGAGTTCATTTGGAGAGACGCGCACGATTGGTCCTACAAAGGTTACTATGTTGATGGACTGTTTGCCCAGCTCATGGCGCTGACATACCAAACTTGCGATGCTGCTGCTCAATGGCCACGTGGACGCGTCCAGTTGACGTATGTATGAACCTCCAGAGCTGATTGTTTTGTGAGCTTTAAGGTTACAGGTCGCTCGAGCTTTTTTGTGAGGCATACAAGAGATGAGCGGCCGAGCCATGGCCCGGGGAAAGCCGCCAGCGGGTGAAAGTAGAGGTTGTACAGGATGGTGGCCAATCCGTATAGCACAAGCTGAATATGGAAGTCAATAATCGTGGTTTCCTCCGGCTCCAGAAGCAGGACCCACGAGTTCTGCACAACTCCTCCAGTCCCATAGACATTGCAATGCTTGCTGAATGTCGATCATATTATGGAGTACTCCGTAGTACGAAGTATTTTCGGGTGATTGTGAGTTGCAATAGGAATTTACGGGACAAAGTTGCCTTGGGCCCCTACCAAGTTGAGAGGTAGGGAGTGCTCCGTGCGGGTGCTCCGTACAAGTATTAGTTAATACGGCCGCATGGTGAGCAATTTGCGTCCGAAAGGGGTTATGCGGGCCGGGCCACCGCAGGTTCCAAATCAGTCGACAGATATTACGGTGTAATATCAATTAATTAAGATGGTAAAAAGCGAGAAAGGCGGTTTGAACAAGACGCATTAGTGCCTGATGCGTACTTCGTACCAGTCTTCGGATCCTAACCCAATGACTGGAAAAAGACGGCTTGAGCATGGCACACGTTGCAGGAGAAACTGGTGGATACCGGCGAGATTTATTGTGAATTCCAGCATATCACTGCAGGCTACTCATTTTGAAAATGTATTGAGATCGTGTCCAAGGTTATAGTTCGTTCCGGATGTTGAGAGATCCGCTTCCTTTGTTATCTACCTCATGTCTGTGAGAACTTGCTGGAAAGCCGTCTTTTCAGTGTTATATTCGCCGAACCACTGAAGCCTCAGAGCGGCAATAGGCTCCTCCAACTCCGTCCAGCAGTCTCCGAGCGTTAGAATGACGCGGCCATTCCACCGCCCCAGCGACCGCACCTCGTTGGGATCATCCTTTCCATACGCCTCTACTTGGCGTTCTGCCGTTGCGGTGGCCGAGTACGCTACAGCCAAGCCGGCGTGGTAAGCACTGCTGACCGGAGAGCCAGCTTGGATGATGGGGGCGGCAAGATTCTTGGGTAAGAGCTTGGAGATGGTGGCCGCGGGTGCGACGCCGTTGATGGTGGCTCCAAACTTCTTCATTGACGGACGAAGGGCCCGAATCAACCCCACAAGCTTGTGGGCGAGTTAGTCGGCCGGCTGCTCATGTTCTGGCTGAAGGGGTGGCAATACTCACAGCGGCTTTGGAGGCACTGTATACCGGCAAGCTCTGCTCTGGCGAGTAGGCGGTGGCGCTCGCAGTTATCACAATGCTGCCTCCCGGCTTTTGCTTGGCGAATTTGTTCAGCGCCAGCTTCGTGACGTTGAGCACTGCTTTCAAGTTGACGTCAATCACCTCGTAGGCTGGCTCCTGCAGATTCCCCTCCGAGTCGTAAACATCCGAAAAGAAATCCGCCTCCTCCGAGATGCCGGCGTTGGCTACGACAATATCGACTCCACCAACCTTCTCAAAGACAGACCGGAGCTCTTTCCAGTCCACCACGTTGCACTTGTGAAAAATTACGGAAACCTCTGAAAAGGGACCGAGCTCATTTGGCTGTGAACCAAGTTCATAACCTGGAACTTCGAATATGTCAAACTGGTAATCGATGGGGACCCTGTCGAGCACATGCACCGTGGCGCCTTTGGAAGCGAAGATGCGAGCTGCTGCAAGCCCTATGCCGGATGCTCCGCCTGTACATTGTCGGACGCTGGTAAGAACTATGAGTGCGGCAGCTTGTCGTCATCACAGACTCACCAGTTAGCACGACGACTTTCCCCCTGAGGTCGGGGATGTCGGCGCTCGTAAGATGAAGAGCTGTCATCTTGTGGTTTGAGCCGTGCTCCCGTGTGGACTCGTGCAAAAGTTGAGCGTATGTAGGTACGAGTGCTGACTGACATCTGCGAGCACTTCAGCAACGGTTCCTTTTGACAAGTGTTGGAGTTTTCCGTCTGTGCTTGGCCGGCATTACAGGGGGGACCGACCTACCCGTTGGTCAAAGACCAACTTAACTGCCGTTAAGTTGGCCTAAAAAATCCGGGATAGCACAAAAACCCCCGGGATAATCTTAGAATAGTAGAAATTACTAATATAACTATTAAGAATTGAGTATCTTAGATTTTAGCGTATTTTCGAAGAAGTACTAACTTCTTAATACTTTTTTTAGTAAATTACTAGGCCTAAGGATTGTCCCTAGGGTTTTTATGCTGTCCCGGATTTTTTGGGCCAACTAAGTGGCGAAGACACTTAGTTGGGCTGCTGTGGCCCCACACCTAGACCAACGGGTAGTCGGGAAGCCTTGATCATCGACATGGATGATATGACCGGACTACCTAATGGAGTAACTGCTCAAGTGGATTAGCACTTGCAAGTCTATGATCTTTCCCCACTTTGTAGGCTCCGCGAGTCCAGGAGTCCATAACACCCAAGTTTATGTCTCGGGGGCTGCTGCAGGTGACAACTCGGGCGCTCATGTTTGGCGTCTTCGTCCCCTCGAACACCTTCATCATGCAGTACATTTCGTGGGCGCAGACCTTTTTCGCGCTTTTAGCCGCCATCGCAGTAACCAAGATGTGCAAACTCGTCCTGTATATAAGATCAGCGAGGAAAACTGGACTCCCATACGTCGTGGTTCCATGCCTCGAAACGGAGATTGTGGCACAACTCCTGACCCCTCTGCTCCGTCGGATATATACTCAGCAACTCGATCGCGGGCGAGGCTGGCCAAGATGGTGTCGGTTCATGATCAAGGACTGGTCATGGGAAGATAAGCGTCTTGCCCACGACGAGTTTGGCGATGTGTTTCTCGTTGTGTCGCCGGAGGGAATTATCTGCTACAGCGCGGACGCCGCCATGGGATGGGACGTTTTGAATCGTCGATACGACTTCACAAAGCCCCGCGACAAGTACAGTACGTTTTGCACGATCCCCAGTCCGACAGGGTCAAGCATCTATCTGACAGGATTGGGCAGAGATCTTGGAGCCATACGGCCCCAACGTCGCCACGGCTGAAGGAAGCACATACCGGTTCCACGTCCGCATTACCGCGCCGCCATTCTCGGACGGCAGCGGGGTCAACGAGCTTGTCTGGAAAGAGACGCAGCGGCAGACGCAGCTTTTAATGCAAGACTGGACCGAGAATCAGCCAGAGAATATCGGCGAGGATGTCAACGCCCTGACACTCGCCGTCATTTCGCTTGCCGGGTTTGGCAAGAGGCTCGAGTCGGTGAAAGACCAGACCCAAGATATCCCCCCTGGCTACAGGCTGAGCTTTCTGCGCGCCATCAGCGATACCACGGCATATATGCTTGCGATTCTCGTCTTCCCGAGCTGGCTGCTGGAGCTTACGCCGTATGCAAAGGCGAGTCTTGCGAAGAAGCAGCTTGAGAAATACATGTACGCCATGATTCGCCAGGCGAAGCAGCGCATCGAAGTTGGAACCTGCTCCCAGGAGACAACTCGGGGAAACTTGCTCCAGTCGGTTGTGCAAGCTGCGCATGACGAGTCCGAGGATCGGTCAACAAAGGAGCCGGCCCAATCTCCTCGAAGGGGCTTCAATGAGGATGAAGTCGCCGGAAACCTATTCATCTACCTGCTTGCCGGTCAGTGATCAAAGCCCAGTACATGACAAAGACGTGTTGTGTCTAAGCATTCTTTTCCTGGCAGGTTACGAGACGACGGCCAACGCTATTGTTTACGCTCTTGTTGTGTTGGCGCTGAGGCCAGACATCCAGGCGAAGGTTGTGGAGGAGGTCGACCGCGTCTATGCCGAGGCCGCTGCCGACGGCCGCAGCGCACTCACTTACAAGGACGATTTTGCCAAGTTGGCATACTCTTACGGCTTCATGGTAGGCCACCACCATCTCACTCTACTGAGTTGTGCGAACAGGGGCTGAGCACTTGCAGTACGAAACGTTTCGTCTGTACCCCGGCGTCACCCTCATCACCAAGATATGCCGCCAAGCGCAACATGTCCAGGTTTCCGACGAGTCTGGCGGCAGCGCGAGGGATGTCATTCTCCCCGCGGAGTGCAGGGTCTACCTCTCCTGTCCAGGAGTGCATTACAACCCCAAGTACTGGCCAGAGCCGCAGCAGCTCGACCCGGACCGATGGTGCACGGGTGCAAGCAATGATTTCGGAAGAGGGAGCAACGTGAAGTCGGAAAACGCCGGCAAACACGTCGTTGCCGCCGACAAGACGCGACATATGAGAGGGACTCTGCTCACATTCTCTGACGGCTCGCGCGCATGCCTAGGGCGCAAGTTTGCGCAGGCAGAGTTTATTGGATTTCTAGCCACCTTGCTGCGGCAGCTCGAGGTCTCTTTTGCACCCGGCGTAGACGCCGAGAAAGTCCGGCGGGATCTGAATCGCAAGTCCGCGGGCAAGATCACCCTGGCGCCCGTCGAGGAATTCCGGCTGGCACTTCGCAAAAGAGAGGCCTTCACCACCTAAAGGCGAAAGCAGCAGCGTCCTGAACTGGCCCACACATCTTAGAGTCTAGACCAACGGCTACGAGTACGCACGAGTTGGCCGAGTACGAGTACGAGTACGGATGAGGCGGCCGCTTATCCGGGGCTCTCCAACGGGCAGAAGACCATGGCATTGCTATATGGGGCTTTTGCTCCTTTTGGAAATTATTTCCCGTTGATTCAAGGTGTGTGTGGGCCACACACGGCAGACCAAATAGCATGTGTCGGGTAATGTCTGTTACATGTACTCCGTAAGCGAGCTCTCATTAAATTCTCGTAAAACATCGCTCCAACTCTGGAGCTCTTGGGAAAAGCCAGCCTTTCCAAAAACCCCAGTTCAAACCATGCTCGTCTCCGGCGAGCCACAGGAGCAAAGTGAAGCTGTCTTGAAAGATGCGCCCCCGGCAGCGAGCGAACCGAACGGGGAAGAGTGTGTGTCGGGGGGCCGTCTGGGCCTGCTGATGCTTGCACTCGTCCTGTGCATGTTCTTGGTTGCTCTCGACATGGTAGGCAGCCGTGGAGATGCTTCTGGCCGAGACTCAGCAGCTAACCAACGCGACTTGGTAGACTATTGTTACGACGGCCATTCCTCGTATTACCCAGGAGTTTAACAGCCTTGATGACATTGGCTGGTACGGCTCGGCCTTTTTCCTCACCATATCTGCCTTTTCTCAGGTATGGGGGAAAGCGTACACGTACTATTCGCTCAAGTTTGTGATTCTCGCTGCAATTTTCGTCTTTGAAGCCGGCAGTTTGATTTGCGGTATATGACCTCTTTCGCAATGTGTTATCAGTCACAACATGACACCAGTTACTGACTGACCTTGGCTCGCAGGTGTTGCCCAGGACAGCCGCACGTTGATCATCGGCCGCGCCGTCACGGGCGCCGGCGGCGCAGGCATCACGAATGGATGCTACACCATCATTGCTTTCATCGCGGAGCCAAAGAAGCGCCCGGCGTACACGGGCATCCTGGGAGCCACGTATGGCATTGCCAGCGTTATTGGGCCGTTGATTGGTGGTGCGTTCACAACCAACGCGACATGGCGGTGGTGGTACGTTGGATATGGCAACCCCCTTCCCTCCCGGCAAGACTTCTCTTACTCGTATGCTCAGTTTCTACATGAATCTACCAGTCGGTTTTCTCTCAGCATGCGTGCTCGTCTTCTTTTTCCAGCCGCCTCCTTCAGCAGCACCCCGCAAGGCATCAACGATGGACAAGTTGCGAAACATGGACCCCGTCGGCACGGCGCTGATTCTGGCATCCCTTGTCTGTTTCCTCCTTGTCATGCAGTGGGGCGGAGTGTCGAAGCCCTGGAGCTCGGCAGATGTCATAGGAACGCTTGTCGGATTCGTCTTGATCATGATGCTCTTCGCCGTGCATCAAACCTGGCTAGGCGAAACGGCAATGATGGTTCCGCGACTGGTGACAAACCGGCGCGTCTTCTTCCTTGCTTTGTTTAATTTCTTCCTGGCCGGGTCCTTTTTCAACTTTGTCTACTACCTTCCCATCTACTTTCAAGCCATCGGCGGATATTCCGCCAGCGCGAGCGCGGTGCGCAACCTCCCGCTCATTCTCGGCTCATCCGTCGCCACCATAGCTGGAGGTGCCGCCTTGCCTCTGGTTGGATACTTCAACCTGTATCTCCTTGGCGGTTCTGCCCTAGCAATCGTAGGTGGCGGATTCATGTTAACTCTCACAACCGTTATGGAGATGGCAAAGTGTGTCGGGTTTCAGCTTCTCTTGGGCGTTGGGGCTGGCCTCTGTATTCAGATTCCCGTCGCCGTTGGGCAAGGATTCGCAGAGCCCGCAGACATCGCCGCCACGACTGCCGTTTTACTATGTAAGTTGGGCGCTGACGCTGAATGTGCTACACCTGAATCCGCTCATCTAACAACGAGTCATTATGAAACTGCAGTTTTCCAAACAATGGGCGGCACCATCTTCATATCGGCCGCGCAGAGCATCTTCACCAACAGCATAGTCCGAGACATGGCACACTCGGGGATTGATCCTTCTCGAGTGATATCGATTGGTGCCACGGAGCTGCAAGGCGGCTTATCGTTTACAGAGCTTCCCGAGGTCCTAGCGGCCTATCTCTCTGGGTTGCGAAATGCATGGATACTTGGTGTTGTCTGCGCCGGCCTATCTCTCCTGTCCGGCCTATCCTTGCGATATCAAACCATCCATGACATGAAGGAAACGGCGCACCAGAAAGACGCGGAGGCGTAGAGCTGCTCGTGTATCCGAGACTCCCCCGATGGATAGAAGAACTACGGAGTAGCGACACGTGCGCATCTTCATGTGGCAATCGATTTTGACTACACACTACATGGCTGGCTTACAGCTAGGTGCCCACTGTGCCGCGTAGTTGCGAAATTCCAGGTCCTGCACCAGGTTCTGCATGTGAGCCTCTGTCATCGTTATCTGAAGCTCCACAGATCCATCCTTGCGACGGGGCATCAAGAAGCAGACGCCGTCGAACACGCCTTGTGGGAAGCGAAAGTAGTCTGGCGTTCCCTGCTCGCCGAAAGTGTTCCCCCAGCTGATGTCGTAAAATGGAAGCTTGTATAGCGAGCTGAAGACGACGTCATTCGCAAGCCATGTCGGGTGAAGCAGACCAAGATTATGAACATCCGGAATGGAAGCTGCTAGCTGCAGCGTTTCCAGAATGACTTGCGGCTGCCTATGCTCGCGGAGGCTAGTACGAAGCTCGTTGGTGATGGAACCCAGCGAGGTCTGCCTATTTGATAGTTGCCTGGTGGTGCTGCAGGTGTGACTGTACAGGACTGCGTTGCCGAGAAACCCGTCGGTGATGGTCGGCGAGACGTCGTTGCGGACATCCATGGCCATCATCAAGGTCGAGGGCTCGTCTCGATTCTGCTCGTCCAAGCCTGTTCGTGCGCGTACGGCGCATCGCCATAATAGAGCCGCGACTGCTTCGGTTGTCGAAACCCTGTCGGAGATTGAGCACGTATTCTTCAGGCGCTCGAGGTTGTACCGGTCTATCAAGAACATGCGTGTCACGGTTGTCCCAGGGGCAATCTTGGCCGCCAGGACTGTGCTCGACATTTCCCTTGGGCGGTAGTCTAGTCCCAGCATCCGCCATGATCGAGGATTCTTCTTGAGTATTGCATATAGACCCTCTGTCACAACCGGATCCAGCGTCTCCGTATCCGATTTCCTCGGGCCAAAAATGTGCGTGTCTATGATGGTGGCCGAGTGTTGCTTGAGCGTTTGGGCCCAGTCTACATCCACCTCGTTGTCCCAGTCTTTCGAATCCACGATTTCTGCGATACGAGCTGCATGAGCCGCCCAGGCAGCCTTGACGGCGGCAACGCTGATGCCGTCCATGAGCGCATGGGAAGTGTTGAATACAAGGAGGCAGCCTCCCGAGACGAATATTGCTCTCATCGCCGTTGTTAAGCGGACACCCGGTTTGCCAGTGTCCCTGGTAGGCATTACCTTGGATGCATCAATACATCTCCGCGGGACTTGCATCTCCATAAGCCCTTTGTACGACCTGAACTCTGCGGTTCCGTCTTGGATGTCAAGTTCTGCTCTGGATGAGGAAGCACGTAATATCTTTGTCCCGGCTCGCGAGACTCCGTCGTCGGCCGGCATGATGACTCCTCCCAAGACTGGGTTTTCTTCCAGGAGACGGCTGTGGGACAGCTTCAGGATAAGTTTTGCTCTCGGTTGTTGGCGCTGAGGGCACGGAAAACAGAGTACATGACAATTGTCAATGTCTGGCATGATGTCATCCAACGGCCCAAGCTTCCAGAAGTCGGCCATGTTGAAAGGTGTTGTGTCTGCTGAGGAGTTGGGACTAGAGTTGTTTGTTTGAGGGACGAGTTAACAACATGATGTGAAAGGAGAGGGTGATGATGCCTGACATGAACTGATTTCAGTGCACGATAATACCCGTACAGCACCGGGCTACGCCACAGTTCCCAAATTAGCCAGCCACCCGGAGCTCGACGAATTGCCGAAAGAGGAAATTTTGTCGGGCCTTGGCCGGGTCCCTTAGAACCTACGGAGGAGTACTTCGTATTATTCCTGCTAAACCTCCGGCTGTCGACAATGGCCCATGCATGCTGCCGGACGGAAGATGGTAGTCGTACAAATCAGGTCGCCTTTTCTGGCCAAGGATCTGGGATGCCTACAACAACACATTCAGATTCAATTTGCTGCCCCCGTTCTGAATCGCAGGCAACAGATCTGCTCGACAACGGACCCCATGACATTTACAACAGCTCCTGGGAGCATGGGCATAAGCACCGCTGTTGCCGTTCTGGGTCTCGTCAGCGTGAGTCAAGCCGACAGAAGCCTCGCAAATCCAGACTAAATGAGCACCAAGTTTCTCGCAAGCCTCGTTTCGTTCATCATCTACCAAATCTACTTTCATCCTCTATCCGGGATTCCAGGCCCAAGGCTAGCTGCCGTAACCAATGTCGGTCAACCCCCAAGACTGGTCCATCTCTCGATCATCCTTGGAAACGTCCATTTTAACGTCGACGCAGCTTCCGTACAGTCGAAGCTACTTGGGCGGCCGACAGCCATGGGACATTCTGAAATTGCATGAGAAATATGGTCAGTGGCGCCCTACCAAGCCGACGGTTTCGCTTCGTTATTGCGACTGGCAGTGGCTCATGGAACGTCACAGGCCCCGTGGTCCGCATATCTCCCAATGATATTTCCTTCAATAGTGCCAGGTCGTGGCACGACATTTACGGTGTACGCAAAGGAAGATCAAACTGCTTCACCAAAAGCGACTTTTATGATGGGGGCAACTTTGCCGCTGAGGCCCATTCCATTGTCAGCGAGCGTGATCCGGCCAAACACCGTCAGATGCGCAAATTTCTGGCCCGTGCCTTCTCTGAATCGTCACTTAGGGAGCAGGAGGCGCTCATCGGGGAGACGATCGACCACTTCGTTCAAAGGGTTGGCAAGGAGGGCGTCGCCGACTTGACCCACTGGTTCAACTTGCTCACCTTTGGTACTACATACATTCGTCGGCATGGGATTGCCCTTTGCTCACGCTGCTCCGTTAGATATCATCGGCAAACTCGCTTTCGGCACCGACTTCCAAGGCATCGCATCTGGTAATACTCATGCATCACTCTCGGTGGCTTTCGTGTTGTCTGACGTAACCTACAGGCCAGACACACTCCTTGATTGATGACATCCTGGGTAGCATGTCTCAAGCCAGCCTTTCAGACACATGGAAACGGTTCCCTGTCATCGGAAAGATATGGATGCTCTTCAACTCTCGATGGGCGGCCCAACTTGTCGCAGCTGCAACGAGACATCAGAAGTATACTGTCGATTTAACTGCCAAGCAAGTATTAGCATGCGGCTGCGTGCCCGAGACAGCCGCTCCTGCGCAAAACGCTAACATTAGCTAGGAGGATCAATGAGCAGACTTACCGCAAGGATTTCATGAGTTATCTGCTCCGTGACCGTGCTGAGATATCCGATATTCAGCTAGCGGCCCACGCCTCCGACTTTGTGTACTTGACGTCCCCCTTCCTCTTGAAACCCTCCCAGACCAGCGCCTGACACAATTGTCATTAGAATTGCAGGAAGTGAAACCACCGCTACCACCCTCGCAGTCGTTTTCTACCACCTTTGCAGGAACCCCTCCGTCAAGAAGCAGCTTGAGCACGAGATTCTGTCGTCCTTTGGCGCATACGAGGACATCAACGCCACCTCGGCTTCTGCGCTCAAGTACCTGCACGCAGTGTGCCTTGAGGCCCTCCGAATGTTTCCTCCACTGCCTCTCAGTCTCCCCCGAGAAGTGCCAAGCCCGGGCGAGATGGTGGAGGGGTTCTTCCTGCCAGCAGGTGTAAGTCCTTTCCGCCCGTGCCTACGGCCGACGTAGCAGACGCATGGCCACCTCACCTTGGGGCAATTGCTAACTTTGGCAGACAATTGTGGCCACGAGTCCTTACGCGGCGAGCATGAGCCCAAACAATTTCGACAGACCCGACGATTTCCTGCCGGAGAGATGGCTAACAGGCGAACCGACGGATATCCTGGAAGCCAGCAGACCGTTCTCCTACGGACCCCGAGCATGTCTGGGACGAGCGTACGTTATCAACATATAATGGACCGACCTGGACCGACTTTGGCGCTCGTGTCGGCTAACATGCCCAATAGACTTGCGTGGGTGGAAATGAACCTCACAATATGCAGACTGGTGCACAAATATGAGTTTGCCATGTCAAACACGGACCTGGACTGGAACAAGAAATCGAAAATGCAACTGCTTTGGAAGAAGCCCAAAATGCTGGTCAAGCTAACAAAACGGCGAAATTAGGACAGTGTCGGCTATAGAACTTTAAATAGAAATGGGTGTGGCTACGGTAGCGGCCGTGTATGAATCTAACGGATAATATTCCAGATGCTATCGTGAACCCATAGCTTTATGTAATACAGCAGCGCTGTCGATGCACACCTCAAACTCGTGCCATCATGTCTCCAGGGCCCTCCTTGCCTTGGACTCGATTGTAACTAAATGAAGGATGCTATTGAGAGAGCCCCTATGTGCTAGAATATCAGTCATCTCCATCGGAGGTGCCTCCAGTTTTGGTGGCTGAGTTCAACAGATGCTACCGTACTCTCAAGCAGGGGCTTGAGAGCACAGTGGAAGAAATAGGGGCACAGAAAGGTGAATTTAGTGATGCATATCTTAGTCTATCTATTGGGACAAGAGAGGGGCTTATATAGGTACAGTGACCACACATAGCTAGCCAAAAGAGGGCATTGAGATGTTCCTATACCTGAGTCAGGCCTGCATGATGTCCTTGGGCTAGGGGAGTCATGTTGGTCAGGCAGGCTTCCTTGTGCATGACTATTGGGTCCACTGGGCATGACTGTGGCATCTTATGCCCACTCTCCACAACACGTACATTATACCTTCAGCAGAGAGAAAAGTATATTATCAAGGTCGTAGTAGCCGGAGGAAGAAAATTAATCATGTCTAATATGTGGGCAGCCACTTTTACACTCAAATCGGACCGTCATGTGGTTCCTTGATGGCGTAGGTCCTCCGAAACGATTTATCGATGCTTTCTAAGTAATATGTGCCAGCCGTCATGGTAGACAGGCTGCCAGTAGGGGTGTAGTCCTTGGCGCCATATGCCTTCTCCCTCAGAGCGCATGCCTGGCAAACAACTTAGCGTATGCACCTTGCACAAACAAACGGACAGACTTACCGCTTCGTACTCCTCTGGCGTGGCGATATGGCGACGATCCAGGCGGCCCATGAGGTCAATATTGTCCACCATGTCCTTAAGGTCGCCGGTGACCTTGACAGCGAACAAGGTGCTGGCAATGCCACTTCCATAGCTAAACAGGCCAATCGTCTTTCCACGGGCGGCCTCGACATCGATATTGCTTATCAAACTGATGAGAGAGCAGTATAGGCTCGCCGTGTACATGTTGCCGCATAGGCTGGGTGCGGCAATGCAAGGCTTGACGCGCGAGACGTAGCGTTCTTTGCTCAACGCCACAAAGGCCTTTTCCAGATCTTTGCATCGCAGTGACTCGTCGTAGCTCAAGTCACGCAGCTTGGCTGGTACGGTGCTCCAGATGACGTCGTCCTGTGACTGCAGCGCGTCGTTGTAGAGCAGCCGGCCGTAGGACTTGCTCACCAACTTGCAGTTTGGCGTGTGGAAAGCCATGTAGTCAAAGAGATCGAGGATGCCTTTTTTGGTGTCATCCTTCGGGCCATGGCCGTTGGCAAGACTTTTTTGTTTCTCCCTCCGCTGCTTCAGGGCGTTGTAGCACGCGTCGATGGCAGAGAGGTAGCATCTGATGGACTCTTGTCCGTTGACCAATGGGTACTCGGCCTTGAGGTCCGGCTTGTAAAAGTCAAAGGCGTGCGTCATGAAGGTCCCCCGAAGAGACACATCTACAGCGAGAGGAGCATCCGGCCCGACGAGGAGGGCAACGCAGCCGGCTCCGCCTGTAGGGCGCGAAGAAGGCTGATTGTATATCGCAATGTCCGAGGCCACGACGATGGCGTCTCGGCCGTCCCAGGATCGAGACTCTACCCAGTTGACGGCGTTGAACAAGGCATTGGTGCCGCCGTAGCATGCGTTGACGGTGTCGGCCCCTTCGAGGCTCGTGTTGCCGCTCGGTTCGAACAGCTGCGTCAGGACCGTCTTGACGGACTTGGCCTTGTCGATCATGGACTCGGTCCCAACTTCCAGCCGGCCGATCGACTTGGGGTCGATTTCGTACTTGCGGAGGAGTGAGGCCACGGCCGTCAGCGCTAGAGAACAGACATCTGCCGCATGTCAATAGGCGCACATGGCGGCATTCCTAAGCACTGACGAACCTTCCCTGTCGGTGCAAAAGTTCATGGATTTGAGGCCTAGACCGATGGTGTATTTGCCAGCCGACACGCCCTGGTGTTGCTCAAAGAGCGTTTGATCAAGACACTACTCGTAATCCAGCGATGAGCCTTGAGCTTCCTGGCGCCCTTACGACGGACATGTTTCGCACGGGCGTACCTGTCCGGGGACATAAATTTCCATGGCCTTGATGCCAACATTTTGAGGATACGCCATTGTGTCGGTCGGTGTTGAGCTTGGTTCTGGTCTCGGGAGCATCGGCCAGCGGTTTTGGGACGCAACCGAAATTACGAATGACAGGCGAAATGAACGAAACAGCATCTACTAAGTACTCATACTCGTACTGCGCTGCCAGCACTCGGCGGAGCGCCATGGTGCTTGAGTGGATGGATCACATCCCCTGTAGCCGACCAACCGACGCGGGTTTATCACTGGTATTACGGAGCAATTGCCCCTTCGAACCCGAAACCCGAGGTTTTCCGCACCTACTTCTCCACTATTATCAACGGTGAGACAACGTTCGCATGGCGACCTTTAAACACGGCTTCTATTGCGGTTGGAATCGCCGGGCTCGTCACTCCGTATTGTGGGGGTGGCTCGATGAGGGACGACGGCTCGTACATGGACGTGGGCTCCGATACCGTGCAAATACAGTACACGAGAAGAAGGAATTGGAGTACAGTACGGAGTAAGAGGAAGATATTGGAGCCCTTTCTAACTACCCGTTGGTCTAGGTGTGGGGCCACAGCAGCCCAACTAAGTGTTTGGCCCAAAAAATCCGGGATAGCACAAAAACCCTAGGGACAATCCTTAGGCCTAGTAATTTACTAGAAAAAGTATTAAGAAGTTAGTACTTCTTCGAAAATACGCTAAAATCTAAGGTACTTAATTCTTAACAGTTATATTAGTAATTTCTACTATTCTAAGATTGTCCCGGGGGTTTTTATGCTATCCCGGATTTTTTAGGCCAACTTAACGGCAGTCAGCCGCGCCTGCCTTTGACCAACGGGTAGGTTAATGCAATTGAGATGCAACCACGAGTGCTCCGTACGGAGTATGAGTACGAGTACGGAGCACTCCGTATGAGTACGCATATTATTACTCCGTACCTATAATACGTATTAATATGTGGGTAGACCGACAATTGTACACAAAGGGCAAGACGCGGATAACCCCTTTCGGAAGTCCACACCTCCCATCGGGTAGTCGGAACGAGCCAACAGTCAGCACGATACTGATGACTCCCAATGCTCTCGAGCGGCGTATATTTTTGAAGGTTTATACGGGCTTTGGCCTTGTTCAGCAGTGTACGGAGTAAGATTATTAGCTTTACAATCTGTGCTCTTATACCACCGCTTTTCTCCTCCAAACCGTCATCGGAACTACGTCACAGGTCTCAACCGACACAGCCGATTCTCAACATGGCAATTCACAGCGTAGAGCCGAATGGCATTCGGAATACCACCGCTGCAGTAGGGAGCAACACGGCGCACATGGGAAATCACCACGGCCTAGGGCAACTTGTATCTGCTCTCAACGGCCAAGTCACTGCCAACGGCACGGGCACGACTGCCACCGACCAGGCCCCCAAGCTTCAAAACGGCAATGACACCTCAAAGTCAACTGCAGAATCCAAGCTGCCCATATACAGGACCCTATTCAGCTCGTCACTGTTAAGGAGCTCGACGCGAACAATTCCCCCGTCGCCGTGGGCCCCCGCGTGTCACCGTCTGGTCGACCACGTCACCCGAGACGTAGACTCATGGTTTCTAGACAATTGGCCATTTCCCAACGACAACGCCCGGCAGGGATTCGTGAACGCCGGTTTCTCTCGCGTCACTTGCCTTTACTATCCGCTGGCAAAGGACGATCGCATCCACTTTGCCTGCCGTCTCCTCACGATACTCTTTCTAGTTGATGGTGCCTTTAACCCCTCCTCTTGCCTCCATAATTCATCTTGGTCTTGCCGCTAACATCGGGGTCTTCGATATAGACATACTGGAGCACATGTCATTTGAGGATGGCGAAGCATACAATGCGAGGCTCATGCCAATTGCCCGTGGCGATGTGTTGCCAGATCGTGAGTTGCCACCCCCAAGCTCTGCCACGGTGTCTTGAAACAGATGCAGCTAACGTTGGATGATGAGCAGGGACGATCGCAGTTGAGTTCATGTTTTACGACTTGTGGGAGAGCATGCGGGCGCACGACAAGGAGCTAGCGGACGAGGTCCTCGAGCCCACCTTTGTCTTCATGCGAGCTCAGACGGACAAGGCCCGGAAAGAAATCATAGAGATTGGGCAGTATCTCGAATACAGGGAGAAAGACGTTGGCAAAGCGTGAGTGATAGTGATGGACACCCTCCTCTTTGAGTCCGCCGAGCTTCTCAAGTAGGGATGGGATGCTAACATCTCGTCAAGGCTGCTGTCTGCACTGATGCGCTTCGTGATGGACCTGCATCTGACCGCCGCGGAACTGGAAGAGATAAAGCCAGCAGAGAAGAACTGTGCAAAGCACATCTCCATTGTCAATGACATTTACAGCTGGGAAAAGGAGCTCAAGCAGTCAAAGGCCAGCCAGGAGGAAGGTTCATACCTTTGTTCGGCCGTCAGGGTCCTGGCCGACAGCACCGGCCTAGATGTCGAGGCCGGCAAGGCGTGTCTCTGGACGATGGTACGGGAGTGGGAGCTGAAGCATGAAATTCTTTGCTCCGAGCAGCACGTCTCCACTCCGTACAACAAGGCGAAGTTGCTCTACTTGAAGGGTCTGGAATACCAAATGAGCGGGAACGAGCTTTGGAGCAGGACGACGCCGAGGTACATGTAGAAGAGTTTCACGGTTTCACTTTTTGAGCATATCTATAGTTATGAGAAATACACGGCTTTTTTGAGTAGGCACTTGACTGGGGTTGTGGCGCTGGCCAAACGGAAATCCGATAACTAAGGTTATATTATTAATCCGGTAAGAAATTCTGTTGAGGTCTGTGAGACCTAGCGCGCTAGACTCCTGTCCTCTTCAGTAAAGAACGATTCGACAGAATACTCGGACTAGACAAAAGTACTCGAGGTGGTTATTAATCTGGGTTTTAGTTGGGACAAAAGCTGTGGTGACGACAACGGGGCCAGCGTACATTGACATGGAGATGGCTTTCTTGATTGCAAAATGTCAACTGAGAAATATATCCCTAACCATGGTGCAACAAACACCGACCAGAAGCCCTCGATAAGTGAAACCCAGTGAGTATACTCGTACCTTGACTTATATGAAGGACGATCTTGTGTAGTGACCAACGGGTTTATAGGCATCTCAACGGGTCTTTAGAGATGTTATGCAAGCCATTCTACCCTATATATTCCAGAAATGGCTACCATGTATGCCGCTCAACTCTCCCCTATAAAAATTCTTCCCCCGCAAGAGCTGTTAATGGCTCGCTAACAGGGGGCCGAATTTGCAGGCCACCCGACCGCGCTTTTGCTGCCCGGGTCCATCGTGGCCCTAACAGCACAGAGGAAGACCTTAGGAGAGTTTATATTCCTCTGCAAAGCCGGTCTCGACAACACGTCCACTCGGACCTCACAGCTTCCTTCGGAACCAAGGAGCTATGGGTATTGGAAGGCCGCCCTTCTAAACAACGGTGGCTGGTTGCGTAGGTTTTTCTCCCTAAAGGCAAGCTACACGACAGCCTCTGATTCCTTCGAGGGTTTTTCCCTGCCACCGCTCCTACGCTATTTCTATCGTCTAGTTACTGAGGCATAGACTGCGATAGCAGCGTTAGCGAGAGAGCGAGAGAATTCTAACCGGATAAAACTAAGGGTTAACTATTGTGGCAATCGCTACGCGCCTAGACGACCCGCTAACGGGCACTAGGCTCCGATACTAAGCGCCTTAGAGCCGATAAAATACTAGATAGACTTCGGGAAGGCTAGCTATAGAGGATAGCCACGGACACTTATATTAGCGGGCTTAGCGATAATCTACTAGTAGAGGGGGTAGGAAAGCCGTCTCCGGGGATTAAGCCCGATAGCTTATTGCAGTACGAGATGGGCAGCAAGCATTGATCTTGAGTGGAACAAAGCTCTTGATTCTTCTATCTAGAGAGGGAGTGTAGATGATCTTATATAGCTAGAAGAATCAGTGGAAGTGAATGAATAACCCAGCTGTTGGGTTGTGGCTGTGAAAGGCGTAGGCAAAAGGAAGGTTAATTGCCTGCATTAGCCTAGGTTGACTGGAAGACCAAATGAGCCTTGGCTGAGTATACGGCCGAATATGCCTCGACTGAGGGAATGGTGAATAAGCCTTGCAAAAGAAAGGTTGATGAGGCTTGTAGATACTGATGTGCCAGTGTAACAGTGCAACAAGCCGTGCCCTTACTGCCTATATAGCCCGGAGGCTCTTCTTTTTCTAAGCTCTAGGGGGGGCTAGGGGGGGGGGCTAGGGCTAGGGTCCGGGGTCGGAAAAAGGGTCGTTAAAAAGACCTCGCATTTTTCCGTAAAGGTATTAGCTTTTACCTCTATCCCTTCTTTTATATACGAGATACTAGAAAGGGTAGGGTTAGCTTTAGCCTTAGTATAAGAAAAGGCTATAAAGATATCCTTTCCTATACTTCTATTAAGAAGCTCTCTTAGTATTGCTTTTTAGTAGCCTTAATAGTATACTTAAAGCTATTTCGGGCCTCTATAAAGCTCTTCTAGCTCCCCTCGTCCTAGGCTAGCCTATAAGCCCGTTAGGCTAGGCTTAGGGCTTTCCGAAGGCAGGTTAGCTCGTCGGTCTACTAGGGCTTAGATCCCTTATAGGGCCTCTTTTTCGGTATCGCTGCGTTCGAGGCCTCTATAAGGGTTCTTATTAAAAGGGAAGCTATCCCTTCTAAGTCGTCTCTTTTTATAGCCCTCTTTATAGCTATAAAGAGGTCCTATTCCTTCTTAGCTAAGTATTCTAAAAAGACCTTCTAGTCTACTTTCCTATAGTTATAGGTAGTAGGCCTAGCTAGTAGGGGCCTATTAGGGCCCCTTAAGCTAGCTTTAAAGGCTATAGGCTTATAGTCTAAGCCCGTAGCCTCTAGGAAGCGGAAGTTAGCCTAGGTTAGCTATTTAAAGGGGCTATAGAAAGCAAGGTCTATAACCGAGGCCCCTTTTAAGCCTTTCCTCTAATAGGTGCCTTCTATAGTTACCTTAAGGTCCGTTAGTAAGGAAGCCTTATAGCGGTCGAGCTAGCTAATAAGGGCTTCTGCCTTACGGGCCTTAGAGGGTTCCGTAGAAGGGTTCTAACAAGGGTAGTGTAGGTTAAAGTCCCCTACTAGTAGGAAGGGCTGCTATAGGAGTTAGGCTGTTAGCAGCAGCCTTTCTATCGTAAGGGGCCCTTGCCGGCCTTAGCTAGCTAAGGCCCAGCTGGTATCCCTTAAATCCGCGGCATAGATCTCACCGCGTCAATAACATACACTCTATCCTCTCATAATTTACAAAATACTCTTCTAGGAAACTAGCTAGGTAGATCACTCACGGCGATAAAATTAGTTTACTCTTGAACATGTAGCAATCACGCAATTCTGGGCTCGTCAGGACATTGACAATGGTTTTCTCACGAAGAAAGTCAGCAGAAAGGGCATATAATGTAGTAATAAGGTAGTTTTATTGTATTCCGTATCTCTGTCCTCTTGTTTTTCTGCCCTAAACCCAAGCCCCTATTTATATCCCTCTTTCGTAGTATAGGTAATGGGCTGAGGGAGGCTGGGGGACCCCAGCCTCTCGACTGGAGACGTTCCAGTCTCAAATAGCAGTTTTCCAGCCTCCTCGTGTCGAGAAGAAGGGTCTAAGACTTGGTCCTGAAGCCTGATAGCTAGCTGAAGGTGTAGGGGCGAGACAGGATAAAACGGGGAGGACGTGGCACGCTGACGCGGAGAGATGGGTGCCTATGGATTAGTAAGTCCGCAAGGAAGAAGATGGAAGACGGAGGAAGAAGCAGGGCAAGGGGATAAATAAAGGGCCTATGACAGAAGGGAAGAAGGAACACACATGCACCCAAAAAAAAAATCATGCCCTTTGCCCTGCTTTCTTCGTGAGACCTCGTTTGACCTGGTTGACAGCTCCCTTGTTGGCCCAGCTACCCATGTGTGACCTGGCTGACTCAATCGAGAGACGTTCTTCGCGACATGTCGGGAACAGTCATTGGATGTGTGTCGGTTGCAGCGCACCTGTTGGAGCGCGTTCCACCTTTGCCTGCGTGGCGCAATGGTCTTCGCGACAGGTTTCGGTTATAAGAAACCTCGCTACACATTGATCAAACGCGGCGCGATGGTTGTAACTATTGTACCCGCTAATATGTCTTGTGTCCGACGGTCGAATTCTTACCGTACTCTCTGAAGGCAGCCAATAGCCATGCCAGGGTTTCGTAGCCAGATATAACCCGGTCACGGAAACTAATAATGCCCATCTTTTTGTCCGTAAAGGAAGCTCAGATATTAATTGAAAAGAGGAACTGCCCAATTTGGCAGATGGCCGGCCCTGTAGGTATTTCCCTTTTTCGTGGTTCCATTCAGCAGCGCACGATTCCGTTAGACCCGTCACCCGGGACTCCCTTCGATGCTTGACACGCCACTAGACGGTCATCATTCTCTTCTCTCACCCCACCTTTTCCTCTCAATTCTTTCTGTTACCTGCTCCGACCGCGGGCGGTGTCAAGGTCTCACGACCATGCGATCGCCGAGGTCATCAAGGGCTGCAAGGCCCCAGAAGCAAATTGGCTGATCTGACCACGGGACAGCTTTCTCTTCATGCCTGGACGTCCCGCTGACGGGCAACAGGTTTGTCATGAGCGCCCTTGAGCCGATGAAATGCTGGATAGTGGGTGAAGTGTACGATATGTAGCATGCAGACACCCGCTAGCTCAGCACGTCCTGTGCTCCCCTGCGGAGACCTGAGCGGCCAAAGGCTGCTGGACGGAAAATACACTAAACTAAACTAAACTAAATGTTGCGAGCCGCCAGAGTCAGCGGCGATTGACCCACTCAAAAAACCCCCATATGGAGATATCCTTATTAATATTATCAAGGGCAAAAATACCCCTTATGGAAAGATATTCTTGTTTTCCACGGCAAGGGCCACCACGCAGCGAATCAGTTGCGACGAGGCAGGCTTAGGGTGCCCCGTTCAAGAGCGTGACGGGGACCTCCTTCGGAACATTTTCAGATGCCCCAAAGAGACAATCAGATTCAAATTGTGTTACATATGGAATACAGAGGCCAGTTCGTCCAGCCTTAGAGTGGTACAATAGATTCAATTACGCTCTTAGTTGCCTGGTTGTTCGCACCAGACATTCACCATTTCCATTTGAAACCGGCAGCCACGATACCAGGATGACGTGGGCGCAACAGATTCTACGTCTTGACCGGCTGGCACAGTTTCCACTCTTCAATGAACAGCGGCTGTACGAACAGCGACATAGTATCCTCGTTGCTATTGCCGCTGCTTTCTTGTTGTATCGCCTCCTCTGGGTATACGCCCTCGATCCAGCTGAACCGAAGCTCATCAAGCCCCTGATTCCCATCGTCGGCCATGCACTGAGCATCTACAAGCATGGATCCCGCCATTTCACTTGGATTGCGTCAGTATTGGCCCTCTGTTCAGATTCGGCATGGACCTAACCCGTTGGCCTCCGCGTAGGCAAAAGACTGGCCTGCCCATCTACCAGATCCCAGTCCCTTCGGGCAAGATTGCCATTGCAGGCACTCCAGAAGTCCTGAGCTCAATCGACAAGAGTCCCAGAGCTGTTGCCTTTGTGCCGATTGCAGCTCGCGTCATCGAACGCCTCTCCGGCCTCTCCCCCCAGGGCTCTAAAATTCTCCTGGACAAGACTGTGGGCGAAGACAGATGGGAAGGGTACATGTACGAAGTTTCGAAGGGAGTTCACGCCACCTTATCCCTAGGACCCGACTTGAAAGCAATCACGGACCGCGTGGCCTACGACCTCAACGATTCCATGAGGAAGTTTCACGGCAAAAAGACTAGAGTAAACGTCTTGACCTGGTTCCGGCATGAGTTTGGCATGTCATCGACGAATGGCATCTACGGACCCAAGAATCCGTTCAAGGACCCCAAGGTGGAGGCGGGCTTCTGGTGCGTCGCGTGCTTCGAGAGGCCGGGCAGTGTTCAAGTCGTGCTAAGGTTGCAAATAGGGCATTCGATGATGCAATCACCGACCTCCTCGTCTCTCGACACTTTTCTCCTCGTGGCCACTCCGGCCGAGTAGATGCCTGGCGCGGCTTCATCGAATATTTCAAGAACGGGGATCACGAGCAGGGCTCGGAGCTCGTCAAGGTGCGACATCAGGTGGCGCTTCGGCGCGGTTTAAGCGTCGAGGACACCGGCAAGCTCGAGGTCACCATGATCATCGGCATCCTGACCAACACGGTTCCAACGATATTCTGGGCCGTCTACTACGTCTACCGAGATTCGGCGCTCCTGGAAAAGCTGCGCCAAGAAATCGCCCCCCTGGCCGAGCTAAGCATCGACTCGGAGACGGGCTCCAAGACATGGACCCTGCCGGTGAGCGGCCTCAAGGAGAGGTGCCCCTTGCTGGTGGCCACGATCAACGAGACGCTGCGCCATCGAACGTGCGGCATCTCGAGCCGAATGGTCACCGAAGACGTCTTGCTCAGCGACCGCTACCTTTTGAAGAAGGGGACGATCTGCGAGCTGCCCAACAACGTGCTGCACTCCAACCCGGCATACTGGGGCTCTACCGTGGACGAATTCGACCCCACACGATTTCTGCTGGATGCGGGCTCCAAGGAGGCTCGCCGGGCGCGAGGGGCTTTCCGGCCCTTTGGCGGTGGTGTCTCGCTCTGTGCCGGGCGGCACCAGGCCATGTCGCAGATGATTTGCGCCCTGGGGCTCTTTGCGATGGGCTTCGACTGCAGCTCGACGGATGGGGGCGAGTGGAAGTTCCCCGGTGCTCACGGCCACACGATTGCTGCCGCGGTGGACCTGCCGTCGTCCGACTTGCTGGTTGACGTGCTGCCGAGGGAGGGATTTGAGGCGGATTATTGGCAGCTGGATACCGCAAACTGAGGCTGGAGGTGCCCATCACTATATAGTCTTAGAGGCATGGTTCAACCGCTGGCCACAGAGGAGCTGAACGTCGAGGCGATGTTTATACTCGGAACATGTACGCCGAGTGAATAAGTGATGCATGTTAGAATCGCGTTTAGCTTCCATAATCGCGCTTGGCTTCTAATACTTGGATCATGTACTTCGTACATGGCACACAAACTGGGGGAATAACGTCCATTATTGCGTCTTGTTTAGGACCTGGTGGGCTTTTTAAACTCTATTGGACAAGGAAATTGCGAGATTCGGCAACAAGCCTAGCCTCGCGCAACAATCGTCATGGCCATTGTCCATAAACGTGTTGCGAATCGCCTTGATGAAGCGGGCCAGTTTCAGCGCCCGGGTGTGCAGAAGCTGTCCGATAATGATATCCCTATCTTCCGCATCCTCTATGACAAAGCTACCAACGGATATGGCGCTCTGTTCCGACGACGAAGACGCAGCGCCCACCAGGTTGGATGGTTGGGGCATCTTCCCGAGCTCGCTGCGAGGCGTGCGCAAGCCGGGGGATTTCCCAACGCCCTCTCTGGCCGCCACCGCAACGTGGAGATGGGTGAGCTGCTCGACGTTGAGCAGAAGCAGCTGCGCCACCTCGCGCCGCGATATGCAGCTGCCGCAGCGCCGCTCGAGCCGCTCCCACAGCTCGGTGCTGTCTTTCTGGACGGCCAGGAACTTGTCCACGGTGGGGCTTGGGCTATTGGACGGTCCCGCCTGGTGGTTTCCAGCCCAGACGCTGAGGTTGTACAAGCTAGCGGTGAGCTGCTGCAGGCATGTGTGCGCCGCCGTCGAACAAGCCGAGGCCGGCGCTGGTTGCGCCTTGATGTCGGTGTGCCCATGGCTGCAGTGACGGAGTGCGGAGTCTGGGATGGTGGCTACCAGGTTCTGCATGTTTCCAGACGCCATCGCAGCCGCTGTATTAGCTTGTGGATCTGTTCCATGTGGAATCATGGATGGTGCATTATCGACGGCGGTCCATTCCGCTGCCGCGTCACAGTCCATGTCGTCCGTGGGGATACGCGGAGCGTCGCCTGCGTCCATATCCATGCTCGACTCATATTCTGTGAGAGCAGCCGATCCCAGGAAATCCCACATCCAGGAATCCCTACATGCACTTTGCGGGGACGCATCTCCAGGTTCACCAAGAGTGGCATTGGGCGTGGGGATCTGCCAAGCCGCGGCAGCGTGTTGCCCTGGCGTTGTGGGCAGCGTCTCCGGACCCGGGTCCGTTAGAGCCTTGGACGGTGAATCTATGGGCGTTGCTGAGCTCGAATGGTCATCGACAAGCTCAACGAACCCGCTCTCGCTGGCCTGCGCCGGTTGTTGGCCGGCCTCTGGTGCCTGCTGTTTCCCCTTCTGCCCTGCCTGGCCGGTTCTCGGTTGCTTCCCGCCCGCGCATCGGTATGCTCCCGGGTCGACCATGATAAACCTCGACCCATTCTTGCCATGTCCATGTGCGGCCGGGCCAACGCGCTGGGAACCGCGGCGAGCAGAACTCGGAGAGAAGGTGCAAATTTTCCCAAGACTGACGCACCGATAGCAGCTAGACCTGCTGCCGCTGCATTTGACCTGCAATACGAAGCGTACCTGTTAGCCAACAAGGTTGTGCGCATCAACGGGTCAGCCTGGCGACGAGACCGATAATATCAGTACCTTGTAGATCCTACACTCGTCACAGGCGAAACGCCGTTGCGTCTGATGCTGCTGGGCTCCTCGGCCAAGGCCGCTCAGTGGTTGTATCATTGCATGTCCGGCTCTCGGCGGGCGAAAGACATGGAGCTAAGCATGGGTTTGGAGACTGAGCAGACGGACGGACGACGGCGAGGGAGGTCGAATGATTTGTGTCTCTTCGCAGACGCTCCGCCTGCTCGGTCTTACCACGGACCGTTATGTCATCTAAGGTACGGATATCCCCAAAACTTGCCCCCGGTTAGCTCACATGGTGGTTGAGCTGTTGGCTTGCGTACTCGCACCGCCGCCTGCGCAGTTGCGAACTTGCGAACTGATGACTCTGCAGGTAAACTCCACCTGCTGCTGACTCTTCGGCGAAATTCCGACTGAGCTCCACCTGCGTTACAACGGATGGCTCAGACTCCGAAGGGACCTTGGTCCTTTGAGGTTTAAGTGCGTACGTAATCCTCTTTGCAGCAACGGTTTTGATATCTGTGGACCACTAATGGAGGTTACGGTCCGGACTCCGGAGTATGAGCATTTCGAAATATCTACGTCGCAAACACACAAGTGACTACGAAGTAGCAACTGCTGGCTTTGAATTGCAAGGCGCGTGGGAACTTGTCGAATCCCGACAGCCTTACGAAGTACTGCGTGCTTGCCGGTGGCTATAATTATCGTGCGAGGTTATGCTAACCGCTTGTATGTTTACGAAGTACGAAATACTCCGCAAGTCCGTTCTTCGTTCCGTAACCTCCACATATATCAACATTGTTGCTGCAAAGACCTGCGTACGCACTTGAACAGTAAAGGATCATAGCGGGGCATATCGTAACCCGTATGAGTACTCGTATGTTTCGTACCACATGTCTTCGACAGCACTTCGCCTGTGCCGACCCGTCTGTGGTTGCATCGCGGCTCTCGGACTTGCTGATTTCGGGGGCCGAGGCGTCCCGTTCGCTGACTGCGCCCACTTGAAAATTCATACGAAGTACGAGTACTATGCAGCCAGCTTCGGAGTGCATCGGATGCAGTGGGTCACGGTCCGTTATCATCGGCGGAGCGGAGCACACAGTGATAGATATCCCAAGCTCCGGGGTGGTGCCCCTGGCGGCGCGTCTGCAAGGGGGAAAAGACGCCGAGAACGCCAACACGAGTGCGGTGTTTGTTCATCCGATTTACTGTGGGACGGACCAGCCTGCCCTCCGGGTCTCTTCCAGACTACGGAGAGAATCTGCACCTGCTTCGGCAAAACACGAACTACTACTCCTGGCGAGAGCACGCGACCATGAGACTTCGAGAGGTCGGCAACAAGTCGTTTAGCGATCCGTTATCCGCAAAGACTCTTTTACTCTCTTGCAGTTTCGCAACTGGCGTACGGTGCAGAGACATGGAACCGGTCCGACCGCTTCAAGGGCTCGACGTAGCCCTCGGGGTCATGGAAGCGTGCCAACCCTCGACATTCACAGCCCCCAATCTTTTTGGCTTGCATGTCCTCTCCTTAGCAGCTGGCCTAGTTACCAACTACACCAAAACGGCACCTCAAAGAGAGACGGTCCACCATCCGACCATCGAGGTAGAAAACGCCACGTTCTGCAATGTTACAGTGACGTACACACACCCGGGGCAGGGCGACACTGTCAACGTCGAGACGTGGCTTCCCATCGGTAACTGGAATGAGCGTCTGCTTGCCGTGGGCGGAGCAGGTTATGTGGCGGGCCGGTTTGCATATTCTGAATTCGCCATGGCGGCGGCACTCGGCCAAGGTTTTGCGACGGTTACTACGGACGCGGGCTTGGGAGATGAGTTCTCTCCCGATGCATGGGCGCTCCTCAGTGCTGGAAACGTGAACCTCTATAACCTTCAGAACCTGGCGTCCAAGTCTCTCCACGACCAGGCGAGTTTGAGCCATGCTGCGGCGGGCGCCGAATACCTGAATGCTGACACACGTTGATGCCCAGGCCGTCATCGCCAAGTCCGTTGTCAAAGACTTTTACGGCAAGTCGCAAAAGTACGCTTACTGGAGCGGCTGCTCGCAAGGCGGAAGACAGGGGCTCATGCTCGCCCAGCGATATCCTGACGCGTACAACGGCATTGTCGTCACAGCCCCGGCTATCAACTGGGGGGAAGTCGTGCCTAGTTTCTTCTGGCCGCAGCTGGTCATGAACGAGCTGGGCGAGTATCCCGCCCCATGCGAGTTTGCGTACCTGGCGCAAGTCGTCGTGCAAGCCTGCGACGGCATCGACGGCGTCATAGACGGTGTGATTTCGCAAATGGAAAAATGCGCCACCAGGTTTGATCCTTTCCAACACGTGGGAGCCGATCTGCAATGCGCTGAACTGGGACGGTCGGTCAAGCTCAGCCGTGCCGCTGCCATCGTCGCCAACGCAACTTGGTCCGGCCCCCGACGCTCCGACGGCAGCTTCCTCTGGCACGGCATTGGGTTTGAGTCAAACTTTCAGGGTTCCTACGGGCCAGGCATCGCAGCAACGGACTGCAGCCAAGGCAGATGCGCGGGCGCGCCAACGCCGCTCGGAACGCAGTGGCTGCAGCTGTTCCTCAAGAAGGACCCGACGTTCGACGTGAAAACGGTAACGCGCGCGGACTTTGACGAGCTCTTTCACGCTTCGGTAGCGGAGTACACGTCGATGTTGGGGACGAGGGATCCAGATCTATCCGGATTTCGCGACGCAGGAGGCAAGATCCTCGGCTTTCATGGTTTAGTAAGTTCATGCTGTCGTCTCCGTGTAAGTGCGGAATCGAATCGGTGATGCTAACTCGGAGCAGAGCGACCAGCTGATCCCATACAAAGGCACTGATGACTACTACAACTCTGTAACCAGAGGCATGTCTGATGCGCACGACTTCTATCGCTACTTCCACATCCCCGGCTACGGGCATTGTGCGGGTGGGAATGACGCTTCGCCAATGACGGCCTTTGCGCAGCTCCGTGCATGGGTCGAAGAAGGCAAGACTCCAGAAACGGTGGCCATCCGATTCAAGGACGCCGATGGAAGGGAGTTTCACAGGCCCCTTTGCCCGTACCCACAGGAAGCATATTACGATGGGGGAGATCCCACAAAGTTGGAGAGCTTTGTTTGCAGGGAGTAGACTGCGACTACTTGTCGCTCAATTGTACTGCCATGTACGTCGAACTGAGAGATTGCACGCGAGTTGAGGCTGACCGTCATTCTTGATGACTGAATAAAATCAATCCCTCGCCTACATGCGCCTATGTTGATTTCGCGGAGGTTGCAGCATTGAGCTGCTGATGCGAGGGGATGCAAGGCAGCAGGTGCAGTGCTGCTGTGGTACGATCTCGAGTTTGTGACAGATGGAGGAGAGTACAGGCAGGATCCGTAGGGAGGGGAGACTCCTCCCGAGTCCATGCTCCCCATCAATTCTGAGGGCCTCGGCTTCAACCACATAGCGACTGCTCCAAGGAAACTGTTGTAACAAAGTGGCCAAACATCGGATCCCTGCCTCCTTTGACCTCGATGCTTTCGACCAGTTGTCTAACTTCTCTCTGCTCTTCATCCGTAACGTGCAGATGCGACGCAGCCACGTTCTCCTCCAAGTAGTTGACGCTCCTGGTGCCGGGGATGACAAAGATGTGCTCGTTTTGACGAGTCAACCAAGCCAGGACCAGCTGAGCGGATGTGCAACCCTTGCGGTCGGCAATCTCTGCCAACTTATCCACGAGCTGCGCGTTCTCTCCAAGGTTGCCCTCCTCAAAACGTTGAAGCATGCGACGGCTGTCGTCAGGCTCCAAGTCACTCGCGGAGCGGTAACGACCGGTCAAGATGCCCCGGCCGAGCGGCGAGTATGCAAACATGGCCACGCCCAGCTCCTTGCACGTATCCATCAAGTTGGTGCCAGACGGTCCCTCGATGTCGCGGGTCCATGGGTTATATTCCATCTGGACCGCAGATATTGGATGCACCGCGTGGGCTCGACGCAAGCAGTCCGACGACACTTCGGAGAGGCCAATGTACTTTATTTTCCCTTGCCTGTCACTCGTTAGTCCGTTGCCTTGTTCGTCCTTGCTCGTGGCTGTGCGCAAACTCACTCGACCATCTGCTTCATTGCGGCAACGGTTTTCTCGATGGGCACCGCTGGATCCGCGCGATGCACGTAATACAGGTCGATCTGTGTCACTCCCAGGCGCGCAAGGCTTTGCTCAATGGCTTCCCTGCAGAAATCGGGACTGGAATCCGCATGGATGCCGTCGCTGCAAGCGCGGAGACCAAATTTTGTCGCGAGGAAGATGTCCTCGCGACGCCCCGGATGGAGCTGGAACCATTTGCCAATTGTGTCCTCGGAATCCCCGTAAACGTCCGCGGTATCCCAGTTGGTGCAGCCTAGCTCCCAAGCGCGGTCCAAGAGCTTGAGTTTGTCCTCATCGGTTCTGCAAAGGTTAATAGCTGCAGTTGCAGGGCGGTGCAGGCAAGGAGGTGGGACACGCACCCAGTGGAACCGTAACCAATGCTCATGCCCATGGCACCAAAGCCAACAATGGGGACATAAGGGCCGAGCCTGCCTACTCGGCGGACGGGGAGCTTGGACGGCATGCTGAGGGCGAGTGTGCGCGTCCCTGTTGATTGTGATACTTTGTACGAAGTATTCGTATGAGATCTCGGCTGGGTCGGTTTTATAGGAAACAGTTCCGGCGGCTACCAGTTATAATCATCAACTGTACATGGCTCAAATAGGCATATGTACTCGTATACTCCGAGTCTCCACATGGCGACTGAGATTTTCCTCTCTGGGCTGGCGATGTGGCAGCACCATCGGCGAGGCCCGCCCCGACTCTTGGGGTCAGCCGGAGCCAGTTGCGCGTTTTCCCTGGAGTCCCCAAAGAATACATGCTGCAATCAGGATACGTACCCTTTGCACTTACTCGTGCCCGCCCCACCTTTTCTGTATTCCGGCAAGCCTTCACCAGCCAAGCTGCACACACTCCCTTGTATTCTTACTTTCTTGGCACCATCTGTTAAGGACTTCGCTGTACACAACACACATCCGCTAACAAGGGCGTTTAACACCACGCTCAGCGCAAGCTGAGGGCGGCGATGGCACCCAACCCCGCGGACCAGGCGCGACTGCCGCCCCAGGAACAAGAGCCGATGACTCCCACGAACGCCCCAGGAGCTAGAGAAGCGCTCCTCCGGCAGGCCCCACGCGCGGGTCTTGCCGAATTACTGTTGCCACGACGCGCACAGCAACCCGACGACTCTCCATTCGGCTCCACGAACAGCGACAATGCCCACACCGACACCGACCAGCTAGACGCTGTAATGGGAGACGCAGCAGACGAAACCGAGACCGACGAGCCGGACGACCTGCCCGAGGCTCAAGGCCCAGCAGTAACGGTTGCCCACGCGGCAGAGACTTATCGCCAACCAGATGGAAGCACAACAGGCAAAGCTGGCCGTCTTCCGCGCATTCTGCACCGCCTTCGACAAGACGGCTGCCCAGTTCAACTCGGGCCACGCGCTCAGCTTCGCGAAGGAATTCTCGCGCGGCTTCATTAGCTACTGGGACGACGCGCTCAACGGCGCGCCCACACGCGCCGGTCAGAATGTCAACAGCCGCCACGGCAGAGACGGGACCGCACCGACCTACGCCGCTATGGCCCAGAAGGGGATGGCACAGACAAGGGCCCCCCTGCCGGCACGCCTCGGCCCGAAGCCCTGGAAGGCGCCTCCGGTCCAGCCGCCTAAAGATGACCTGCGTGTCTTCGTGCGGCTCGACGACAAGTCCCCAGCATGGGGCTATCAGGGGCATGCCATCAGAGCTCACGTAGCTAAGACTCTCAACCTAGGGACAGAACGCATGCCACAGATCGCCCGGGTTAAGACTGGATGGGCTATACGGGCCTCAGACCGGGAGGCGAGGACCTGCTTGTGGAACGGCAGGACGACTGGGCGGCCCGCCTCGGGGCCGCGGCGGTTGAAGGCTTCAGAAGTGGCACACGTACGCTGTGGCGGACTGCCCCAGGCAGCTCACGGATATCTGGGGGGCCGCCGTGGACTATGACCAAGCTATCAAAGAAGAGATCAAGCTCCAGACAGGTGCCGAACCAATTGATGTGCACATTGCTAAGAGATACTCCGAAAGCTCCGACCAGCCCACTGTGACAATGATTGTGTCCTTTCAGGCGGCGATACAGAGGAGATGGCGGCTCTTCGGCACCAGCCGACTAGCCCGACTGATCGCCAAGACCGCCCGGCCCGCGCAGTGCGACACCTGTTGGGATTATCACTCCCGCTACGCCTGCGACCGAAAACAAGCCTGCCGACGATGCGGCGGGAAAGACCATCGCGATAACGACTGCAAGCAGCCGGAGAGGTGCGCGAACTGTTCCGGACCCTTCCCGGCGGACCATAAGGAGTGCCCTGCCAGACCCAGGCGCTCACGGCCAACTCGTGCGGCTCTCCAAGATCGAGAAGTACGCCGTAAGGAAGATCGGCTCTCAGCTATACCGGCAAGCCAATATGGAGCTCGAACGGGCCACGGCGACCGCCTCCCCAACCCTCCCAAGGACCGACCCGTCGCCCTGCATGAGAGCTGCCGAGGCCCGCCTAGGCAAGCAACAGGACCAGCAGCAGCAACAGCAGCAGCAACAGCAGCAGCAATGTCGACCCCAGCGGCTGCCCCACTAGCGCGCAGGCGCCAGACTCCACAACGCTCCTCCACCACAGGAAGACAGATCCGAGTCTCCTATGAAGAGGCGCCGACGAAACGTATCCCTGGACCCCTATGAACAATAGGCCCTAACACTAACAACTCGCGACAGGAGGACGATCCGAGTTCTCCAGGCCAACGTGGCCAAAATAGGGGCCTATCATAGCATAGCCCTACGACTAGCGGAAGCAGAAGACTACGACGTCGTGCTCATCCAGGAACCGAACGTTTGGATAGAAAAGAAGGCGGAGCCTGCAGGACCCAGACGCACCGCTCCTTCCACGCATTCGCCCCAGAACGCGCCTGGGAACCGGATCAGGCCCCGAGTGATCTCGTATGTCCGGAACCACCCAGATATACGGGCAGAGCAACTCTGCCCCGCCCCTACGCGTGATATCCTGTGGCTCCGGGTAAACAGCACCCTTATTATCAACTTCTATCGACACGCGAAGACACCCGAGCCACTCGACTACCTCCTCCACCAGCAGGACGTCCCCGAGAGATGCCTCATCGCGGGCGACTTCAACGCCTGTCATTTCTCCTGGCAGCCTGGAGCCCGGAGTGCGAGGAACGGAAGGACATCGCCCAGTGGGCGGCCGACAAGGGCTCGGACTGCTCACCACGCCAGGCGAGGCCACACACGCCCGCGGAAATACCATTGATCTAGCCTTTGCCAATATCCCTCTGCTGACGCGCTTATCGAAGAGCACCTTCATACCGGCTCGGACCATTACACGATCAGCATTACGCTCCCGGCGGATTCCCCCAAGGACGATAGCTAGACCAAGGGTAAGCTCCGAGGAAGAAATGAAGCGATTCGAGGAACTTGTGCGGGCTGGGGCCACAGCACTACCCCGGCTGGCCGTTGAGCCCAGAGGCCTGGAGAGGCTGGCCGAGGCGCTGTCTCGCCTACTCCAAGAGGCGGCCGACGCAGCGGGCCGACGGCCCAGGAAGAACGCGAGAGGCACCCCATGGTGGAACGATCAGTGCGCCGGTGCAGCGGCCGAACTAAGAGCTATGCGGCGGATCTACCCCACAGGGCACGGCAGAGAGGTCCAGACTGCCCGGCGGGAGCTGCGCCGGGCGGTACGGCGGGGTAAGAGACATTTCTGGCAGACTGTTCTAGAAGGCGCCGAGAGCAACCAGGATATCTATAAGATCATGCGGTGGTCGAGGAAACCGAGCCCGTTCCGGGCCCCGCCTATACAGGTAGGCGACCAGGTCTTCGAGACCCAGACGGAAAAGGCAAACGCGCTCCGAGTCGAGATCCTAGAAAGGCGCGGGGCCGCGGACGACATCCCGGACCCCTGGGCCCCAGAGGTGCTGGCCCCAGGGAGGACTCTCGACTGCAGCGTCACGCTCGCGGATGCGGCATGCGCCTGCACCTCTACGGGCAACACCTCCCCGGGGATCGACGGCATCACGGTCCGAATGCTGCGTCGCGTCTGGAACCACATCGGCGAGGCGGTGAGGGGACTATATGAAGGCTGCCTACACCTGGGCTACCACCCCGCTTGTTTCCGCGCAGCAGAGGTCGTAATGATCCTAAGCCTGGCAAGAGGGACCTGTCTATTCCGAGAGGCTGGAGGCCGATTTCTCTCTAGCTTGCCTCGGCAAGGGACTCGAACGCCTAATAGCCCGGCGCCTAGCCTGGGCTGCGATCACACAACGAGTCATCCACAGCCAGCATGCGGGTGCCCTGCCCAAACGTTCAGCGCTCGACCTAGCGCTAGCATTGCTCCACGACGCGGAGACGGCCCTCACCGAGGGAAAGTCGCCACGCTAATCACGATGGATATACAGGGCGCCTTTGACACGGTTCTGCGGAACCGGCTCCTCCTACGCCTACGGGAACAGGGCTGGCCAACAAACCTGGTCCGGTGGGCAGGTTGCTATGGAGCAGAGATCGGCCAGAATACGGCTCGAGGATATAACGACGCCGACAACCCCCCTGACGTGCGGGCTGCCACAGGGCTCCCCGGCCTCCCCGATTCTCTTCCTCCTCTATACAGTGCCCATCTACTCGATAGGGGAACCGAACTCGCGCTTCGGCTACGCAGATGACGTGGCCACCCTGATCCGGGGCCGGTCCCTACAGGAGACGGCCGCCCGGGCCACGCGCGCCGCGGGTGAGCTCATCCAGTGGGGAGCCGATAATGGCGTAGTGTTCGACCCGGGCAAGACAGAAGTCATCCACTTCACGAGACCGAGATACAAAGGGGACCTGCCGTCGGTCTGGCACGGGTCCGTAGAAAGGAGCCACAGCAGGACCTGCGCTGGCTCGGCGTCTGGTACGACAGAAAGCTCTCATTCCGCACGCATGTGGAGAAGTGGGCCGCGAAGGCGATGACGGCCGCAGGGTTCCTCCAGAACCTCTCAAACACCCGGCGCGGAATCCTCCCGGTCGACACGGCATGCGGTCACGGCCTGCGTCCTCCCGATCCTTTATACGGCGCCCATGTATGGTACCCGGGGCGCTTCGGCCTGTGTGGGGGACTGCCCGCTTAGTTCCGTCGCGGATCACCTACCTGAAGAATAGGATCCAGCTGACCTTAAACGTCGCGATGCGCGCCATCGCGCCCGTCTGGTGTACCATGCCCATTGTGGCCCTCCACCGAGAGACCGGGATCCCCTGCCACGCTGCTCCTCGCAGACGCTCAGAGACGCGCCGCGGTCCGTCTACGCTCCTAGATGAGCGGCACCCTTGACACCCCGTATGAGCATCCTCCCAACGCCTGGCCGGGAGCTAATGAAGAGGCACGGTATGCGGGCCCCTCGCGCGGCCCAGAAGCAGCACGCCTCGAGACTCCTGCGTCTTCACCAAATGACGGCCCATGCTCCGAGGCCCCGACTTCTCCCCCCAGCACCCCCTCAGCCCGACCCGACAGGGGGCGTAGACAAAACGCAGGCGGCGAGAGACTTCAACTCGTGGCTCCGGGTATGCCCTGAAGATACCCTCATCGTCTACACTGACGGCTCGCAGAGCGAAGACGGCGCCTGCGGGTATGGGTACTCAGTGTGGCTAGGCCCTAGCGAAGTGACCTACGGCAGCGGTCGGGTCCTACTCGCTGAGGTCTACGACGCAGAGGTGGAAGGCGCCCTCGAGGGCTTCGAGCGGCACTCACGTGGTCCCCAGGACCCCGGACCAGCAGTGCCGGATAGTCGTCTGCCTTGATAACTCTGCGGCTATAAGAGCCATACGAGGCAGCCCATCGATCTCGTCGCAAGCGGCGGCGGAGAAGTTCGCTGAGGCCGCGGCTCGGCACGGAGACGTCAGGACGCGCTGGTGCCCCGGCCATACGGGGATCGCCGGCAACGAGCGGGCCGACCAGCTAGCAAAGGAGGGCTGCCGGGCCTCGGCCGGACAGGCCGCCGACGTACGCGAACATCAAGAGACAGGCCAAGGCTGCGGCCAGGCGCGACTTCCAGGACTGGTGGGCCGCGGGGGCCCCGAGCAGCTACAAGAGCCTAGGGCTCAAGGCCTCGCTCGGGTGCCCCCCGGAGCTGCACACCAAACGACAGCACCTCCATCACCTGCTCGCTGCGAGGAGCGGGCACGGGGACTTCGCCGACTACCACGAGAGGTTTAACCACGAAGAGGCCCGGATCGAATGCTCCTGCGGGAGGAGAAAATCACCGACACACCCCTTCTACTGCCGGAAGGTAGGTACTCGACACCGCCTAAGGCTAGCCCCCACGGCGGGCAAGGCTATCAACCAGGCACTAGGAAGGGGATTTGACCGGTTCCTCGGGCTAGTAACGGAGGCAGGATTCTTTGATCGGATTTGCCACCGCCACTAGCTCGAGGCAACCCCCCAACCTAATATGTACAATTCTCTCTTTTCTATGTTTTCTGCCCGTAGGCTCCCCGTGGGCTAAGAGGAAAATAGGTCCTTAGCTATAAGTAGGTCTTTATCTATAAGACTAATAAACACGGCTTCCTTTAAAAGTGCAAAGCCCGGCTAGTTATCTATAGGAATTAATAGGAAAAAGGGGATCTTCCTACTAGGGCAACTACCTTAGTAGGGATGTCTTTTCGGACCCTTATAGCTATAGTAGTAGAATTCGACCTCGAGCTTAAATAGATAGATATAGTTAACGCCTTTATTAATAATCTACTTAAGGAAAAAAAAGAAGTTATCTATATACGCCTTCTACTAGCTTCTAATAGCTAGGAAAGGTTCTATGGCTTAGGAAAGCTCTATATAGACTACGAAGATCACCCCTTCTTTAGCAATAGCATTTAATAGGTTCCCTCGAAGCCCTAGGCTTTAAGAAAGTCCCTTAGGAACCGTATATAATATAGAAGGGTAAAATCACGGTCTTCTTCTACGTCGACGATATTATCTAGGCCTACCTAAAAGAGGAAGAAGCAACTACTAGGGAGGCTATAAAAGGCCTATAATAAAGGTATAAGATAACTAAGCTAGGGGAGCTAAAGTAGTTCCTAGGGATATAAATCCTTAGGAATAGGTCCTAACGGACTATCTAGCTTACCTAGGACGCTTATATTAATAAGGTCGCTTATAAATTCCTCCCTAATTCCCTCGATAAGAAGCTTCCCTCTACGCCTATATTAGACGAAGAGCTTTTACCTAATCCGTCCTTTTAAGCTAGGGAGTAAGAGAAATACTAATACTAATAGAAGGTAGGCTCCCTGCTTTTTTTTAGCTATTTCTACTAGACCGGATATCTCTTTTACGGTCTCCTAGCTAGCTAAGCATAACTAGAATCCTAGCCCTAGGCATTAAGAAGTAGTAGATAAAGCTATCCTTTATCTCTATTTAACGAGATTATATAGTCTGCGCCTAGGAGGGCAGGGAAGGAAATCAGCTGCCGAAATCTTCCTCTATTCGAGCGATTCGTCCTTTATAGACAATTTATTAGATAGAAAGAGCTTATAGGGGTATATTATATCCCTTTTTAGAGGAACTATTGCTTAGAGAGCTTCGAAGCAAGCTACCGTTACTATATTAAGCACGGAGGCAGAGCTACTAGCTCTTTTAGAAGCGTTAAAAGAAGCGATTTTCCTTAGCCGGCTATTAATATCGTTACGACTATAAATTCCGTCCCCGTTAGCTATAGAATGCGATAATACGCAGACTATACGAATTCTTACGGAGGAAAATAGCAAGCTATCGACCCGGCTACGGTATATTGATATCTACTAGCATTAGTTACGCTAAGAGGTCTAAAGGGGACTTATTTCCGTCCGTTAGGTTCTAACGGCATCGATAAAAGCCGACGGTCTTACGAAGCCCCTACCGAAGTAGAAGCTAGCTGTCTTTTTATAGTAAATAGGGCTAGAAGACGTTCGAGAAAAGCTATCCTTAGAGGCCCGCCTTAAGAGTCTATAAGAGGAGCTAATAGCACGTATAAGAAGGTAACGTCTATAGCCGAAGAAAAGGAAGAGGTTTTTCCCTTTAAAGGGCCCCCTATTTTAATTAGGTTTTTCCCTTCTAAGAAGGCCCCCTTTCTTATAGGACTTAATTTCCTCCTTAAGGCCCCTTTTTCCTAAAGTAGGTCTAAAAGAGCCTAGGGACCTAAAGGGCCCTTGCTTTCCTCGAGTAAAGGGAGAAGTATAGAGCTAAGAACCTCCTCTATACGCTTACTAGCCCAGCAGTATTAGCTATGCCTTAGGGCAGGCTATAGCTAAGGGTATATCATGGCGTGGCTATTCGTAGTTCTCGGAGATATCCCTTAGCACGAGGGACCTAGGAAGCTAAAAACAGGTTTTAAGGAAGGAGCTAAAAGGAGGTATAGAGAGGAGGGTAGGGGTATAGGGGAAGCAGAAGTAGCAATAGCTTCCTATAGAGGTAGCGAGAGATAAGACGGATATACCGGCAACGGCTAGAAAGGAGGAGAAAAACCGGCAAAAAGCTCGGTAGTTAAAGGGATATTAGTAGCTTCTTTAAGTAGGATCTTCTTTATTAATTAAGATGCTAGACGGGTATAAAGAGGGGGTTAGATAGAGGAAAGAAGGAGAATTAAGGCAATATAATAATTACTCCCCTACTATAATTGCTGCCCCCGTAAGATTTAAATATCTCTGCCCTGCCTATCCGACCCCTTACTTTTACTTTTACCTTCGTGCATTTTATATATACTTCTCGCATCTCTCTTCGCGAGAGTTATAAGCCCGGGCGGAGGGGCTACCCCTCCGGGAACTTCCCGGTAACTGCGCACGCACTTCTTCTAGCTAGCCTAGCGCGTATTACCCGAAGGCCCGTAGTTCGAGTCCCGCTAGCGCAATTAAGCGCGGTTTTAGCATAGGGCCTGCCTATATAAAAATTCCCGCTATAGTCTAGGATATCTAGGTATCCCGGGACGAATTAACCCGATATCCCTAAGGGGGTGTGTCGCGTACTCTATATACGTTAATTAACGCTATCGCTTATATTTAATAGGCGGCTATATCTTTTTCGTAATAAGTTAACGAAGTAACTATAATATAGGGGCACCTATAGCGAAAGGATAGCTCCTAGAAATCAACGAAAACGGGAACTACTAGCAACGATAGCTAAATATAATATTTAAAGTATAACCTAACGACTTAACTTACTAGAAGATCCTAAAATAGATAAAAGAATATAAAGCATTAAACGGATATAATATAGAATATTTAGAAGTTCTAATATATAAAAACAAAATCTAGATACTACTAGAATTACGAGATAAAGTTATATATAATATATACGAATATCTAATATATAGATACTAAGGAATCTAAAGAATAAAGGAACGGATTAAACGATAATATAACTTCCTATAGCTTAAAGAAGTAATATAATAAGTTATTAAAAAATATAAACTTTATATATAAAGTAAAGCTAAACGATATAAACTATATAGAGAATTATAACCGCTACTAGTACTAAAGAAACTATAGGATTTAATAGCTTTTAACTATATTATAAAGCTACTACTATTAAAAGAACCTATAACTAACGTTAAATACGATAGTATATTCGTTATTACTAATAAACTAACGAAGTATAGATACTTCTTACTATATAAAGAAGTAAGTAATATAGAAGAGCTAGTATATATATTCCTATAAATAATTATTAGTAATTATAGACTATTAAACGAGATTATCTCTAATAAAGGAAGTACGTTTATAGCTAAGTTTTAGTAAGCTCTTATAGTATAATTAGGGACGAAATATAAGCTTAGTATAGCTTATTACCTATAAATAGATAGATAAATAGAACGACTTAACTAAATACTTAAATAATATTTACGATACTATATTAGCTACGAATAAAACGATTAATTTAAATAGCTATTAATAGCGTAACTAGCTTATAATAGCTTAGTTACGGAAATAACTAAGCTCTTACTAGTATACGCTAATTACGGATATAACCTAGAAGTATTTAAGGTTACTTAATAGGGACTATAAGCGGAACGAGCGATACTATAAGTAGATTAGCTATAAAAATTATATAAAGAAATATAATAAGAACTTTAATTTATTAGAGAACGAATATCTACTTACTATAATCGGAAAAGATTATAGGGACTAATCTTTTAAGAGGGAGATATAGTCTACCTTATACGATAAAATATTAAAATAAAACAACTAAGCAATAAATTAAATTTTAAGAAACTTTGAACCAGCAACGTTTCAGGCAAGAGCAACGACGTTACGACTGCTGCTCAACGAACACACTCGCGTTCGTCAGATCCCAGAAAGGGTTGGAAAGCACTCAAAGCGCATCGATAAAGCATTGCCGGGCAAGCACACCCGCAAGATGTACGACGAGCTAACTAGAAAGGAATCTGAAGTGTTGGTACAACTTCGAACTGGCAAATCACGACTGAATGGCTACCTCTGCAAAATCGGGGCAGAGGAATCGGATGAGTGCACCTGCGGACAGTCGGCGGAAACGGTGGAACATTTCCTCTTTCGATGCAGAAGATGGACGGTACAACGAGAAATCATGCTTCGATATGCTCGCGGAAAGATGGGAAACCTGTCTTTCTTCCTAGGAGGCAAGGCAGAGTCAGACGACGACAAGTGGCAGCCCGATATGGGGGCTGTACGGGCGACAATACAGTTCGCATTGGCAACAAAACGCTTCAGTATGGACCGACGAGGGACCATGTACTGATCAAGGGATAATCATACTAACACAACAGCCTTAAACTTGGCAGACCGCGCTTCAGTCGCTGAAGGTAGGACGCTGAACACTTGGAGAAACTGACCTTCAAGTAGGCCTGTCATGTCACAGCGAACGAGGCTGAAACAGATGAAAAGAAGCGTGGGGCTTCAGGTGCGATGGAACCAGGTACAGTAGGTACGTAGCTTAGCGTAGTGGCTCTATGGGGGAACCCTCCGGGCGCAATACAAAAAAAAAAAAAAAAAAAAAAAAAAAAGTTGGTGCTCACCACCAGTATCCCCACACCACCGGAATACCCAGAATTTCGACTCCCCGACTTCAGCATCCCTATATCTTAACCAATTCACGATCTCGTCGATAGCCGAAATGGAAGCACGTGTACAAAACGCTCTTCGATATATTGAAAATTTTCCGGTGCTAAAGTCGCAACCGTAGCGCGAGAATTCGGTGTAACACGTGATCGATTGCGATACCGTCTTCAAGGCCGACCTCCTAAAACTGGCCAGCGAGCTAGAAATACGAGGCTTTCCGAACCAGAAGAGAAGGCCCTATGTCGCTATATCGATCGTTTGGATAATATAAACCTTGCGGTACGCGTCGAGTTCGTTACTGACGCGGCAAACTGTATCTTGCGCGAGCGGTCTAGCCAGCGCGACGCTCCTACCGTGGGGCCAAACTGGACTTCTCGCTTCTTAAAGCGTCACGGCTACTTCAAAAAGCGCCAAAAAAGGCTTCAAGCAGAGCGCCAAGTCTCCGAGAATCTTACACGAGTTAACCAGTATTTCCAGCATCTTCGGCAGGTTATCCAAGACAATGGTATACCTCCTGAGGATATCTGGAATATGGACGAGACTGGTTTTCGCATCGGGGTTGGAAAAGACCAGCTGATTGTGACAAAACGGAGGAGAGCTCATTATTTTGGCATTCCTGAGAATAGGGAATCCGCTACTGCGATCGAAGCTATCTCGGCGAATGGGGAGGTTGTTCCGGCTTTTTTGATACTCGCTGGCCAGATGCACATGGCTTCATGGTATCAAATACCTGAGCTAGATCCTGACACAGTTATTCGACCCACGCCTACTGGTTACTCAAACGACGTGATTAGTCTGGAGTGGCTCCAGCATTTTGACAAGCACTCGGAAAAAAGCTCAAGAAGCTCGAAGCGACTTCTAATTCTTGATGGTCATGGCTCTCACCATACCAGGCAGTTCATTGAATACTGCGACAACCACAATATTATTCCCTTCGGCATGCCGCCTAATCTCACGCATGCACTTCAGCCTTTGGACGTTGTCGTTTTCCAGCCCCTAAAGCACTATCACGCCAAGGCTTTAGATGTCATGGTTCGAGATGGCCTCGTCAACATAACCAAGCTTGAGTTTCTCTCCTGCATTCAACAAGTACGATTGCATGCTTTCAAGGAGAGTACTATACGCTCCGCATTTCGCAAGACAGGAATCTTCCCATTCAATCCACAAGTAGTACTTCAATGTTTGGAAGCTCGTCAAGCCACGACACCCACACCTCCTCCCAATTCAGGACCACACTCCTCACCTTTCGAGACACCATTGACTCTACGACAAATAAACAAGGTAGCGGACAAATTAGATCTCGTCCTTGAAGACGATAAAAGCCTGGATCCCGACTTTTCTCACGATCTCAGTCGATTTATTCGAGGATCGCTATCTCTGGCGACTGAGCTCGTGCAGACTAAAGGGACTTGGGACGAACCAAAATGGCGGAGCGGATCCAAAAACAACGTAAGGCTATGAAGAATATACAGTTACAATCAGGAGGAGTATTGTCAGTGGCCCAAGGACGGGAAATGGTGCAACAAAGGGAGATGATCAGATTGCTAAAGCAAGGAAGGTAGTAGAAGACGCGGAGAAAAGGCGCATAACGCACGCAAGCGATGGTTTGAGGAAGCAGCAAAAAAGGCACGCCAATGGAGGGGTTCAGGAAGGTTAGAACGAGTGGAAGTACGCGATTCTGAGCGTGGTACGCGGTGGTTGAAGCGATTCTAGGTCGGGGAGTCGAAATTCTGGGTATTCCGGTGGTGTGGGGATACTGGTGGTGAGCACCAACTTTAGGAGGTAGTAGTAGTAGTAGTAGTATTGATTACCGTCTGGGACATCCCTATAAGGGCAAAAGACGTGCTAGGCTAGAGAAGACTAGATACATAGAATATCCCGAGTACCTGGACTAAGGACCGTGTGTAGTACCTAACCACTCCATCTAGCAATTCTGAGGCTCTGAGGCCGGTCGGAAATTCGGGGCCCTTCCCCCGTCAGCGGGTTCCAGGCACGGCAGTGAAGCCGTAATAGTAGTCAGTCTTTGGCCGAGGCCGGGTGACTGAGAAAGCCCACGAAGTCATGGGCCGGCCGCAAGCCCCCTCGAGGAGGGCCTACGGGGCAGAAAGAAAAAGAAAAGAAAAAGGGAGCAGAGAGTGTAGCAATGTTAGTCGGGGGTTCGCCCCGATGGCGATTGTCTTCTCCCGCAGGAGCGTTCGATCCGGGACCACTTCGTGGTCATGACAGTTGGCGGAGTCCCCGTGCCTGCTCCTCGTAGCAAGCAGGTGGTGGAGGTGTTGTCGATTGGTGTGCAGCTCCGGGGGACACCCGGGTGAGGCCTTGAGCTCTAGGCTCTTGTAGCTCCTCGGGGCCCCCGCGGCCCACCAGTCCAGAGGAAGTCGTGGCCGCTGGGCGGCAGAAAGGCCGCAAGGCGGCAAAGTTCGAGCCGCGAGACGGCAGAAGGAGGCAGAGCCGCAAGGCGGCAGAAGGCGAGGCCAGCCAGTAAAGGCGGCAGAGGGTGCGAGGCAGCGCGAGGCGTGCCAGGAAGGGCGAGAAGAAGTCGGGCCGCGAGGCGGCAGAAGAGGTCGGGGCCGCGAGGCGGCAGAAGTCGAGGCCAGCCAGTAAAGGCGGCAGAAGAAGGCGATGCCGCGAGGCGGCAGAAGGCGAGGCAGCGCGAGGCATGCCGTTATTCGAGACCAGCTTCCCAAGAGGAGACGAACTCTCCAAAGTCTGCCTTTTGGTGCTTGCTAGAGCCCCGTTAGGGCTAGAGAGGCAGAAGCATGGTCGGGTGACCTGAAAATAATTATCCACTAACAGGCTGCTAACAGCCCGCAGAAGAGAAGAATTTTTACAGGGGAGAGTTGCAACTTTAGGAGGTAGTAGTAGTAGTAGTAGTATTGATTACCGTCTGGGACATCCCTATAAGGGCAAAAGACGTGCTAGGCTAGGTATAGTACAAGATGAGGGTGCTCGCCGGAAACCCGTCGCGCCTTCCTTACTTCTCTCCCCTATCTAGCAATTCTTGGACTCTGTGGCCGCTCGGATTCTCAGGTCCCTTCCCCGTCAGCGGGTTCCGGCACGGCGGTAAAGCCGTAATATTAGTCAGTCTTCGGTCAGAGCCGGGTGACTGAGAAAGCCCACGCAGTCAGCTGGGCCGTAGGCCCACGGGAGCCTACGGGCAGAAAACATAGAAAGAGAGAATTGTACATATTAGGTTGGGGTTGCCTCAAGCTAGTGGCGGTGGCAAATCCGATCAAAGAATCCTGCCTCCGTTACTAGCCCGAGGAACCGGTCAAATCCCTTCCTAGTGCCTGGTTGATAGCCTTGCCCGCCGTGGGGCTAGCCTTAGGCGGTGTCGAGTACCTACCTTCCGGCAGTAGAAGGTGTGTCGGTGATTTTCTCCTCCCGCAGGAGCATTCGATCCGGGCCTCTTCGTGGTTAAACCTCTCGTGGTAGTCGGCGAAGTCCCCGTGCCCGCTCCTCGCAGCGAGCAGGTGATGGAGGTGCTGTCGTTTGGTGTGCAGCTCCGGGGGGCACCCGAGCGAGGCCTTGAGCCCCAGGCTCTTGTAGCTGCTCGGGGCCCCGCGGCCCACCAGTCCTGGAAGTCGCGCCTGGCCGCAGCCTTGGCCTGTCTCTTGATGTTCGCGTACGTCGGCGGCCTGTCGGGCCGAGGCCCGGCAGCCCTCCTTTGCTAGCTGGTCGGCCCGCTCGTTGCCGGCGATCCCCGTATGGCCGGGGCACCAGCGCGTCCTGACGTCTCCGTGCCGAGCCGCGGCCTCAGCGAACTTCTCCGCCGCCGCTTGCGACGAGATCGATGGGCTGCCTCGTATGGCTCTTATAGCCGCAGAGTTATCAAGGCAGACGACTATCCGGCACTGCTGGTCCGGGGTCCTGGGGGACCACGTGAGTGCCGCTCGAAGCCCCTCGAGGGCGCCTTCCACCTCTGCGTCGTAGACCTCAGCGAGTAGGACCCGACCGCTGCCGTAGGTCACTTCGCTGGGCCTAGCCACACTGAGTACCCATACCCGCAGGCGCCGTCTTCGCTCTGCGAGCCGTCAGTGTAGACGATGAGGGTATCTTCAGGGCATACCCGGAGCCACGAGTTGAAGTCTCTCGCCGCCTGCGTTTTGTCTACGCCCCCTGTCGGGTCGGGCTGAGGGGGTGCTGGGCAACTTTAGGAGGTGGGAGCTTGCGAATTCCAAATAAAGTGGGGCGGGGCACGGGTAGCCCATCCTGCCTTACCAAATGGGGAACACAGCCTCTAGGGACCTGGGTCATCCCTAGCGGGGGCGCTCCCGTCATTTTACCGCCGCCTCGAAGCACCCGTGTGGGCGACATCACACGCATGCGGACGACCGCGCCCGATGGTCGAAAAATCCTCGGGCCGCCTGCGCAGCGCGTCAGCCACGCGACCAACACCTCAACAACGCCGCAAACTCTCAACGTCACCGAGTCCAACCCCTACGATATCCACCAACCACGATAGGCGACAAGATGCTCAACGTTGAAAGACATATGCGCAGACAGGATGGAAGAATACGGGTTTTCATCCCGGGCTTTGGCTATAGGGTTTTTCCTGTATTGGTAACGAATAGAGGTTCTAGGGCTACGGCCGGCTAGTGTAATAAACTACTACTACTACTACTACTACTTCTAGTCATATTTTGTATGCAGAAGCGTTCCTCTAGCTAGCTCTGGTGCCTTCATAAGGTCCGGGAGGTGATGCGGGAATATCGAGACTTAGGAGCGGGCTAGTTAGGTCCGCCGGCGGGCCTGGATACGGGCTGCTGTTCCCGACCCGGGCGGCAGAGAGATGGCTGGGCTTTGCTCCATGCTGGTGGCTGTAATTCCAGTGGGGCCTAGAATAAGCACAATAGCACAAGGTATTATGCCATAGAGGTTGCAATAACGATGCGCTCACTCGCACTACCTGCATGCGAAACGATGTAGAGTGAGATATTTGGGCGGTCTGTTAATTCTCCTTTAAGACAAGTAGCATTCTCAGCTGACGCCTAAGCGGCACTTGCATCCTGTCGAGGCAGGTGAGGCGTTTGCACAGTTCAACTCGGTGCCCATGCGTCTCATGCTTGGCTGCCTTGGGTACATGGATACTGAGGATGCCGCCGTCGATCCCGGCCGCAACACCATCTTGCTAAACACGCGCCGGAAACGTCAAGCTGCGGTAAAACTAGCCAATGCTGAGCTCCGATGCCCAGTACCTGACTTCATCACGCTCAGCCGCACCTGTGGCAGTCCCAGCAGTAGCCGGGGTCTCTTGCTTCCCCTGCTCGGTGTCCTGCTCGGTGGGCCGTGGGCAGGCGCCGTGGCATAGCGTTGTCCAATAACGTCCCGACCCGCCAGAGTTTGGGGCTGGCAAAACTCAATGACAATGTTCTTTTCTGCTCTCCGGCAAGCTCCCTGTGCAGCTCAAACGCGTCGTCGGCAAACGCCCTTTTTCAGTACATATACGAGAAACCTCAATATACATGAACATGCATGCTCTAGTGGCTCAGGAGCCGTGTTTAGCTCGCCGAAAGTAGTGCACAGATTGTCAACGGACCCCTACCATCATCCCAGGCAACAACACTATCTAGTTCTAGAACATGTGATTCGAGTAAACGTAGCACGGTGCGCAGGGGGTTTCTCGTCATCATTTATACAGTCTCTGTCCGGTGAAGAATGCCCAATCCAGCATGGGTGGTGTGACTCAAACGGGGCATCATGCAAGTCATTGTCCTCCCAGAGGCTTCACTTCCGTTCCCCGTCCGGTTCTTTGGCTATCTCATCGCTGCGACATCCGAGTTAGCACCACGGCCTCAATTCTTGGTCCTCATGAATGAATGATGTGACAAAAAGGGAGTTAGGGGTAGAGATTTTGGACCAACATGTGCTTGGAAAGCCGGCCAAGATGCTGCTGCTGCTCGGCAGCCTTGTTCTTGAGCTGCAGGAGCTTGTGCTTCTCACGCTGGCGAATGGCGTAGTCCTCGCTAGCCCTTTCGCGGCGCTGAAAAGCATCGCTGCGCACGTGCGGTTAGTCTCCATTTACTGCCCAGCCGATGACGACGACTCCTGTCCTGCACGGGGAAACTGGCAAGCAAGCCCCGTACCCTTGACCACCCGTCTTTGGGGGGGCGCCTGTGTCCCCCTGGGCCATGGCTCGGGCAGTTGTGGTGATAGTGGCAGCTCCGAGGGGACGCATGGCAGCCGTCCTGGCCAAGGTTGTACGGAGCATTGCGGGCGGCGATGAGAGGGAGAGTGCGATGAAGCTGTGCTTTTCGCCCGTTGGACTGATATGGCGTTGTGGTTGGACAAGATGCCGTGGTGTGGTGCAAACAAGAAAGGCTTGTGTTGCTAGAGAATGAGAATGAGCTGACGGTTGAGGACCAGGTCCGGGCTAATAAGCGGCAGGTTGACCATTTGCCATGGGGTTTCGGGACGTGGACCCGCCCCAGGCGTCACTCTCCCTTCCGGCAAATGCACAAGGTGGCCATACAGTTGGAGGACCAATTCTCCACTGCGCAAAAGTGCAACAATGACACTGTGTTTCTGAAGCAGGACTTTGTTACTGAATGGGCCATTTCATGCGCAGGGTGATTCATAGATGAAACGCACTTCTTCAAACAAACAAGGAACACGGCCGGAAACAGAGCCTGGTTCAAATCGTGACTGTGAAGCTAGTTTGCTCCATGCAAGACCGGACAGCAGCGACCAACTACGATTCTCCCCATTCCGGCCTTTCTTGCGGCAGTACGTCGACTACACTGCAATCGGGGACAAGATGGCCGCCTTGGTCGACGAGTGGCAGCTGGGCAAGCTCACTCTGACCGAGACGGGCCTGCGGTGCGCAGCCTGTTCCATCGCTACAACTGGCCCGGCAGTGCTGCAACCGCCATCCCGACTGCCTATCGTCAGCTTTCGGCCACCAAGGCGCGCATCGAGACGCTGAGCGTGGTGGTCCGCTCCTGCGCGAAGGCCAAGGACCTGCCCGATGCTAGCTTTGCCGGCCAGCAGGAGACGTACTTGAACATCTCTGGTGAGGACACCCTCTTGGACGCCTGTCGAGGCTGCTACGCCTCCCTCATCACGGACCGAGCCATTAGCTGCCGTCAGATGAAGGATCACATGAGCGTCGCACTCTCGATTGGCATGCAGCTAATGGTCCGCTCTGACTGTAGCGGCGCAGGCGTCATATTTTCCATCGACACGGAGAGCGGCTTCGACAAGGTTGTGCTCATCAACGGCGAACGCGGCGTGGGGTCGTGGATGACGGTGACGTCGGAGAAGTGGCCCCACGCCTGTATCATGGCGGCTGCTCCGGGGCGAGAACGTCGTGCAGGGGACTGAATCCGGATGAATACGACGTCTTTAAGCCGATCCTCTGCAATGCCAGCCTGGTCCCCCTTGGGCAAGAAGCGCAGCGACAAGGAGATGAAGATGGTCTACGGTGACCAGCAGACGCCCACCCGCAACGTGCCCATAGCCAAAGCCGAGCGAGCTGTGATTGTGCTTGGGGATGACGAGGTCCTGGCGCTGGCGCGTTGGGCATGCGCGATAGAAGAGCACTACGGCCGCCCGATGGATATGGAATGGGCGAAGGGCGGCGTCACGGGCGATCTCTTCATCGCCCAGGCCCGGCCAGAAACGGAGCGCTCGCGCCGCGACATGGCCGTCTTCAAGACGTACGAGGTGATCACCAAGGGCCAGGTCTCGCGTCCGCCGGGGACATGGACTAGTTTTTCGATGGCTCCATTCTGGTGACGGGAGCGACGGAACCGGATTGGGTGCCCGTTATGAAGCGGGCCGACGCCATCACCACCGACCACGGCGGGCGCACCTCGCACGCCGCCATCGTCAGCCGCGAGCTGGGCCTGCCGGCCATTGTCGGCACCGGCAACGCCACGTACGTGCTGCACAGCGGCCAGGACGTGACCATCTCTTGCGCCGAGGGCGACACGGGCTTCGTCTATTGGAACATGAGCTTGAACAAAAGTTGTCATGGTCGTCATGAGCATCTAGTTTATCGTGCTTTACGTATTCATGTCCTGGAAATCAAATGTCAAACACCACACATGACCCCGGTATTGAGAAAGGAATCCGAGTTTGTCTCGCAAAGAGACGCATTGAGCATGTTCACAGTAACAATCCCGACCATCCCTTGGACATCCGTCTTGTGATAGATACTTGATCGAGCCGGCACCTTCCATTGGCAGTTTTGACTGTTTTTGGGCATATCGGAACAGGACGTGAGCGTGCATTGCGCTTGTCTCTGGACTCCACCTCACTCCTAGATGGAAAAGACCTTGCCAGGTGCCTTGGCGTGTCCACTGCTGGGTCCCGGTGAGGAAAGAACCGGCTAGGCTTAGCAAGGTGGGCGACCTCGCAGTCTAGATACCTCGTCCTGCTACCTTCTGTTGTTCGAAGCAAGTGTGCGCCTCATTCACCCTCTTCTCCGTCGCTGCATGGGTAGTCTGCCTGCATCCGCCTTCCTCCCTTTGCTCTGATTAGGCGCTATCCACCACCAGCCACTTTCCCTCCCGCCCCAAGTGTGTAGTACCATTGACACTTCTTCACCGCGTTCTGTGGTCTACAGGTAGTCACGGGATCCATCACCCGCAACAATAGGGCTGGATAATCCGCTCCTCTCGTCGCGGACCATCTTTGGAGGGGTTTCCCGAATCTCTTCAACTTTTTGTGGGATTTACGGTCTCATGACTTCCAGAACCCTTAGGACCGCATCTCCGAGTTCGTACCGTTTTCCCGTACGAGTCAAGGAATAACAAGCAAGCTAGCTCTCGCTTGCCGTACACAATCTGCCCCGACCTGAAGCAGACCACAGCCATCAATTGATGGCGCACGTCCCAGAAAACTCGCCCCTTCTGGGGACGGAGCCACAGTCCGAGCCGCCGTGTCCCGGTTCCGCCAACAACGAGCCACCCAACCGCGAAGTCTTCCCATCCTCCTCGTACTTCACTTGGTCGTCCTCAGCAGGCTCCGCATCCAACTTCGGTGACTCGCTCCGCGATGTCATCATCGGCTTCTCTGACGGGCTCACGGTACCCTTCGCCCTGACGGCCGGCCTCTCGTCGCTCGGCAGCACGCGGCTCGTCATCATGGGGGGTCTTGCCGAGCTCTTCTCCGGCATGATCAGCATGGGCCTCGGCGCCTACCTGGCCGCCGCCACCGAGAGCGACCGTTGCCGCTCAGCGCTGCGGCTCCGCGCCGCCCGCCCGCTCGCCGAGCGTCGCGCTGCTGCCTACTCCATCCTCGCCCGCTATAGCCTCGAGCCAGAAGGTGCGCGGCCCCTCGTCGACGCCCTCTGCGCCAACGGCGACTCCGGGCTGCGCTTCGCTACCGACCTCGCCCTCGGCACGGACAAGCTCCCCGGCCACCGCGCCTGGCTCTCGGGGCTCACCATGGGCCTCAGCTACTTTGTCGGTGGCCTCGTCCCTATGCTCCCTTACTTTGCCATGGCCCGCGTCCGCGACGCGCTGCTCGTCTCCATCGCCGTCACCATTGTCATGCTCCTCGCCTTTGGCTACGTTAAAAACTACGTCGCCATCCGCAGCCACCGCGCCGGCGTCTGGGGCGCCCTCCAGACCTTGGTGGTGGGCGTCCTGGCCGCGAGCACGAGCTACATTATTGTCAAGGCCTTGGATTCAGTTGGCCCGGGATAGGGATAATTTTTTTTTGGGTCGCGAACTGTCTCTCTCTTCGTTGGCTGTCATGCATCTTTCCGCTACACCCATTGCCGGACGCGCATTGGACAGTCTCAAAATGAGGTGAGTGAGGCAATGGGTGATGCAGAAATATCCAAATCGTCTGATACTGCTGTCACATAGGGTGTTTCAGAGCATCACACCCTATCAACGTTAAGTCGTTCACTGCCTACTGCCCTGGCAGTAGAAAGTAGGCGAGCTGCTGCCTGCAGGTAGCAGCGCCACTCACTCTATCAACTTGTGTATATAAGGATGAACCATTCCGCTCATTACATAGACAACCAAGAGTTCTTCAGTCCCTGATCTATGTGCCTACTTTTCTGTCTCGCAGGGTATATCTCTCGCGATGAGAGGGTGCAATTGATTATTTGATTAGGTTTTATTAACAAAAAGTGACTTCTTATAGTCCTGTCAACTGTGGTTGCCTTGGGGTGGCGATGTCGCCACCCAGGCAGCCTAGATGACGTTGCCATCTAGAAGGTTCGATACCACCGCTTAACAACGACTTCATCCTTCTCAGTCACCTTTGCTAGAGTCAGCCCGACTAGGTAACCTTCGGACCTAGATCGTTAACCCGTTTTCACGACAACATCAGCATACCACAGTCTGATTCGCCTATTCACAGTCGTCTCCACAAAGCTATGACGACGGGGATTGGGGGGCTGTTTAAACATGTGATTCATTATATGTAACTGTGTTCGATAGATATCTTGGCCACCTTTTCCCCTATCAACGACAAAAGCTCACCTTACTCAGAAAGCCACTACGCAGTAGCCTGTGGACGGGCGTTGGCCACAGCAACAAAATGCCCCCAGGTAATCAAGTCTCTGCTACAGTCGTCTTGATGGATGCTGCACTCGATGAGTGCTGGCCCGTCAGTATGCGCCATGGCCCTCTTAATGGCTGTGGAAAACTGGCCGACGGTGTGGGCTTTGAGCCCAAGGACATGGTTCTCCTCGCTGCACGCGAATGCCTTAACCAGGGCTGCATAGTCCCAATTCTGAATGCGGTTGTACATGCCATCGTGGATCTCGACCTCGATGGTGTAGCCTCTATTGTTCATGAGCAGCATAATGATGGGCACGCGGTGGCGCACCATCTGCGAAACCTCCTGGGCAGTCATCTGAAAGGCGCCGTCACCCACCATGACTATGGTTCTCCTCTGCGGCTTGCTAAGGGCGTAGCCAAACGAGGCAGGGATTGACCATCCAATATGGCCCCATTGCATCTCAATCTCAAATTCGGCGCCGCGTGGCAGGTGCAGTTGGATGCCATTAAACCACGAGTCGCCCGTGTCGACAAAGACCGTCGTCGTGGCAGTGAGGAGCGCCTGAGTCTGCTGGCTTACATGCTTCCTCGTCAACTTGTCGTCGTTGCAGGAGCTATAGTCTACAGTAGGGTCTGGACGGAGCCGGTTGTACTCGACCATGGTGCTGTCGTTCCAGCCGACGGCGCCTGCCAGTGTGGACAAGAAGTCGGCCAACCGGACGTGGCTGAAGTGGACGTCGGGATCCGTGACGGTGTTTATGTCGGCGACGATGAGCGGCACGCTGGGCAAGGCGGTCCAGCCGACGGTGCTGTAATCGGTAAAGACAGTGCCGACGCAGAGCAGCACATCGGCCCAGTTGACAATGGCATCGGCGGCAAGGGTGCTGACCTGGCCCCAGAAGACTCCGGCAAACTGGGAGTGGTCCTCGAAGAAGCAGCCCTTGGCAGCCGGCTGCAGCACGACGGCGCACCCCATGGCTTCGGCCAGCCGCGCTAGCTCCCTCTGCGCGTCCGCCCGCTGCACCTTGGGCCCGACGAGCATGACGGGCTTTTGCTTGTCGCCGAGATACTTAGCCACACTGGCCACGGCCGCCGCCAGGGCAGCTCTGTCGCTCGGGGCCGGCTCCAGAAGGGCGCTGACGGGCCCGGGCTGGACACAGGGCTCTCCCGACAGATTGGTCGGCAGCTCAATATAGACGGGCTTGCGCTCTCGCAGGGCCTTTGAAATGGCGCCGTCGATGAGGGTCGGGGCCTGGGACGCCTTGCGGATGGCCACGGCAGCGCACGTCAACCGGCGGGCCATGTCGAGCTGGTAGGAAAAGTCGTCCTCGCCCAGCGTGTGGTGAAGGAGGTGGTGGCCTCCGTCATTCGTGTTGGGGGCACCGCTGACGAGGATGACGGGCAGGTTCTCGGCGTAGGCGCTGCCGACGCCGTTGAAGGCCGACAAGGCGCCCACGCTGTAGGTGACGACGCAGACGCTGACGCCGTGGGCGCGGGCGTAGCCCTCGGCGGCCAGCGAGCAGTTAAGCTCGTTGGTGCAGCCGATGCCCGTCAGTTGAGGGTGCGCTTCGAGCTTGTCGAGTAGAATGAGGTTGTAGTCGCCGGGCACCATGAAGTGGTGACGGATACCCATCTGGGCCAGCCGTTCGGCCAGGTAGTCACCCACGGTGAAGGGAGTCATGGCAATGGAGTTAACAGGGAGTCGCAATGTAGCTCAAATGCAGCGTTGAAATCCGACACGGCACGATGCGGCCGTATTATTCACATTCGATAGCCGTCGGCTACATTTCATTGTGCCATGACGCGTCGGTGCCGTCACTCTACCCATCTCGCATCCTTCTCGATCGAGTCGATGCGGCCCTAGAATATCAATGGTAGCACACCCCCACAAGTCTACAGCAGCTGCGGAGTAAATATCCGGAGTACAAATCCGACGACTGACAGGGTTGCTCGATCATTGGAGGCAACGCTTTCGGCAAGCAGCACTCCTGGTGGTCCAGGCCCTGGGAGCAGAGTCCATCGACATTGTTGTTCTCTCATCACCTTGCATATATGACGACTCACATCTTGGCTACAGCAACAAGTACTCGGGGGGTTGAGTACGTACCTAGTAGGACCCCCCCCGGAGTAAAGAGGAGATAAACCAACTGGTGTGACCGCGGACCTAGAACGTCCGTCCGACCAGCTGTACTGGAGGACTTCTACGGCACTCACTACGCCATTCAGGATAGCCAATGTGGTAATCTAGATCGAGGTCCATTAAAAATTTTTGTCCTCCCTTTAATACGTAAACAAGTCATGTCATGCAATTTAATACCGGTTGTCTTTGTCGCCTTGGCCACCAGAGTATACAAATCCACAAACGACACGCCCTCACATTCGGTCGCGATACCAACATCAGCAACGGTAACAGCACGAGCAGGAGATCGCTGTCTTGGTCATGATGGATTCTCCCCAGATCCCCACGGAGCAATGGGCTCAGGTGGTGGAACAAACCGGCGGCCGTACGATTCCCCTTGAACCGATCATGTCTCGTCTGGCCGTCTACTTACTAACACGTTGCGCAGCGGTCGTGTACAAAAAGATCCCCGTTCCGCAACCTGGCCTGGACGAGGTGCTCGTCAACGTCAAATATTCGGGCGTGTGCCATACTGACTTGCACGCCATGCTCGGCGACTGGCCCATCCCCACCAAGCTGCCGCTCGTCGGCGGTCATGAGGGCGCCGGAGTCGTCGTAGCCCGCGGCGACCTTGTTGACGACATCGATCTCGGCGACCACGTGGGCATCAAGTGGCTAAACAGCTCGTGCCTCAACTGCGCCTTCTGCAATCAGGCCGATGAGCCGCTCTGCCGCAAGGCCCTTTTCTCTGGCTACACCGTCGATGGGACATTTCAGCAGTATGCCGTCGTGAAGGCAGCCCACGTTGCCCGCATCCCTAAAGAGTGTAATCTCGAAGCCGTTGCCCCGATCCTTTGCGCCGGCATTACCGTCTACAAGGGACTCAAGGAATCGGCTGCTCGGCCAGGCCAGTGCGTTGCAATTATCGGCGCCGGCGGCGGCCTCGGTACCCTCGCTATTCAGTATGCAAGAGCTTTGGGCCTCGACGTGATTGCGATTGATGGCGGCGATGAAAAGCGCAAACTCTGCCTGGAACTCGGCGCCGCTGTCTTTATCGATTTCCTCACGTCCAACGACATCGTCGCCGACGTCAAGGCCGCCTCCCTCGACGGTCTGGGCCCCCACGCCATCCTCCTCATTGCCGCCGAGGAGAAACCCTTCCAGCAGGCGGCAAAGTATATTCGCCCCCGCGGAACCATTGTGTGCATCGGCTTGCCCCACGACGCCATGTTCAGCGCTCCCGTTTTCGACACCGTCATCAACATGGTGAGCATCAAGGGCAGCTACGTCGGCAACCGTGCCGATACGGCCGAGGCACTCGAGTTTTTCCGCAAGGGGCTCATTCACACCCCATACAAGACGATTGGCTTGAGCAATCTCCAGGATGTCTACCAGATGATGCAAGAAAACAAGGTGGCAGGCCGCTACGTCGTTGACACAAGTACATGAGTTTTCAAGACGGGACTCTTTTTTTTTTTATTCTGTTTCCATTCTGTGTCCCAAGCGCCTCTCTCTTGTGCTCTGGTGTTCTACCTTGTTCATGTATGTATATGCCTGTCGATGCTCCAGAGTAAGGTAATATGTACCTGTAATTGCGGTATCTACAACTCCTCACGGCCGTTAAGGCCTAGACTCTACCGGGCCATGTTTGACAAGGTTCCTCTGTAGACTATCAGAAATGCTATTTATATGACCGTGCATGCACAGCCCGATTCCCCGCCGGACAATCGTCGATGACCAGCATGGTCTAGACGGAGCCTGTGGCCCAAGTCATCACCTTTGAGTGACATGATCAAAATGGCTTCATGCCGGTCGATCGAGGGATTGGTTGCACGATCGGACTCGTCTCTTCCCCCGTTACAGTACTGTAACACGGCGCTAATGTACTGTAACGGATTCACATGCTTTCATTAAGTTTCCTTGGCCTCCCCAATCAGTATTTCTGACATCCCTTATCTTGTTCCCCTCGCATCCACCTCTGAGAGCGCCCAGGCTTCCTTTCTCGTACACTCTCGTCACCAAGAAGAAAGGTTGCCAACAGTGGTGTATGCACTACCCTCTTATATCACCAGGCTCTCTATTCCCGTACACTCTCGCGATACCAGGGACAAGGTTACCCAACAGTGATTTGTACTCGACGCGCCAACATCAACAGTGGTGCCACCTTTGTACAAATGGCCAACGTGCAAAAGACAACCAACGCTGGATCCGCCGAGGATTTGGTGGTGGGCTTTGAGCATCTGGGCCGTGGCGATGTCGCCTTGGTCGGCGGCAAGAATTCGTCGCTGGGTGAGATGATCAGTGCGCTCAGTGCGGACGGAATTGCCGTCCCCCCTGGTTTTGCCACGACTTCCCATGCGTATTGGCAGTATGTCGACTGCAATGACATCCGGGACAAGATGGCTGCAGTCGTCAAAGAGTGGCAGGCGAGCAAGCTCACTCTGGCCGAGGCGGGCCAGGCGGTGCGCAGCCTGTTCCTCCGCGGCACCTGGCCCGGCAGTGCAGCAGCCGCCATCCGGACTGCTTATCGCCAGCTTTCGGCCAAGGCGCGCGTCGAGACGCTGAGCGTCGCGGTCCGCTCCAGCGCGACGGCCGAGGACCTACCTGATGCCAGCTTCGCCGGCCAGCAGGACACGTACTTGAACATCTCGGGCGAGGACGCCCTCTTGGATGCCTGTCGACGCTGCTACGCCTCCCTCTTTACGGACCGAGCCATTAGCTACCGTCAGATGCAGGGATTCGATCAGATGAGTGTCGCCCTCTCGGTTGGCGTGCAGCAAATGGTTCGGTCTGACTCGGGCGGCTCCGGCGTCATGTTCTCCATCGATACGGAAAGCGGTTTCGACAGCGTGGTGCTTATCGGTGGTGCCCGCAATTGCGTCGTAATTCACTTAGACCACGTGACCACTTATCGCCCGCAAAACGCCGCCCGTGAAATCGTGTGCAGGACGCCTGATAAGTGCATTTGATAAGTTCCCACCCGACTTATCGGGTTTCCGGCCAACCCAGCCCAGACATTCGCCCCGTAGGAAGGTTGCCCGATCGACCGAGATGGCCGCGGACGACTCGTACACGGCAGCTGACGAGCGCGCCCGTGCCGCCCGGAGGGCGGGCATCCAGGCGAAGAAGGACGAACAGCCGGCGAACACGACGCGGAGTTACGCGGCGAAGCAGCGGGAGTGGAAGGCGCGTCCCCCGGCCGGTCCTCCACTTCGATCCCTGTCACGTACGGCCCCCTAGGCGGCTAACAGACAAATGCGTATAGGCCTGGTGCCATACGCCTCGGGCTGCAGCAGACGGCTCGCTCTATAGCTGGCCCGACGGCGAGCTCGTAACGCCGGACAAGCTGGCGGCGTGGCTCAAAGAGGATATCCTGTTACGACGCGTTGTGCCGCCGCAGAAGAAGAAGCCGCGCGCGCGGGTAAGATTAGGGCAACGGCAACGGCGAGGCCGTACAGGTACGGCAACAGCGCGAACAGGAGCAGCTCGAGGCCGCGGCCATGGCAGAGGCCGAAAGCCTGGCCGAAGCTTTGGAGGTCCCCCTGGCCGAGGCCGCCGAGCTGCTCGCTGACGACCGCGAGGGCTACGTGCCACCCACAGGCCTCGCGACGGCTGCAGTAGACCTTACCGAAGGGTCTTTGCTTACGAGGGGCACTATCGACGCCTATATCGCGGCCGTTATCGAGCTATGGAGGCTCCAGGTGGCTCACGGCAACGCGAATACGGAGAATCCCGGGCGCCGCCGTACGAGGATTCCTTGAGCAACGGGGCCGGCAGCGGGGGAAGCACGACCGCGCCTCCTTTAAAGACCGCGGAAGCGACGGGATCCAGGCCGGCTACCTCCCCGATGAATGGCTTCGGATCCAGGATCTCCTTCTCACTGGCGCCGCGTATACGCCGCAAAACCTCCGTACGCGAGTCGACCTCCTCTTCGGCCACTACTACCTCTTACGGGGGGAGAACCGGCGCAAGATGGAGCTTGCAGACCTATCCCTACTCGACTATCCGCCTTCGGAGGCCCGACCCCTGTGGTTGCCTGGTAAGCCTTTTACGGGACGGCAAGCTAAATAAGACGGCGAGGAAGGAGTTTATGGGCGCGCTCCGGCACAAGGACCCCTTATTCTGTACGCAAGGGCCTAGCACAGCTCTTCTTTGGCGCTGGCACGTCGCCGGCGAACCGCCCCGTCCTTCCGGCGCCGTCAGGACTGGTATCGGATCAAGGTCCTCGTCGGGCGGGACCGCGAGCAGGAGCTCTCGTACCCGACGCAGCTACAAGAGACCTGGCGTATCTTCGGCGCTGCCGGCCTTATCGCGTCGAAGAAGACGCACCTCCCGCGCAGGGTGGGCGCCCAGGACGCGGAGACCCATGGCACGTCGCTCGCCCAGATCTCGCAGGCCGGCCGCTGGAACCAGAGCGTGCTCTGCCAGGCATATCTTACGCACCTACCGCGGCAGTTCATGCGTATCGTCGCCGGCTTCTCGGCCTCCCGGGGACTACTTCCTCGCGCGTGCGGCTCACGAACCCCGTACGTCTTACAAAAGCAGCTGTGGCCGTGGATCGAGGTGGGAACCCGCTTTGAGGCGCGGGCGCGCCGGCAATGCTGGGCAGAAGGCGGTCTCGACGACGACGACCTAGCCGCTGACGGCTTCCTTAAGCTTATGCGGCGCCTGCGTATAGTACTTCTGCAGGACCTGGCCGTCCTACAGCTCCGCTACCCGTCGCTACCGTTCTTCGCCTACGCCCCTTTTGGCGGGCCCGAGTGGGACGAGTTCGCCGTCGCCGTGCGGTCCACCGCGGTAGGGGCTATGGAGCCGGTAAGCCTGCTCGTACGACGCGCGCTGCCGGAACTAAGCGGCGTCATAGAGAGCACGCGGGAGGCCCTGTTACAGAATAGTCAGCGGCTCGCCATCCGGCTTGAGGCCCGGCTGGACGGGATTCAGGGCGGCCTCGATGCCCTCCTCCAAGGCAAGGTCCCTATCACCTTTACCGGCTACTTCGGAGCCGGGGCAGCAGAGGCGCCGGCCCCCGCCCCCGCCCCGTCAACAGTACCTACCTTGAATCTCAATACAGCTCCGGCCCCGGCCCCGGCCCCCGCCCCAGAGCCTCTGGTACCAGGCATGCCTATCGTCACAGCCCTGGCAAGGGTCTTTACGGTGGGGGACGTCTGGAAGGAATGGGGTGAAGGGTTTGCAGGTCAGAAGGCCGTACGGGAGCTGGAAGAGACGTGGGAAGCCGCTGGCGCCGGGAACGGGGTCAGAGTGCAGTTCTGTCGCCGGAAGGTGATCTGGGACGAGCTGTTGGCCCGTATGGCGTCCGGCAAATGCAAGGAGGCGGCCGTTGCAGAGCTAGAGCTGTTACGCGCCGGCCGAAGCTTGAACCGACTCGTCGACGAGCTCAAACAGCGCCGACGGCGGGGCCAGGATCGGGGCCAGGGCCAGGGCCAGATACGGGTACAGGTAGGGACCCCGTGCCCGATGACCCAGGTCCAGGCCGGGACCAGGTCCAACTCGAGGTCAGGGCCGTCGGGGCGGAGGACCCGGCTGGGAAAGCGGACCGCCCTCGTCGACGTAAGCCAGCCGCCTCGTAGAGTCTTTATACATATTTATATCCATGTAACTAGACATATTTTTGAGGATCAAAGGGCCGTAGGATCGGTGCATTACTATCTCGCAGTTCCTGTAGCCGAGCCTAGCCCCATTACCCATTCGCGGCGCTGCAACGCAAATATCTCGACGGACAGTAGCCTATACGGAGTGCTCCTCGACCAAACGCGCCGCCGGAGTGGAGTAGTCCCCCAGGCCCCGGAATGGCCTCGATTGGGCTGCTGGCCGTGGAGATATTCGCGTGCGCGGCGCCGGGCACTTATCAGATGGTAGATATGTAATCGCATACGATTTCCCGAAATTACTCCGCAAATCGACCCCACGATAAGTCCTGCTTATCACGAGCGCCGTTGAGCCGATGAAATGCTGGATAGCGGGTGAAATATTTGTAGCATGTAGAAATCCACTAGCTCAGCACGTCCTGTGCTCCCTCGCGGAGACCTGAGCGGCCAATGGCTGCTGGACGAAAAATACACTGAACTGAACTGAACTGAACTTGCTACAAATTGCTGCCCCTCCAGCTGCGGATGACGTTGTAAACTTACGATGCTGCTTGTAGGGCAGACATTGCAATAATTCAGCCCGAAGGGCGTTCTACTCAGTCAGAAAGAAGAGCATAAAACCTCTTCTGATTGGCTACTTGGCCTCCCCTGTCCTCAACTCGTGCACGAATTGGTCGGCTGATAACGCCACCAAATGAAGGCCCACTACAAACCCCTGAGCGTTGTCTAGGTAACTAGCGAGCTCTCGGAGAGCTCGCCGAGAGCTTTCAGTTCTTCTTTTCTTCAATGCAGCCAATTTGTTAGTTTCTACGCACGCTTCTACTTCCCCTTTCCGTCGAATCTATCAAACCCATCGGGTTGCTAACGGTATCTAGGTTCCCATATCACGGCAGCCGACCTACCTCTCCAGATTCCCCAAAGCACCACCAAGCCCTTACCGAATTGAACGCTCTGCAGTCCCGATTTCTTGATGGGACCCCTAACCCTGAGGGCATGACTGATCTGGAGTATATGCCGCGTAGCGCGCAGACTCACCACCAGATGCCACTGCCTTCCATTCGCAGGACCCCTATCGACGAATTCAACCGTTCCCAGCCGCTGTTAACGCTCGCGTTCCCTACCCTCTACCCTGACGGCAAGGCCGACTTCGTGGAGCCTCGCCTACGGAGCATCGCGTACCAGGACTACCTTGGCCATGCGATGAGATGGCATGACGGACGTTTTGCCCGCCATAAAACGTGGCCTTTCGTCGCCCTCAACACGCTGCTACGTGCGCAGGTCCGAAAGCGAAGTGACTACTTCGTCAAGCAACGCGACAGCCGCCGTCAACCCCTTACACGCGCTGACCTAGAGGAAGCGATGGCTGAGCCTGACGAGCCAGAGGCTCAGGACCTGATCCAGTCGATCACGCGCCAAGCCGCGGTAATCAGGGGCACCCGGCCGTATTGGTATAAGCAAAGAAAGGAATTGGAAGCATATGCCTACAATCTGGGCAGACCTGGCCTTTCGTTACTGCAAGTGCGGCCGATTACCACTGGGAGTCCCTATATCGTCACATGCCTCGATTCCAAGAGTGGAAAGCAGCTCCTGAGGCGGCGCGCATGGTCCTGTCCCGGCAACTACTGCGAGACAACGCCCACATCGCCGCTTACCACTTCCATAAGCGTTATACGCTGTTTAGGACTATTGTCCTGAAGCAGAAGTTCAACCTAACGGACTTTTGGGGCCGTTACGAGTGGCAGGGCAGGGGTTCCAGTCACCACCACGGCCTATATTGGCTAAGTGGCCACCCAGACTTAGATCCTGACAACGATCAGTCCCGGGAGCAATTCGCCCGCATCTGGGGATATCACATATCTGCTGTCAACCCAGAGCCTCAGCGAATACAGGCGCCTGGGGAAGGGAATCCAGATCGGCAATCTATTGGAGCAGCCCTTACGGTTCAGTTCCTATCAATGGTGGTCGACCGCGTGCAACGCCACCGCTGCAACAACTACTGTATGCAGCTCAATAAGCATACCAAGCAGGTTGAGTGCCGCTTTGGATTTCCTCACGGACAGCGCCTGCTAGCCTCCTTGACAAGGTTCCTCATTCTAAGCACTGGAACTTCAGGGGCGAGAGGAACGATGGCCAGATTAACCACTACAACCGCTTGCTTACCGTTGCGTGGCTAGCCAATACAGACGTTTCGCCCTGCACGAGCCTCCAGCAGGTAATCGATTACGCGGCCAAATACTGCTCCAAGTCGGAAAAGAAGAGCGAGTCTTTTGCCCAGATTGGGAAGGCTTTGATGTCCCGGGTCAAGGACCACAACCCCCTGATTTCCTTCACGTCAAAGCTCCTCAATCAGCTGGTTGCTGAGCGGGATTACTCTAAGCAGGAGGTCAGCCACTTGCTCCTCGGCCTGCCGTTACAGGAAGGCTCACGAACCTGCCTGTACGTTGACTGTCGTAATCCTGACAGGCATTCCCGCTCCCTCCGTATTGACGGCGATGAGGTTGACGAGGCCCCCAACGTTTTCGAAAAGTACTGTCAACGCCCGGAAGCCCTAGCGGACCTAAACTACGTCTCCTTCCTGAAGTGCTGGAATTTCCGCCCTAGGGACCCTTCCAAGTGGAAGCAATGGCAGCCAGGCAACGTTAACGGCAGGCCTCGTGTGCTGGTTTGCTTTCCTCGCTATCAGGCTGATCCAGAAGGCCAACAGTGGCTTGATTACTGTCGTGCAAAGCTAACATTAAATCACCCACATCGGCAGGTTGATGATCTCCTCACATTTGACGGCCAGCTTTTTGGTTCTCACGCTGAGGCCTTCTCCTATTGTTGGCAGCACCACAGTCATGGTGATGACCATTATGGTCGGCCAAAAGAGGCTCGATTACAGCCTCAAGATGATCAATACGAGGCTCTGCCTGTGGAGGAAGAATTTGATGATGAAGACTGGATTCGCCTCGCCGCCCTTTACCTGGGAACCCCTTACCCAGGAAGATCTTGACCTTCTTGGCCGCCGTGATATCGACGTCAATTACGACTGGACACGGCATGTGGGTACATATCCGGAACTTCGAGACGGCTACTGGAAAGACCTTATCGCTAGCCACCCCATGGCCAACGATGTGGAGGTCCTTGGCCCTCACTGGCGTAATACGCTGAATCCGCAACAACGGCTCGTGTACGACACATTCATGGGTCACTTCCAGGCGAAAAATCCTACTCAAATCCTTCTCCACGTTGATGGTGGTGGTGGCACCGGCAAGTCGTTCCTTATCAAGGTGCTTTCCTCCCATCTTCAGGCGGCCGCTCTACCGAATCCTAGCCCTATTTGCCGCGTAGCGCCAACAGGCGTTGCGAGTAACCAGATACAGGGCAGCACCATTCATTCATTGCTACGCCTCCCAGTAGGTGGTGTTTTTACCGACCTTCCCCCAGCCGACGCAGCCGCCCTTCAGTCCCGCCTACGGCACGTCAAATACCTCGTGATCGATGAAAAGAGCATGCTGGGATTGAGCAGCTCGCGCGGATCGATTCCCGTCTGCGACAGGCCTTTCCACAGCGTAGCCTCGAGTTCTTTGGTGGTATGAGCGTCTTGCTTGTGGGCGATTTCTTCCAGTTACCACCAGTCCGGCAAAAGCCCCTGTATTCGACTAGCACCAGCCTGTCTGCGTTGGAAAGGAGAGGGCATGTGGCCTACCGGTTATTTGATCGCACCGTCTTCCTGACCACGGTACAGCGCCAGGCTGGTGATGATCAGGCCCAGTTCCGTCAGGCGTTGCAGGAACTGCGTGAAGTCAAGTTATCCATACCGTCCTGGAACCTCCTTAGCAGTCGGGTACAGGCCAGGCTAACGCAGAGCGAGGTTGACAGCTTCAAGGCCGCTTTGCGGGTGTATTCTACAAGGGCGCGGGTCAACGAATACAATTACGAGCATATGGTTCATCTAAACTCTCCGGCAATACAGGTGGAGGCAAAGAATCAGGGCAAGGGCGCGGGGCAGGCACCAAGCGACAATGCTGGCAATCTATCTAACAAGTTCCCCATTGCTAAGGGCGCCAGGGTAATGCTCACTACTAACCTATGGCAGCCAGCTGGCCTAGTTAACGGTGCCCAGGGTACTGTATACGATATCGCCTGGAACGCAGGCGCCGAACCATTGGAAGATCCCCCCGGCCGTTATTATGGTGGACTTTGATAGCTACGACGGACCGCCATATCTAACAACTAACGAGGGCAGGAAAATCTCACCCATCCTCCCAGTCAGGCGAGACTTCCTTGTGGGCAACGAGACCTGCGCTCGCACGCAGTTTCCCCCCTGATTGTGGCGTTTGCCATCACTGTTCATAAATGCCAGAGCCTAACGAAGGATCAAATAGTTACTGATCTCGCTACACGCGACTTCCAGGCCGGGATTAGCTATGCTGCTGTCTCACGGGTTACGTCGCTGCAAGGCTTACTCCTCGAGGCGCCTTTCGATCGTCAAAGCCTCTATAACCACACGCCGACGGAAGGTTTACACGTCTGCGTTTCCTACGTACCGCGTTCACGACTAACTATAAGGCAGGGATGAAGATGCGCCTCGCTGACCAACAACGGCGTCAGGGTCAACAGCTGACCGACGCACCATATACACCACGCTACCTTGACTAAACGACATCTTCCTCTCGGCTGGGGGAAAAGGGAGGTTCGATATATAGTATATAGTTTACAGTTAGGTTGGGCCTGTTAGGAAGCAGCAGAGACTCCTAACTATCAATTCCTTAGTGCAGGTTTGGGGCGATTTAAACAGCTGGTTGCCCGCGGCAGGCGAATGGGGGGTTCTAGGGGGTCTCCCCCTAGGAAAGTGAATTGCAGGTATACGATATTTACCCTTCGGGCTGGATATTCAGCCGTTGAGCCCCTTTCCTTGGCAACTTAACGGGTGTTCGAAGTATTTTAAATAAATACATATTTTTGGCATATTGTTATGTATTGTTAAGAGTGTGGCTATATTGATATGTATTGTTAAGCTTATCAATAATTATTAATATAACGTCGAATGCTCGTCTCCGTCTCCGTTGCCGCCGCCCACATCCATGATCTCGTCATCAACCGCAACGTACAGTTTGCGAATCAAGTCGTTCCTCACCCAATTACTCAAGCATTGCAGCTTTTCAGTCCTGTCCGCGGAAAGTCGAGCTCGATCCCAAGAAAGTGTCCGCCTTGTGCAAGAGAACACCCGCTCCGGGTCGTCCGACATCGCTGGGACGCTGAGTATGTCAAGAGCCATCTGATGCAAGCGTGGATACTCGGCTCTCTGTTCCTCACGACACCACCATTCAAGCGGATTGGCAGTCAGCATATGTCTCGGAGGAGCATTGATGAATTTCTCAAACTCGTCTTCATCGCCAGGTTCATCCAGGACACTCATTGACTGCCTTATGCGCTCGTAAGAAGCGACCTCTCGCGCTTCACAACTGGGTCGCACGGTTCTCTCCGAAGAAATTGGTCTGTCCTTATACTTCGCCCATTGCCGCTGTGCTGCAGCAATGGCTGTCTGCCGCCACTCTGGTGCCCAATGACGGTCGAGATACCTCCGCCGTTTTTCTGGATGGAGCAGAAGTGCCGTGGCATACGGGGTTTTGTCGGTTTCTTCATAATACTTTGAAAGAACCCACCAGCCCATGTGAATCGAGCTTACCATGTGGGCGTTTTCGGCATACTTGACCTGCATCGAAGTTGAGCTTCTTTTCTTCAGCCCGAAGGCAATACTTGCAGAGTCTACGACTGACCTTTGCGTCTTCGAATTGCACGAAGAGGATGTCCATGTTCTCTAGCACCTGATCTATTGAAGCCCAGGCCATTTGCTGCTCCAAGGTGGCCTGGTGAAACGGCTGCAAAAGCTCGTGTGTCATCTTCAATACTTGCCAGTCATCGTGAGTCAGGATGTCGTCCTCAAGCTCTCGATGATACTGATTGACGAAGACCGACAATGGGCCTTCCTGGCTGATGGCGGCATCAAGCAGCTTGAACCACGAGTTCCAGCGCGTGATGTTGTCGATACCGAGGGCTTTCCCCGCAATGTCGTCCCATGCATCGTTGTGAATTGTAGAGTTGCGAATGAACACAGCAATGTTGTGAAGTTTCCCCATTGGACCGATGCTCCGCCAACCGGCAGTATCATTTCTTTTCCTGCGCTTGGCGTGAGTTCTTGGCGTAGATTCTGAATGGAGGTGGTCATGCAAGGCATCTGCGACAGTAGTTTGATTCAGTTCGTCGTCCGCCTGTTCAACGGCGGCCTGAAGTGCACTTTCGCTGGTCGCAAAGAGAAAGGCTTGCAGGAAAGGTTAATGATGTGGCCAGCGCATCGTGTTCGAGACGATATCGGATCAAAGGTCAGCCCATGCTCTTGCGATAAATCAGCAGAAAGTTGACGGAGGCAAGTGTCATTTTTCGCATCATTGTCTCCGGTGAAATAGCCGAGTTTCTGTGTGATGCCGTATCTCCGGATGATCTTCAGTAGGTGCGGCGTCATCGCTGCGCCCGCGTGCGACCGTCGCAGGTTTGGCAATCCCAGCAATGCCTTGCGAGGCTTGTATGCCTCGTCGACCCATTGCGCATGAACAGCGATGTATGCCTTGCGTTGAGGAGAAGACCATACATCCATTGCGATATGCACAAGACTCCGAGCGCCTTCGAGCCACCGACAGACGGATTGTTGATGCGTATCGTACGCTATCTCACGGAGGATGAGCAAAGTAGGCATAAAGATCAGGGACTGAAGAACTCTTGATTCTCTATCTAAAGAGTGGAAATGATGCGACTATAAATACATAGTGCAAACAACTAGAACCTTCTAAGTGATTGATAATGCTCACGTTATGTGGCAAATAGTCAGCGTGGCAGGTGGCGAAGGTTGCAAGTGGCAATAGTAAGCAGTGGCGATAGTAGGGTCATCTGACCACCATGGTGAGGGAGCCTGTGAAGGTGACTGTGCGAATAGGGGGATCAGACTGTTGGAGGCTGATATTCCCTGTGTGACATACCCCCCCAGGTTGTGCTGGCGGTAGGTAGTGCAAACTGAAGAACGATAGAAGGAAATTACATCCCTAGCACAGTAGAGATATCAACGAGGCCGAGTTGTTGCACGAAAGTCTTAAACTTCTGGTTCGGCAGAGCTTTCGTGAGGCCGTCTGCGATCATTTGAGCTGTAGGCGTATACACAAGCTTATAGAGGCCTTGCTCGAATGCCTGTCTAGCCCAACAGGTGTGAATGTCGATATGACGAAGGGCTGTGCGAAGGCGAGGGATATCTTGTGTAACAAGACGAATCGTCTGAAGATTGTCACACTGAATGGTTGGAATTCCATCTAGCTTTAAAGAAAGCTGTTGAAAGAGACGGAAAGTTGCAATGGTCTCCTTTGCTGTGTGCGTGAGAGCAAGGAGTTCGGCTTCTGTAGACGAAGTCGTGACGGTGTCCTGTTTCCCGGCTGTTGAAGATCTCCACGAACACAGAGACGGGCTTTGAACTTCGTGAGAAAGCCGTGCTTATCGAACTTGTATTTGAAGACCCAGGTTAGCGGCAAAGGCTTCCCTGTGGCTTGGTCCTGCGGAATAGCCTTGAAAGTTCCTCTCTGCTGGAGAGACTTCCATTCTGTGTGGGCTGCTTCCTTGAACTGAGGGCCAAAGCGGTGGGTCTGTAGTTCTCGAAAGGTCTCAGGCTCTGGAGGGAGTGATCGGCTGTGCAGCTTCTCTTCTCGTCCGAGAAAGAAGGAACTATGAAAATGGCTTTTCGAACTAGCCATGAAAGTGCCCAGCTTGCGCGGTTTGGGCTGTCGTGATGATCGTCGTGGTTGAGGAGGTGAATGCTCACTGGGTCCTAGATCCGGCGTTGGATAGGGATTCTGAGCGTCGTGAAATTCATCCTGGTCATCTGATTCCTCGTGATCAGATGGTTCGGGTAGAACTTGAATCGTAGACCCGTCTTCCTGACTTTGAGTCGTCGAGGAAGGGTCTTCTGGGGAGAGTTCGAGATCTTCCATACGAGTAGCAACTTCCTCGTATTCCGATTCGTCCTCGATGTGGCCTGGGAGCCGAACTTCAATGCGCTGTGGGATAGGCTCCGGCGGCTTATCGATCCCATCGTAGAAGAGGCTTTCGTTGAAAGTCACATCTCGGACCCTTCGGACTTCCGACGTGGAAGGGATCCAAATCCTGAAAATGTTGGTGGAGTCGTATCCTACCAAGTAACCGATCTCAGCGTGAGGGTCGGTCTTGAGGTCCTTCTTCTGTTTGTTCTGAAGGGCCTGCTTGTTCAAAGGGTAGGCTCGACAGCCGTACGCCTTGAGAAAAGTGATATCAGGCTGAGTCTGTTGATAGCCTGTATCCTTGTTGTTGTCTTGCAGCCACTGGTGAAGCAGCTGAAACGGGGTTTTGAAACCGTGGTTCTGCATGGGCGATCTGTTATGCAAAAACACTGCGGCTTTCCAAGTCTCTGGCCAAAGATCAGATGGTAACTTGGCATCAATTCCCATCGTTCTGGCCTGGGTGCCTATTACCCCCCCAGATCGTTCTGCAGAACCGTTCTGAGCTGAAGTGTAAGGGGCGGTTGGTTCGTCTTGAATTCCCCTTTCTTCAACCCATGCCTCGTAGGCGGTCTGAAGAGCACGATCGTTGTCTCGGTGGATAATGCAAATGTTGAGATCCCATTGGCGCTTGATCATCGCCTCATGGTTCCTCAGGGCGGTCATGACGGAGTCCTGGGTCGCGTCATTGAGAAAGTGGATGAAAATCATGGAAGTAAATTCATCCTTGATTAGAAGGACAGCTTCCTTGTCATTGAAGGAAGTGTGAAGACTGAAGATATCAATGTAGATTCTCCAAAATGGTCGTTGTGCCTTGTTTTGAGGGGATCGTCGTGATACAACCCTCTTCCCTTTGCCAAGGGAGCAAGATTCGCAGTCAACTGTGACTGGACCTTTGATCTTGCATCCTGTTGTGTTCTCAACAAGATGCTCTAGGGCTTGAGCGTTCAAGTGGCCTAGACGTTTGTGCCATAGCGTGGCATCCGCGATTTGCGCCGGGCGAGGCGCCGAAGAAGATGTGAAGTTGGAGGATGGTGCAACCTCCGAAAGTTGGTTATACTCTATAACCGGTTGACGGAACAACCGTCTGGTGTGAAAAACTATCTGATCGTCCTTGGAGACGAGTCCAGACGCTGGGTTCCAGTTGTATCCCTTCGCAAGAAAGCGGTCGAGGGATGCGATGTTCGTGTGGAAGTTTGGCACGTAGGCGACTTCGTTGAGCTGAAAAAGTCCTCCTTCTTCAAGCTTCATGCGAACTGTGCCGTTGCCAAGGATCTGAAGTTGACTATCTCCTGCGAAGAGATCTTCGGGTTCTGCAAGAGACGAGTAGTCGAGGAAACGGGATCGGTCGTTGCAAATATGCGTGTCAGATCCAGAATCAAGGATAAAAGAGTCACGCAGCGGGTAGACTGCCTTTCCTGCTGAAAAACTCGTTGACGGTGGAGGTGTGTGTTCGGGAGTAGGCGGAAGACCGGCAAACGCTGTGCCTTTGACTGAGGAGCCATTAGAGGAGTCTGACGCCTTCTCCTTTTCTTTCTGCTTGGATTGTTGTGCTCTCTCCGTCATCGTCTTTGCCCATGGATTGGAGTCGAGGATATCCTTGATCTTCTTCTCAACCGTCTGATCTGCAGTCCAGCCATCAGGCCTAGCTGACTCAATGAGATAGAAGCAATCTGCGAAGAAATGGTGTTTTCCGCAGACACACAAGGGGATCCCCTTGTCGTTCTTCCTCGAAGACCACTTAGGCTTATCCTCTTTCTTCTCCGTTTTCTCTCCCTTGCCCTGGAAGGCAGCTCCAAACGATCCTTTGTTGTTTTTGGCGGCCTTAATCCGGTGAGCTCTCTCAAAGATCTCACTGATCTTAATGCCGTCAGGGAACACGGTCTTCCAGTTAGGCTTGCCGAGTGCGGCTTCGTCCTCCATTTTATTGACCCAGTAGTCAGTGAATGGGGTGTTGATAGATGAAACAGCCTGTAGGAAGTCTTGAGTAGGGCGTAGGTCCTGAACGTCAGGGAGCCCTAGTTGTTTTGCCTCTGTAAGGACTTTTTGCCATTGGGTGACCCAAGCTTCGATCTTGGTCCGGTTAGGCGATTGAAGGGTTGAACGATAACGTTGAAGAACTTCCCTCTCGAGTGCCCAATCTGTGGGGGCCACACGAGCCTGAAGTAGGGTGAGTTGCTTCGCAACGTCGTGTTCCTCGGCAATGGTGCTGTAGTAGTTGCCGATTGTCTTGACGATGTGTTGTTGAAGGCTTGCAAGGGCCTTCACTTGATCCCTGTACCCTTGAAGCTTCGAGCGGTACTGGGTGTGGAGGAATTCAAGTCTGCGAAATTCCTCCGAGGTCAGATCCACGAGATCAGATACTTTATCGTTGATCAAGCGGAAGGTTGGTTCAACAGGCTGCTGAAGAACCGGCTTGCCCTCCTGAACGGCAGGGTCAAGGAATTCCCAAAGATTATGGGAGGTCGCGAATTTCTTGACGATAGAAATCCATTGTTTCCAGTCGCAAGGGCCGTTGAGCACGGTACCCTTGGAAGAGCCATCAAGATCTAGAGCTGAGCTCATTGTGGAAGCGTTTTCTGTGCAGCGGAATGAACAAGAATAAGATACCCAGTCAATGGCAGACCGGGCTCATAACTATCTCACGGAGGATGAGCAAAGTAGGCATAAAGATCAGGGACTGAAGAACTCTTGATTCTCTATCTAAAGAGTGGAAATGATGCGACTATAAATACATAGTGCAAACAACTAGAACCTTCTAAGTGATTGATAATGCTCACGTTATGTGGCAAATAGTCAGCGTGGCAGGTGGCGAAGGTTGCAAGTGGCAATAGTAAGCAGTGGCGATAGTAGGGTCATCTGACCACCATGGTGAGGGAGCCTGTGAAGGTGACTGTGCGAATAGGGGGATCAGACTGTTGGAGGCTGATATTCCCTGTGTGACATACGCCCTATCTAGATCCGAAGCGACCGTGTTGCTAGAGTCGACGAGGAACTCCTCGACTGCGGGGTTGATCGCGGTCAAAAGTGCCTGATACTCTGGCCACGTCGCGCAGCTCAGTGGCAGATGCCTATTCGCGGAAAGTAGCATCTGTGCCTCTCGGAAAGCATCGACATTGATCACGCTCCGCAAAATGTTGACCTCGCTCTCTTGAGTCAGCCTCAGCTGCTTTTCGCTTGTTCTCGCAAAGGCATTCTCGATGGCTACTTGACGCTTGCATCGAGCATTCGTATCTTCTCTGACTTGTACGTGATGAACCTTTTCGAGATGATAGCGGGCGTTGCCAGAAATGTGGGTTGACCACGATGGATTGCGACAACGTTTGCAGTAGTGGAGTAAATTGCCACCTGCCGTGCGTGGCTCATCGCCTCGAGCCTGTCGAAAGTGATGCCAAGTCGACGTCGCTCTCAACTTCCTCCTCTTGACTGCTGCCGGAGGAATGCTCCGATTCTGAAGGTATACTGGCAGATTGCGAGACACTATCGGAAGGCAAAATTGATGATGAAGGGTTCGATGCGATGTCAACCTCCGGCACACGGGATACGCAGTCTTCCATTGCCAAAGCCGAGGTATCGAGGGGGCGTGCACTTCAATTAGCAAAATGGAGGGCATGAAGAATCTTCAACGAAAGAATGCTACCATTCTGTGCCGAGCCCCTTTCCACAGCGCTACGGCTGACGAGTGGGAAAAGTAAGTACGCCTAAGACAGGCAATCAGAGCATAATAGGGGCATATTAACAATACATATTGATAGGGGACATCTATATTTTTATCGATATCGATAAGCTTAACAATAAATATGCCCATACTTATCAATATATATTGATTACTGAGATGTCTGCTGACGACGACCCTATCTCTGAGCCCCTGGAAAATATGACTCTTGGCAGTGGCGGCTCTGGTGCCGTGGCGTCGGCGTCTGCCCTACAACCCGCGGCTCCTAAGGTCCGTCGAAGGGCTAGGGGTAAGGGCAATCGGGCAGACCAGTTCTGTATATACAGGACTTCGGACGGCCAAAATATCCCCGCTCTCGCTATCGAATACAAAGCGCCACACAAACTAAGCGTCGACGAGGTCGTCACGGGCCTCGAGTCGGAAATCCGGCCGGAACGTGACGTGATTAACCAGGACGGCCAGGGCTTTGCTTTCACAGCCAAAGCACTTGCCGCCGCCGTTGTCACCCAACTCTTCTCCTACATGATCGGAAAGGGCATCCAGTACGGCTACGTGTGCACAGGGCAGGCCTTCGTCTTCCTCCATATCCCGGTGCATCATCGATTTGGCGGTCTCCACATTGCTGCGTGACTTTACCTCGTCGCCTCTTTCGCTTTCGTTACCGGCCGATGTAACCCGTGTCGTCCGGGCCGTGACTCGCTTCGAAGCCCTCGTGGTCGCATTTTCCAGCGATCGCAACGTATCTTGCACGCGTCGATGGCGATGGGCTAATTGGATCTAACCCCGCCCCCACGTCCGCCGGAGGCGCCACTTCAGGCTCTGCCATGATGGCAAGCAAGAGCCACACCTACCCCAGAGTAAAGAAGGATGAAGAACTATCTACGATGACAACTCTCCCCTGTAAAAATTCTTCACCCCGCGGAGCTGTTAGTGGCTCGTTAGCCGGGACAGGATCTACAGGCCACCCGACCGCGCTTTTGCTGCGGGGTCCATCGTGACCCTAACAGCACAGAGGAAGACCTTAGGAGAGTTCATATTCCTCTGCGAAGCCGGTCTCGACAACATGTCCACTCGGACCTCATGGCTCTCTTCGGAACCAAGGAGCTATGGGTATTGGAAGGCCCGCCCTTCTAAACAACGGTGGCCGGTTGCGGAGGTTTTCTCCCTGAGGGCAAGCTGCAAAGCCAGCCTCTGATCCCCTCCAAGAGTTTTTCCCTGCCGCCGCTCCCCAGTCATTTCCACGGCTTGGTTACTGGAGCGTGGACTGCGGCAGCAGTTTTGGCTGCGAGCGAGAGAATTCTGACCGGACAAAACCAAGGGTTGACCAATTCTTTGTGGCTGCGACCACCCGACACTTTGCCTTGACATCCCGCTGACGGGTACGAGGCTTGACACGAGCGCCATCGAGCCGATGAAATGCTGGATAGGGACAGAAGGGTTGTTCACGGGTAGCGAACTACGAGCGCTGGGTGCATTTAGATGGACAGTGGTTTTTCGAGGGAACTCATTCGGGACACTTCTCTGTAACTAGCTCAGCACGTCCTGTGCTCCCTCGCGGAGACCTGAGCGGCCTGAGCCGCTGGACGCAAAATACACAACAACAACAACAACTATCTACGATGAACCCTCGCCGACTGCAGCAGTCAATCGCGCAATAGGCAGAGACTTCGACAAGTTCGTCAAGCTGGCGAAGGCGACCTCCTTCTTTGAATGGGCTTGCCCTCGCCACTAGGCGGCTGCATCACATCTTTCCCTCATCTCTTTCCTTTGTTCAAACCCCCCCGGATTCGGCCAGGCGGAGGGTGCTACAACACCCTTTGCCCGGCCGGGTCAACTGAGGCTGCGGTCTGCAGTCTCCGACAACGGTCCCTTGGAGACCAACTGAATGGCAATCTCACTGCCGCGCCTGTACGACCCGCTGACGGGCACCAGGTTCAACACGGAGCGCCTTAGAGCCGATGAAATGCTGGATGGTGGTTTGTTTATGTTTGCGAGAGGAGACTGTAGACAGACCAACTAGCTCAGCACATCCTGTGCCCCACCGGGACCTGAGCGGCCTCACGGCCGCTGGACGGAAAATACACATACATACACACACACAGACACACTATACATATCGATACACAGACTTTCAGTGACGCGCTTGACCCATTTTCAATCCGTTGAGTGTAGGGTGGTGCCTTTATCTTCACCATGGCGACGCCAGACGGCGATGCGAATGTGAGTGGGGCTGATTACCCCGCGACGCCAAAACGACGCGGTGGGAGGCCCACGATCAAAGTCCGCGACGCAGCGAGACAGCTTGAAGAAACGGGAAAGGAACCAAAGCGTGCTACCCGACAAGCGACAAGAACAGCGTCGATTGACAATGATGTGGAACGAGCGAATGATGCGAGGCGAGCGGCGAGCAGCAGCAACGATGGGAGGGCAATGCTCCTGCAGGCACTGGAGATGCTTGACGCGTACAGTGACAAATTCCAGAATCTCCACCAAGTTATCAAGGCTCAACAGGATACGATCCAGGAACTGAGCCACAAGCTTGACGATACTAAACGAGAAATGAATAGCAAAATGGAACAAATCAGAACGCAGATGGGAGGCGAGTTGCAGCAACTTCGCGTGCAGCTTGAAGCCATCACCACAAGCGTCAACGAGTCTCCACAATTGTCGTACGCGGAGGTCGCTCGCTCAGCGCCATCATCGCAGCCTAGCAGGATGGGGACCCTTTCGACCGGCAACACAACGCCTTCCAACCTCACCGACACATTCTTTTGCACCATTGACACGTCGCGAATCGAAGATGGCCAAAGCAGTCGGGTCACTGCGGGTGCTATCCGCACCATGGCCGAAACCGAGATCAGAGCGGATCAAGTTCATGCCAACTGGCGATGCCGTGCTGTCATCAAAGATCCCAGGAAGCCGAACCGTGTTCGGATCGCCTGTCGCGACAAGGAAGAGCAAAGTATGCTGAAACGGGTGGTGGGAGCTAAGCTTCCCCAGGGCGTCAGGATGTTAAGAGACGAGCTCTACCCAGTCAAGGTTGACCACGTCAATCGCACGGCGGTCCTGGACGAAGTGGGCGACGTTCGGCCTGGAACGACTGAGACTTTCAGTGAAGAAAATGATGTTCAGGTCGCGAAGATTGTGTGGCTTAGCAAACGAGACATTCCGAAGGCGTACGGCTCCATGGTCGTGTATCTCACAAAGGGATCGGACGCCAAAAGACTGCTCTCAGAAGGCTTCTTCTATGCCGGAGGTGAGTCTGGGTACACCGGATTCTTCGAGCGCCGACCTCGCCCCGACCAGTGTTACAACTGTCAGCAAATTGGCCACAAAGCATTCCAGTGCGAGAAAGTTCAGATTTGCGGAAGGTGCGCGAAAGAAGACCACCACCATAGCGCATGTAACGAGACGGTGTTCAAGTGCGCGCTATGCGGCGGACCCCACGAGTCGTTCAGCAAGAACTGCAGGAAGCTCCACCCATCCTCACATGAGTAGTGCGCTTCGAATGATCCAACTCAATGTGGCGAAACAAGGCCCGGTCCATGACAGCCTGGTGAACGATCAACAGATTGAGGATGCAGCTGTGTTGGCTATCCAGGAACCACAGGCGCGAATGATAAACGGCCGTCTACTGACCACCCCTATGGGTCATCACAGGTGGGTGAAAATGGTTCCGTCGACGTGCAGGGAGGGTAGATGGGCGATCCGAAGCATGCTATGGGTTAGGAACGATCTGGACGCGGAGCAGGTGCCGGTTGAGTCTCCCGACATAACGGCGGCGCTGCTACGGCTCCCCGAGCGCCTAGTCCTGGTTTTCTCGGTCTACGTACAGGGATTCGATGATCAAGCGCTGCTGGAAACGTGTGCCGTTCTAGAAGAGGTGACAACGAACACCAGACGAAGCGCAGGCAGGGTAGTCAATGTGGTTATCATGGGCGACTTCAACCGTCACGACCAACTCTGGGGCGGGGAAGATGTTGCGTTGGAGAGGCAGGGCGAAGCCGACCAGATCATCGAACTCATGAACGAACTGGCCCTTGACAGTCTACTTCCAAGAGGCACAAAAACCTGGCAACGACGCGAACTCGAGACAACAATTGATCTCGTCCTTGTGTCTGAGGATCTCACAGCCTCGGCGATCAAGTGCGCTGTTCATGGTGCAGAACATGGGTCCGATCACCGAGCCATTGAGACCGTCTTTGACGTCTCGATGCCGAGGCCCTTGGTTCAAGAGCGTCTTCTTTTCAAAAATGCACCTTGGAAAGAAATTAATGCTCGAATTGAGTCTGCTCTGGAAAGCAGTCCCTGGGGCGGGACGGTACAGCAGCAGGCAGACAGGCTCATGTCGGTGGTGCTGGAAGCCGTCCATGCCTTGGTGCCAAGGGCCCGACCGTCTCCGCATGCGAAGCGGTGGTGGACTTCGGACCTCACCCAACTCCGGCAGATTCATACCTACTGGAGAAATCGAGCCAGGTCATTGCGGCGAGCAGGGCAAAGATGCGACAGGCTTGAAGATATGGCCAATGGAGCTGCCAAGCAGTACCACGACGCCATCAGGCAGCAGAAGAAGACGCATTGGCATGAGTTTCTAGCGGACAACGGCAATATTTGGAAGGCTGCAAAGTACCTGAACTCAGCCAGCGACACAGCGTTCGGCAAGGTACCGCAGCTCGTACGAGCTGATGGCACGAGGACGGTCAACGGCAAGGAGCAAGTCGAGGAAATGCTAGACACCTTCTTCCCCCCCCTGCCGGAGGTCATCGAGGATGAAGGTGAAAGACCTCGGCGAGGGACAGCTGTCGAGATGCCAGACATCACGCTTGAGGAGATTGAACGGCAGCTTTTTGTCGCCAAATCGTGGAAGGCCCCTGGCGAGGATGGACTACCTACTATAGTCTGGAAACAGACTTGGCCGGTGGTCAAGCACTGGATCCTGTTGCTGTTCCGTGCTTCGCTAGAGGAAGGCGAATTGCCCACTCAATGGAGGCACGCCAAGATCATCCCGCTCAAGAAGCCAGACAAGGACGACTATGCCGTGGCGAAGGCGTGGAGGCCTATATCACTGCTGCCCACACTTGGCAAGGTCCTGGAGTCGGTCGTGGCTGAGAGGATTTCACATGCGGTCGAGGCCCACGGACTTCTGCCCACCAACCATTTCGGGGCGCGCAAACAGCGATCCGCCGAGCAAGCGTTGATGCTGCTGCAAGAGCAGGTATTTACAGCCTGGAGAAACCGACGCATACTGAGCCTCGTGACTTTTGACGTGAAGGGTGCGTACAATGGAGTATGCAAGGAGAGGCTTGTTCAGCGCATGCGCGCCAGGGGCATCCCGGAGAGCTTGCTCCGCTGGATCGGAACTTTCTGCTCGAATCGCACGGCGACCATACAGATCAACGGGCAGATATCGGAGGTGCAGAGCCTTCCACAAGCCGGACTACCCCAAGGCTCTCCTCTATCGCCAGTTCTTTTTCTCTTCTTCAATGCAGATCTCGTTCAACAGCGAATCGACCGTCATGGTGGAGCCGTGGCTTTCGTCGACGACTTCACAGCGTGGGTCACAGGCCCCACGGCGCAAAGTAACCGCAAAGGAATCGAGGCGATCGTTGAGAAAGCTTTAGATTGGGAAAGGCGGAGCGGCGCAACCTTCGAGGCACAGAAGACGGCGATCATACACTTTACTCGCAAGCCGCACAAGTCTGATGCGCAGCCATTCGCGGTCAAGGGTCAGCTCGTCCGACCCAAGACCAGCGTCAAGGTTCTCGGAGTGATCATGGACTCTGGCCTCAAGTACAAAGAGCATATGGCGAAGGCAGCTAACAAGGGATTGGAAGCTGCGATGGAACTGCGGAGACTCAGAGGTCTCACCCCGGCGACAGCAAGGCAACTGTTCGCATCTACAGTTGCCCCTGTGGTGGATTACGCCTCGAATGTCTGGATGCATGCATGCAAGAACAGAAGCGCCAGCCCAATCAATCGGGTCCAGCGAGTTGGGGCTCAAGCTATCGTGGGAACGTTCCTCACGGTCGCAACGGTTGTGGCGGAAGCCGAAGCACACATCGCCAGCGCGCAGGAGCGGTTTTGGAGAAGAGCCGTCAAGATGTGGACTGATCTCCACGCCTTGCCCATGACCAATCCACTTCGCAACGCTACATCGTGTATTCGGAAGTTCAGAAGATACCATCGCTCACCGTTCTACCAGGTGGCGACGGCACTCAACGAGATCCCCATGGAGGAACTGGAGACAATCAACCCCTTCACACTGGCGCCATGGGTTGAACGAGCCCAAACCATAATCACCGACGAAAGCGGAACAGAGGCAATAGAAGTCGGAAGTGGCGAAGCGGTACGCATCGCATTGAGCAGCTCAGCAAGAAACGACGTTGTCGGAGTTGGTGGCGTCATTGAGATCCCAACACAAGCGCATGGATCCTCCACACTCGAGCGATTCTCTTTCACCCTTGGTATGAGAAAGGAACAGAACCCGTTTTCCGGACAGCTGGCGGCCATGGAATATGCGTTGGAACGCTTGCCTGCGCTCAGACATCGGGGCGTATTGTGCATGACGAGCAACAAAGCTGCCGTTCTCTCCCTCCGCAATCCGAGTCAACAATCTGGTCAAGAGTATATCAAGCGAATTTACGACTGCATCGAGTCCCTGAAGGACGATGGAAACATAGCCTCTTTTCTTTGGATACCCACCAGCGCTGAACATGAACTCTTAAAGGCTGCGAAGCAAGAGGCACGAAAAGCAACCGCAGAAGGCGTCACTCCAGCGCGAACATCTCCAAGAATGCGATCAACGACCTTGACCGTGGCTCGAGCGAACCACCAGACAGACACAAGCATTCCAGACCACATTGGCAAGCATATAAAGAAGGTTGACATCGCACTCCCGGGCGGGCACACCAAACGTCTATACGATGACTTGTCCAGAGAGGAAGCGAGTGTGCTGGCGCAACTGAGAACAGGCATTGCAAGATTGAACGGGTACCTATACAACATCAGAGCAGCGGCATCGCAGCAATGCGCATGCGGACAATCGCCAGAGACAGTTGCACATTTCCTATTTCAGTGTAGGCAATGGGCAGCGCACCGACACGAGATGATGAAGTGCACAGAAACGCGGCGAGGGGACCTTTCGTTCTACTTGGGCGGGAAGTCGCCTTCGGATGACACGAAATGGGCGCCCAACATGGAGGCAGTTCGTGCGACAATTCGATTTGCGATAGCGACGGGACGACTCGCGAGTACACGACATTGAGAACAGATTGCAAACCCTCACCTTCCATTCTTACTCCTTTCCTACTAACACGCCCCCCTTTGGGCTCGGGCCACAGGTCGCAGGCACCGCTTCAGCCGCCGCAGATAGGACCCTGAACACTTGAAGAACGACCTTCAAGCTCGCCTGCCCGGAACAATTTCAACCGCCCGGATCCTCAGAGTGCGATGCAAATTTTGTTGAGATTTAAATTGCCGAGATCGAACACACTATGGGCTTTCAGGATACCATGTCAAAGATTGAGAAATGAGTATGTCCGTAATCAGATAGTAGCCTTATTGGCCTACGGCCACCAGGCGTAATCAATACATACATACTATCTACGATGAGGTAGCACCAGCTTATGGAGCTGGTGAGGAACGAACGCGAAATAAGTGGGGCGTGGCACGGGTAGTCTAAGCAACATGACTTTGTCCTAAAATGGTTAGACTTCTCTTGTCCTTAGCTTTGCTGAGGTAAGTCGCTTCCCCGCGACACGAACGTGATTAGTCGCGCCTGCCTATCTATTTTCTTGTTTACCTCTCTCCCTTGCTTTCCCCTTTTCTCCGCAAAGCAATCGGCAATGCTCTACCCGACACCAAAATGAGTCTTACGGAGCAGCAGATCAAGGTTATCTCGGACCGCCCGTTCAACGATACGCTTAATCACATTCAAGACAAACTACGCGACTTCAATGAGCCCGACGATTTGCGGCAAGAAGATATTGCAAGCCTTTTGGGTGCCTTGGTCGCCTCTCCGGCCGCGTTCAGCCTCCTGTCGCCGGACGAGAGCGGCAGCGTGGCAGTCAGGTTGCTCTCCATATTACAGCATGTTCGAGGAGGCGGAGTAAAACCTGAGCTATTCCGCCCTCTCGTTCGTCGCGTCATCGCCAGAGCTCCCGACATCGACATCTGGAATGCCGTCCTCAGACTCATCGACACCCTCAGCTCCCTCACTCCCCCTCCGTCCAGCATCGTCCCAACCTACAACGGAACACCCGTCAAGACCAGCTCGAGCCGACTTGACGATAGCGAAACTCGCGACATTGTCGAAGGAGAGCTCTTCTTCGAGATAAAAGACTGCACCTTTCGCAATGTGGGAGGATTCTGCGACAAGTTCTTCGACTCCAAGAGCTGGCGCAAAGAACAGAAAGAGATGCTGACGAGGATGATGATGGCGCACGACGGAAAGAAATGGATGGACTTCCCGTCCACTCCCGATGAAAAACCGGTCTGGACATGGCTCTGTGCGCTTGAAGAACGCTTCTTGACTGATGCACCCCACAAGTTATACACCACCCGAACCGCCAACCAATTCAAGGAACGGAAGGGCCAGATGGATCTCTTCTTTCAGACAACAGACAGGGAAACTAACAGCACCTTTACCTACAAGGACGTCCTTGTCGTTGGAGAGCAAAAGAAGTCACACGATACAAGCAGGTTCAAAGCGGATATCCTCCAACTTGCGCGGTATGTACGAGGTGTCTTCGCTGACCAGCCGACACGCCGATTTGTCCACGCTTTCTCCCTCTGCTCTTCCAAGATGGAGCTCTGGGTCTTCGATCGGTCTGGGCCGTATAGCTCGGGCTCATTTGATATTCACGACGAGCCGGACAAGTTTGCGCAGGCTCTTGTTGGATACGCTACAATGAGTGATGATGCTATGGGCCTGGACGCGTTCATCGAGCGAGAGGAGGGTCATCGCTATGCCACCCTGGAGGACGTAAGCGGCAACGAAACAAGAGTCACGCTGGAGGAGCTGATAGTCAGGCAGCGCGCTATCGTGTGTCGCGGGACTACTTGCTACCGGACCCGAAACGGCCATGTTGCTAAGTTTTCCTGGGCATCGGATAAGCGGAAACCAGAGGGGGACCATCTCAAGCTGGCAGGAGAGAAGGGCGTCAAGGGGGTGGCGAGAGTGGTGGCGCACCGTCAAATCACCACCATTGCAGACATGCGGAAGGGACTGGAGTTTCCAAAATCTCACCGGTTTCGGGATGAAGATGTCCACTTCAGAGATCTACCATCGGCCGTAGGAAGCACGAGCTCAGCAAGTCGCAAGCGCAAATCGTCCTCTGACAATACGTCTGACAACACGTCTGGATCCAAGAGGCCGCCGTCCAAAAGCCAAAAACCGAAGCTGGTTAAGGAGTTCAAGGAGCAGCTGTCGATCGGCAAGACGAAACCAAGCTTGTATACTTCTAGGAGCGAGGATCCATTTGAGAACAGGATCTATTCTTGTCTCGTCGTCTCACCAGCCGGCCGTGTCATCAGCGACTTCAAGTCGATCAGGGAACTGCTGGAGTCGCTCCGAGACGCCATCAGGGCACACCAGTCTCTCTACATCGATGGCAACATCCTGCACAGAGATATCTCCTCGAACAACATTATCATCACGGGTTCGAAAACAGTTGACGGCTTCAAGGGCATGTTAATCGACCTCGATCTAGCTAAAGTCAGAGACAGCGGGCCGAGTGGAGCACGGCACCAGACCGGCACGATGCAGTTCATGGCGATCGAGGTACTGCGGAAGGCCGACCACACCTACAGACACGACCTTGAGTCGTTCTTCTACGTTCTCCTCTGGATGTGTGGGCGCGAATCCTGGGAGAGAGGCGGATTTGGGCAAGGCGAGGAGCCACCTAAGGAGAGCCTTCTACGGGCATGGGAGATTGGAAGTTTCCAATCTATTGCGAGCGCCAAAGTGGGTCACATGACCATAAATGGCCTGGAAGAGATCATGAACCAGTTCCCACCAGTGTTTGATGTTGTCAAGCCCCTCTGTCTGAAGATCAGGACGTTATTGTTTGGGGAGACAGCGAGGCTGGATATCGGAACTCCTGCAGGTGATCCGGACCAGCTCTACAACGCTATCAGAATAGCCTACGACGAGGCTATCGATAAACTTTTGAAGGATTAATATTTGGACGAGCAATATTCACTTAAGTACTTGGCCCATGGCTGGTGCGCTCTGTTCGCGCGCCGACAAACCGTGCCGGCATTGCCTTTTGTCCAATCCAATGCCTGGCAATGGACCTGGGATGATGGCCGCTCAGTTGCGTCCCAGGCAGGTGGATCCCTCCAATCAAGGGCACGGAGAACAGCAAGCGTTGTCGACATGCATTTCGACGCTAAGCACCTGTTTTTTCTTTTCCTGGAGGCGTCATGGAAGCTTGCTTGGGCCAATCGAAATATTCAAGACACACACCTTCGCGCCAACCAGACGCAAGCTGCAGCTGGCTGAAGCGGGGCCAAAGGCGCCAAGCACCCCTCTCCCTCCATCCCAACCCTCTCCCCACTTTCGTTCTTTCGCTTCTATCAGCCTTAGCATACGTCATGACACACGTGGACCACGCATTCTTGGGCAGTACCATTTGGCAGAATTGCAGCCCGAGGCAATTTGGTCTACCACTATTTCGCTGCTTGTAAACCTTGATGCCTTTTGTCGTGTAGAACGCAAAGCAGCTATCGTAGTGATAAAAGGAAGGATCAAAATAGAGAGGGTACTGCGTGGCACTGATCCAGCTGGTACATCCCGAGGTTCTGCCCGAGTTGGTGAATGCAGCAAGTCGGTAACATGCGTTGCGTTTTTAAGCAGCACTACTACCGTATTTACACCAGACCTCTCAATAGCCACTGCTTTTGAAGTTGATCTGCCTCGACTGCCTCAGGCGCCAGGCGATTGCGTTCGTCCGTAATCATCTTCTTCGCCTGACTGAACACCCTCTCGCACTCAGCACTCATACCAGGAATTGAGAACAGATCCAGTGCCATCCTGTACAAGACCGGATATTCCAATTGATGTCTGTTCCACCATTCAAGGGGGTCTGCCACGTCGAGATCGTGGGCGTAGATTGGCCGCGTCTGGAATATGTCCAGCTCGGTCACTGCCTTGACCTTCTTTCGTTGTGTGTTCAATGAGCGGATCGACCTCTTCCCAAAGGAACTGTAGTCGTTGACCTCAGCCTCAATCTGAACATCGCCTTCCAGAAGTCCCGCTTGAGCTTGAGTTTCGACTTCGGCCTGTCGCGCGTATTCGTCGAATAGGCTACCCACAGCGGACTGCATGTCGCTATACCATTGCGGCCTATTCATCGCACTTTTCCAATGCCGCTCGAAGTAGTCGTACCCATACGATGGATGGAGTGCTAGGGCGGCTCGGTACACAGGAGTACGGTCTGTTTTGACGTAGTAGTCCTCGAGCTTCCTCCACCCGCAGTCGATGCCCGACTTAAAATGGGAGGGCTCCTCGAATCGAGTTTCCTCCGCCGCCTGCTTGAACTTGACAAACAGATAGTCCATTGTCTTGAGGGTCTCCCACACCGCGCCGTGCCCGCCCTCTGCGCTAGCATTGTTGGCGTTGCCCTCCATTGTCTTTGTAAGGACGTAAAACGGCTTCAGGAAGTTGTGGAAGCGCTCCAGTTCCGCCCAGTCCGCAGCGCCGAGGAAATCTTTCGTTAGGTCACGATGGACGCGATCATTCTTCGGCTTTTGCCAGCGAGATTGATACAGTTCAATGGCGCTGCGCAGCTCGAGCGCTGGATAGTTCGATATCGCGTCAGCAAAAGGACTAACTGTACGGACAGGGACAGACCGGCAAACCTCGGTTAATCATCATGTGAATGGAGTTCCAGCGTGTCTTGCCATCAACAACAATCTCCAATGTAAATATAGCATCGTCCCCTGCGAGCTCGGTCTGCAAGCGCCGGAGCGCTTGCCTTCGCTGGTCCGTCCGGCGGATGTAGGTAGCAAGGTTGTGGAGTCTGCCGATGGCCCCTTTCTTGGCCCAGATTTCGAAACTGAATTCATCCGTCGCGCCACGAAGCTCCGCCTCGAATCTGCTAACGTTTGAGCCGAAAATGACGGCTCGCACGACCAGGTTGATAATATGGCCTATGCAGCGCAGCCGACGTCGGCCAACGTCCATTGGGAACCATTGAGCAAGCGTTTGAAGGCAAGTATCGTTGCTGTCCGCGTTATCGAGCATGAAATATCCAAGCTTGGCGCCCATTTCGTATTTATCGATTACTTCTTTCACATGAGGCGCAATATTCTCACCGGAGTGTGGACCGACTAGGCGTGGCAGTCCAAGGAGGACATCACGCTTTCTGCCATTCTTGTCAACAAAGTGGCCGACAATGCCGACATAGTGAAACCCGTTGGAAGCAGTCCAGAGGTCAAACCTAAGGTGAATTGAGCTCCTCGCATCCTTGACAAGCTTGGCAATTATGTGCCGCCGGGATTCAAAGGTTTGGCGGATCCATGAACACACCGTGGTGTGATGCTCCGGCAGTAGCTGGCTTGCCAGCTCCACACCGTTCGCTATGGGCCACCGAAGCCGCTCGCTGGATGCCTGTCGAAATGTGACGTCTTCGACTATGACCCAGTCAACAAAGCGAGCTTTCCATGCCCCCTCGTCAACATGAGAGGCAAGCTGCAGGCCTAGGCTAGCCTGCCGCGACAAAAGGTGGGATGACGAGGAGCCATCCGTCGCCGCCAACGTAATCATAAGAACAATTACATTATTATATTGTCACTATATGGGGAAACATGCTGATTAAGTATGTTTGTCACGCGCTTGGAGAAGGAATACCTCCGAGATGTCTCGGAGTAGGCCGTCAGGAAACGGAGGATGCTATAATATAAGAAGGGTGCCTATTCTCGGGATTTTATGGGATCTTCAGAGATCAATGAATTGAATGATTGACCCCCGTTCCTCACTCTCTGTCTAGTTGTGTGCGCCTTACAGTTTGATCTCTCTCCCCTTTAGGGCACAGAGACCGTTGAACGGGACCGGCTTGAATCATGGACTTATCGCAGCTTCCTCCAGAACTGGCCAGAGCAGTGGAGCGCCACATGCACCAATCTCAGGTGGCGGCAGTGTGGCTAACAATCAAGCTCGAACTTGACAAGTCTCAATCAAGTTTGACTTCCCGTCAAGTCAAGTTCTCAAGTCAAGTTTAATAGCTGTCGTCAATCAATCAAGTTGCAAGAGTGTCAAGTTGTCAAGTACTTGATGTCAATAATTAAGAGGAGATGACTACCCTGGACCGGTGCGAAATTGGCCAATTACATTGCTTAGAATCGACGTACTTTGCCCATTGTGGGGCCGTTGTGCGGTTATGGAACGTAAAATAGCTTAGCGCATTGCCCCCACTGAGATTTTCACCCAGGCGAAGTGGAACCCTACTCCTGCTCCACCAAGCCGCTATCCACAACGCGTCGAATCGACGCGTTATGATGTCGCTACACGCGTTTTGGGGCCCAAGCCGGTCGTCAAGTACGCGAAGCTTATCTGTGACGTCTTCCTCGAGGCAATCTACCGATCTAAACGAGCCGATACCGTCAACCGAGCAAACGTCAGGCGTGGAGCAACCTCTCCATCGGTCTACCTGCCCTCCACATTCTCTGTCGTTCCCAATTGACTGGGGCGTGCTTCGGCGGCACGATGGCACGATTCTCAAGGGTATACAGTATCGCATACGGGACAAGAGGAACGTGGGCAGACGAGTGAAGGTCTCGTGGATCTATTCATATGGAGCAGAGCTGGAGCATAGTAATGACAAGTACTTCCTATGCGCCGATTGCCGTACCAAGAAGCGGTATACCAGTCAGTTATTCGCAGCAGAATCGACGACAGCCGCAATCCAGCATCTTTTAGAGTTCCACAAGATCAAATGGCCTTCGAATTCGACCACCGATGACGATGATATCGACGCCACCAACGCCGCAGAAGTTTTCCAGCTCGTCATGCCATTTAATGAGGATGAGTACAAGCAAAAGCTCATTGACTGGGCCATCAAGCTACGCCTTAGCTACCGAGAAGTCACGGACGAGTCGACCACTGATTTACTCACATACGGCAAGCCTCCGCTCGCGCGCCTGTTGCCAACGCATCACTCAACGCTCTCGCGGTGGGTGAAGGATTCGATGGCAGCACGCTTACCATTCATCATCGAATTTGTGCAGTCCGCACTCAGCACCATCAACCTCTCGATCGACGGATGGCGGGCTCACAATCGCAGAGAGTACATCGCTGTTTGCGGACAATTCGTCGATGGCCAAGGCCATCCTCGAACACTCCTCCTCGGCTTCCCACGACGTTATGGCGGTCACACTGGCGACGACCTCGCAGCACTGGTAAAGCCAGTAATTCTACAATACGGCATCGGCGAGAAGCTCGGCCCCTTCGTTATGGATAACGCTGATGACAACGACAAATGCCTCGAGGTGCTACAGCGTTCCTTTTCCTCGATCGATCCAGAAGCAGACCGTATTCGCTGTATCGGCCATATTATTAATCTCGTCGTTAAGGCTCTCTTATTTGGCGAAGGCGTCAGCGCGTGGGAGAAGAATCTTATTGAGGCTTCGGAGGAGCAGCGTGTAGCTCTCTGGACCCTCAAAGGCGTCATTGGCAGGCTGCATAACCTCGTTGTCTACATTAATCGAAACGACGCACGCCGTGAGCAGTTGAGAGCTCGCATGCGCGTCACGAAGACAAGCGACGGCATGCTGTTCGTCGGCGTGCTCCTCAGTGACGGTGGCATTCGATGGAACGCGACGTTCTACATGATCGAGCGTGCTCTTAAGTGTCGGCCTGCCATCGATCTTTACCAGGCGCAGTGGAAGCCTCCAGATAAAACGACAAGCACAAGAATGACTTCCTCACCGAGGCTGATTGGCACGAGCTTGAGCTCTTCTATAGGCTCCTGCAGCCCTTCGAGCGACTCACGAAGCGACTACAATGCCGTGCAGATGGCGAGGGCAACGAGGGCGGCCAAGGCTCGGTGTGGCAAGTACTTTACGCCATGGACTTCTTGCTCACGAAGCTTGAGAGCGTCAAAGAAGAGATACACGCAATGGATGCTGATAACAAGGACGAACTTCCGCACTATTACTCCGCAGGCGTGCTCGCTGCATGGTCGAAGATCAACACGTACTACGAGCTCACCGACCGATCACCGATCTACCGTATGGCCATCGCTCTCCACCCAGCCTACCAATTCGAATACTTCAGGGCGAAGTGGTGGAAGCGAGAGGATTGGATAAGGACAGCACAGAAGGAGCTAACTGCATATTACGATCGCTTCGCCGCAGTCACGGTGGCCACTGACCACGTCGACCAGGCCGAGACTTCTCCTTGTTCCTCGCCGACGATCGACGACGAATTCGATGCTTGGGGCCATACAACAGATCGACCACACCGTGGCAAGAGGAGGAAGGTGGAGACTGAGTGGGAGGTCTGGATAAAGCAGGTGCCGTCGAAGGACGACATGAACGTTAAGAATCCTCTCGCGTGGTGGGTGGACCGACGCCACGTTTGGCCCATTCTCAGCAAACTTGCCCTTAACATCTTCAGTACGCCGGCGATGAGCGCAGAGCCAGAGCGCGTATTCTCCGACGGCGGCGAGCTTATCACCGACAAGCGCAACGGCCTCGGCGATGACACAGTTGAAGCTGAGATGATACAGAAGAATTGGATTACTTCCAAGATTTTGCATGGGATTGCGACACCTCGAGGTCTATACAAATTACCGGATTAGGTATAGTACATCAAGTACTTGACAAGTTGTCAATCAAGCTCATTGACTGGTCAAGTCAAGCTTCAATCGAGTTGGACATACCTTCAATCAATCGAGTTCGATGGTCGAAATTGAACTCGATTGATTGTTAGCCACACTGGGTGGCGGACTCTGCATCACAGACAGCATTCCCATCTTCGGCGCAGGTTCCCCCTGTGGAGGAATCGGATGCAACGGAATCTCCATCAGATAGCGGCGAGGCTGAACCAAGACCTTCGCCGACGACGAACAGAAGAAAATCATGACACAAAAACGGCTAGATCAGCTCGCAGCGGCTGGAGCTGCGAAGAAAAGAAAGAGTCGCATGGTAGGCTCCAGCGGGGTGAGAATGTGGGGCAACAGGCTGAACCCACCACCTCCAACGTGGCCTTCAATGGAGCTCAGGGAACGCAAACCGAACTAGGAGAGATCCGGCAACAGCTGGATCAGCAGATCGACCATTCGCGGCGGCAAGGGGAGCAGATACAGCAGCTCCTGAGCGCCCTCTTAGAAAAATCGGGCGAACGTGGCTCACGACGACGGTCCAGGTCGCCAGAGTATAGCCCACCACCGCGGCAAAGGATTCGGGAACGCTCTCCCATTTACGAGCCCAAGAACAAAAACCAGGTACAGATTCAACAGTTCCAGGGCACTTCGGCAGCCGAGCTTTCTACCTTTGTCGGAACCCTTCAGTGGGTGTTTCGGGAGCACCCCCGCCACTACCAGGATGAGCAGAGGAGAATCAGGCTAGCAGCGGCCATCTCAGCCAGACATTGAGAAGGGATTTCCTAGACAATCTGCAACTCAAATTCGATGGAAGTGAAGAAAACATGACGTGGGGAGATATGGAGGACTGGCTCTGGAGCAATTGTCACACAGGGGATATCAGCCCTGTCAAGATCGTCGCTCCCTGGCTACTGCCTGGCAGGCAGTATACACTAGGCAAGCTGCTGCCTGCAGGCAGCAGCGCCACTCACTCTTACAACTGATGTATTTAAGGATGAATCATTCCCACTCATTAGATAGGAACAAGAGTTCTCCAGTCCCTGATCTATGTGCCAGCTTTGCTCATCCTCCGTGAAATAGCAATATCAACAATCCCCGAGGTCGCACCCGGAATGCATACACCAGCCTGACCAGGCTTAAGCAAAAGCCCGGCCAGTCATTCCGGGACTTCTTTCGGCAATATCGTGCGATTGAAAGCGAGTTCCCTCAAACTGTTCATGACTGGCTACGCATTGAGATGTTTTTGTTATGCTGTAACAAAGATATCAAGGATATCTTTCGATCACAAAACTACCCCAAATCGTGGAACGACTTGGTAGAAAAGGGCCATGAGTATGACGACGATTTCCATGACAAGGGTTACCAACCCAACCGTAGCGCCGGTGATCCGAGGTCGACAGAAGCGAATGGTGAAGAGGATGCATCGTCAAGGAAGGATAAGCCTGGCGCCTGTTTCAAATGCGGGAAGCTCGGTCATATACGACCAAAGTGCACCGAGCCTGATTGCAAACGATGCGGTGACGGCAGACACACTACGGCCCGTCACTCCGACCCGGTTACGGGTGCCAATGGGATACGAAGGATTCAACAAGAACCGGAGGATAAGGATTAGGAACCACACCGGCTCCTGTCTCAGAGCGGTGAGAACTGGATACCCTACCAGTTGCGACAGGATGGCCGGTGGTCCAAAACATGGTTGGCTTTGCTTGATCAAGGCAGCCACTACAACCTGATCTCTCCAAGGCTGCTCACTCAACGTGATTGGCAGCGAGTGGAACCAACGTTGGAGGAACCTGAAACGGCAGACCATAGCCGGATTGACACAAAAGGAACTATCAACGTCTTGCTCAAGGCAAGGGATAGCTGGGGAACCGAAGAAATTCTTCGGGTCTTCTGCTTCGTCTCATCTGTAGCTGACAAGGAAGGACTTTGGCTGGGAAAACCCTGGCTAAAACATATCAGTCTGTTGCTGGAGAGGGCAGATCACCTTACCTGGGCTTTCGCTGCGCCCCCGCAAAGGACATCGTTCGTCCGCGGCGCGAAACAAATCAGGCGTCTCGCAAAATCTCACTTTGGTATACCCCTTATCCACGAGAACAACAACGAAGCGCGTGACAGCCCCCTAGTGTGATCGACTCGTCTAGGGGGGCTAGACCGCTAGAGTGTAAATTGTTCGCCTGCTTGGCCCGAACTATACCGGCAAGTCTACGTAACATAGTTAGACCATGTCACGGGCTGTGCCCGGCTTGGTTACACATGCATTTTCACATACCCTCTGATCGGATGATACTCGACCTTCGAAAGTCCCTCTATCCACTTTTATGCCCACTTTTGCTCTCTCTTTCGCGACAGTCGTTGAGGGGAAGAGGTCGCCAGTGGTCGTCGCTCGGGGCAAACGTGTCGCTCAGGGCAAACGTGTCGCCTAGGGGAAAACGTGTCGTAGGGAAAACGTGTCGTGTCTGCGGGCACAGCTCTACCCCGTAAAGTGGGGACATCTCCGCCGCCTGGACCTGCTCTTTAAATCCGCGCCGCCTCTGCAGCAAGGCCTTCGGGCATTATTGGTCTATAAAAAGATAAAGCAGCAAGGGCGGAATATCGTTTGACAGATAGGACTCAGCCTGCGACAGATGAGTAGCCCGGAGGTTTCGGACTGCGTTTCCAGACTCACACGGACATCCCTAGCCTAGATGTGTCCTGTGTGAAGGTGGTCAATTGATGACAATAGTTTACACTATGTGAAGTTCCAGGCCAAGGTGTTCGGAGCCAAAAGAAGATTTACGGATGTAGGAATCCCAACTGCGTCGCATAGCCAACATTCACAGAACACGGTACAGTATGTACAGTACAGTAGCAGAGCAATCGCCCTGCCGGGGTTGAATGCTGTTAGACAAGGCAGCCAGCCACTTGCTCTCTTGCCAAACGCCAAATCTTGACCACCCACCCATTGCGTACCTAAGTCTTCAATATGGCTACACATATTTTCTAGTCCTGTTTTATGCGTTTGACTGTACCATGCCATGCATTGTCCGAATTCATCTTTCTCTTCGATGAATCGACGGAAACATTATCAGGCCTCAGGAGCTCAACCGCTCTTCCCCCATTTTCCTGTTGCCTCTGACCTCGGCTAGTGTCTCGAATGTGTACGGCAAGGTGGTCCTCGTGGCGTCGGTGATGGTCATCATCTTCACCCTCGGCGGCCCGCCCTCGTTCACGAACCCGAAGCAGTGGTCGCTGGTCTTCAGCAGCGTCTCGACGGCGGTGGTCTTCCCCGAGTCCTTGCCGTGCTTGGCGGCGTCGATCTCCCTCTGGTACAAGCTGGCGGTCATCTTCGTCAAGGCGGAGGCGCAGCTGCCGAACCCCATCCCCTCCGTGGCCAACACGGCCGGCACCGGCTGCGGGTCCATGGTCCTGACTCTGATGAACTTCTTGTCCCTGATCACGGTGGTGCCCATCATCATGGCGTCGCGCATCTGCACGTACGGCTCCCCGATCCCGTACTTGCTCATCATCGAGTTGACGATGCCGTCCATGGACCTCTCCACCCAGCTGTGCCAGTAGGTGTCCTCGAAGGTGGTCTTGCCCATCACGTTCCAGTTGCGCGGCTTCAACATCAGGAGGTCGTACATCTCCCCGCCCGGGTGGCTGATCATGTCCTCGAGGGGCATGGTGGTGTACATCGCCGGGTCGATGCTGGGGTCCCCGCCGGCCTCGTTGACGACCCTGACCAGGTTGGAGTAGATGCTCGTGCGGCCCTCCTTGACCCAGACCCTGTCCCAGGCCATCTCCATCTCCTTGATCGCGTCCCCGGACGCCATCTTGTACACCCAGGCCTCGTCGCCGTCGAAGTCGGTGTTGTTCATCTTGCAGACGTCGAGCGGCACCCTGGTGGAGAACTCGCCCTCGAGGGTCCTCCTGACCTTCATCGGCAAGGCGCTGTCGACCCCCTGCGACGGGCACCTCCCGTACGCCACCAGGTCCCCCTCCTTCATCCTGGTCATCTCAAACCTGCCGTCCTTGGTCATGAACAGAAACTTGCCCTTGTCGAAGAACTCGTTCGGCATGGCGATGTGGCCCAGCTGGTCGGACATCGGGTCGTTCGGGTTCGGCTTCATGGGGGACTCCACGCACCTCATGGTGTTGGTGGGCCTGGTAGAGTTGCACATCTTGCGCAGGATCCCCCTCTTGCCCTTGATTCTGGAGAAGCAGTACTCCATGACGTCCTCGGCGGTCTTGTCCCCGGCGCAGACGGCGGTGTTGATCATCCCGGCGTCGCTGTACCTCAGCTCGTCCCCGGTGGCGAACCCGAACGGGATCAGCCAGGCGGTGTCGTTCTGGTCCTTCATGTGGTGGCCCTTGCAGCCCTCGGTCTTGTGGTCGATGCAGCCGGTGATCGAGATCAGGTCCTCGGACTTGCACACGTACCTGTAGATGTTGTCGGTGTCCAGCATGGACCAGGTGCACGACACCACCATGGGCGCGGTGGTGATGGAGGAGCCGGGCTTGGCCACCCTCCTGATGGTGAACGGCCTGTCGTCGATGTTCTGGTTCATGATGCTGTTGATGGTGCTGTGCAGTTTTCGACTAGTACGTGGAGTCCTCGCGCAGCACCTCGTACGGCTCGTCGTACGGGTCGACCAGCTCGGCCTCGCGCTGCATGGGGTCCTCGACGGGGGAGTCCATCCTGGCGATCTTCCTCTTGCTCTTCTTGTCCTCCTTGCTGTTCGCGCTCTTGACGGTGGTCGTCCGCATGTCGTCGACCTCGGACGGGGACGGGCGCTTGGTCTCGGGCTCGAGCTCGGGCGTGGCCTCGGAGGTGGTCCCGGTGTTGTTCAGGACGGCGCTGGTGTCCATCCTCTTGATCCCGGTTATGCCCGTGGACCTGTCCTTCAACATGACGGCCTCCTTCATCAAGCCCATGTACACGTACTTCCTGGCCTCCTGGGTGGTCACCTCGTTCCTCAACATCCCCATCTTCGCGCACACGTAGACGATCTCGAACGCGCTCAGGGTTCCGCTCAACCTGCCGCTCGGGAGCACCGTCATGAGCATGTCGGCGAACACCCTCAAGTCGACGGCCGACACTATGGTGGTGAACGAGGTCATGGTCATGTTCTCGATCGTGTACTCGTAGTTGATGACCGTGTTGAGGTCGTACCTGAGCCACACCGGCTCCATGTTGGGGCCCAGGGCCAGGACCCGGTGCCCGTCCGAGCACACGAACTTGATCGTGCAGGTGTTGTTGCCCATGATGACCATCGCGTAGATGCGGGTGTGCTGCTAGGGACACGTGCTCCGTCTCCAGCACCGACGATGAGGATCGTGATGCAGTACATGTCGGTGTGGATCTGGCAGTTCCCCGTCACGCTCGGGATCGTGTCGATGTGGCTTTTGGGCGTGCTCGTCAGCATGGTCACCGGCGCCTACGTCGGCGACAGGCGCAGGACCTCGTTGCTCAGGCTGTCCGCGACCGCCTTGAACTGGGCGTACATGCCCATCCTCATGATGTTGGAGCTGGGCCAGATCTCCACCGCCTTCACCTGCAGGCCCACGGCGAAGATGGTGTACGCGTCCAGGTGCGCCGGGTTGCCCGCCTCGATGGCCATGGTCTCGAGCGCCAGCATCATGCAGAACGGCCCGGGGCCCAGGATCGACACCATGGTCTTGATGGTGTCCGAGTCCATGGACCTGACGCTCATCGTGCGGGCGCTCCTGAGCCTGTCGGTGTAGCCGGAGCTGTACCACTTCAGGTCCATGTCGCCGGTGTAGGTCATCAACATATCCCTGTCGCTGCACAGGAACAAGAGCGCAACCTCGACCGCCTCCGAGTTCATCACCAGCTCCATGAGCGAGGTCATCTTCGCGATCATCTCGTTGTACTTCATCGTATCCATGTGCCTGCCAGCCGCCACCAGGTACATGGGCTCGTTGGTGCAGATGGTCGTCATCTACCCGGGGATGACAGTCGGGTTTACGAACATAATCTGGTTTCTCATCACGTCGGCCTCCATGAGGTTCTTCTCGAACAGGGCGGTCTTCGTCTCCCTGCTCGTGTTGGTGTCCGTGACCATCTTCATCCTGGTGGAGATGTGGAGGATCGTGTACATGTCCAGGGTCCTGGAGCCGTTCCTGTTCACCCAGTCGAGCATGTACAGCATGACGGCCCTGAGCGTGTTCGGCCCCACCAACGAGACGAGGGTCTCGACGGTGATCGAGGTCATGGGTATGACCGAGAGGATCATCTCGCCCGCGGCAGGGGACTGGTTCCCCATCTTGTGCCACGTCAGGTGCTGGTCGTCGCGCCTGACCATCCTCACGGGGCCGTCCGCGCACATGAAGATGGTGGTGTCCATGGTGGTGTTCGGGTCTTGATCCTCTCGATGTGGATGTACCTGGTGCTGGGCTCAGTTGTGTTCATGTGGGTTTTCGGCTTGCTGTTCCGACCGCGACACCGGCGTCATGAGCCTGAGGTGTTCGTCTTGTGACGATGTCCATCACGAGGACAACGAGTCGAAGCCGTATGATGTCCGTGTTGATCTAGCACACGTGGCCCAGGAACCTGTTCTTGACCACGACCACATTCATGAACTTCCTGGTGTCGACCATCGCGACGTCCATGTTGACCGTCTTGCTGAGCTCGTCCAGCAGCTCAACCGTGTTGATGCACAGCATGATGCCTCTACTCTCCGGGCACATCTCGATCTTGGACTTCATCACGACCCCGCACTCGACGCAGGCGTTCTGCACGACCATGCACATGGTGAGGGTGGTGATGACGCCTCGTCTAGCCGATCGGGCCGGTGTGCATGGTCAACTGGGTGATGCCTGTCTCGTATGGCACCGACATCATGAGGAAGTCGGCGACGCTGTTGGAACACCTCCACGACCGTGCCTGGGCACATATTCGCGCACACGATGGACAACAGCCACATCTGCAAGATCTGCGGGGAGAGCAAGGACCCGACCAAGGCCAGGTTCGAGCACAGGAGGATAGGCTTGGACGAGCCCCCGGAGCCGGTCTTGTGCAAGTGCAGGGACCCGGACACCATCTTCAGCTCCATCATGGCCAGGGTCAGCTCAGTGACCTCGATCACCGAGACGGACAGCAGTATGACGATGGAGTCGTTGTCGTACCCCAGCCCCAACATGGTGATCATCGAGTCCGTCTCCCCGATTCCGGTCAAGGAGCTGGAGATCAGGCTGGACAAGGACCTGGCCGAGCTCATGTACATCAAGATGGACAGAGGCATGTTCGCGAGCGCGTCCAAGAGGAGGATCAGGGAGGTGGGCTGCACCTGGTGGACGGGCGTGGGGAAGGACGGGAACGCGAGGGTGAGGAAGAGGTCGAACGGCGAGATGGTCGTCAAGGTGCCCAAGATCAAGACCAGGATCGCGCCCGGGTACACGCTGGCCTACTCGGTCGAGCACGGGTTCAGCGGGATCATCAAGGACCCGACCTACATCGTCGACATGAAGGAGATCAGATACACGATCGACATGAAGCACCAGTACACCGACGAGTGGGTGAGGATCAACATGATCGCCAGGATGTACACCAACGACACCGGGGTCTCGTACGCGGCCGAGTTCGAGATCGAGGGCAGGGTGACGAACAACATCATCAGGAGGGTCATGGCCATGTCCGCCAGTATGGTCGGCCACCCCACCAGGATGCTGCGGCTCGCGCTGAGCGCGCCCTTAGCCCTGTCACCGAATCGCGCACCATTTCTGTCCGTTCTTTGACTATTTGAACAGGAAACCCAATAGGTGCGATAGGGTTTCGACAATTTCGAGGTGCCGCCTCTACCGACGGGTAACTATACTAACAACAGTCGGTGTGGATAGGCTAACTGAGGCTCAGTTGGGTCTTTGATCGGTGATCATGTTGTTCTTGTTATTCTTTTTCTATCTAGACCATGCGGTGAGGTTTGATAGGTTGTGTGTGTGTGTGCGGGTAATCGTTGTTCCCTGATGACGCACGTGATATCCTTCTGCGATGTGCGCTCTATCGTACAAATGATCAGACACTGGCAGCTCTTTTAAAGTCGAAGCAAACGCATCAGATAATAGGGGAAATAACCAAGGAAATCGTCAATCGTTAATCGCCTCTTCAATCGTCATATCTTCCTTCCTTTGAACCCAACCTTCAAGCCGGATCGTGATCTCGTTGTCGTTGACGAATCGGGTCAAGGCTCCGTTCGGAGATAGCTTCGTCATTGCATCAGCCGGGTTGTCCGCACCATTGATCCAACGGATGCTTGTGATGTCTCTCTGTTCGTACGCTTGCCTCAACGCCATGATATCGATCATCAGGCGTTTCTCCGTCGTAGTGCCAAGCTTCACGAGGCACTCGTATAGGCTATACGAATCCGTACACACCACGAGCGGGATTTGCGGCAATCCAAGGCGGTTTGTGATCTGGTTGATCGTCTCTGTGATCACATATGCCAAATCGAAGCCTGAAGCTAATCCATATATCTCAGAAGCCAAGACGCTGCGGGTGACTCTCTTGCACTTCGTCGAGCTCCAATGGATCAGGTTTCCGTGGATCGTGAATGACTCATCTGACTTAGTCTCGGTTGCAATGATTATAACGAATCCGATCTGAGAGCTTAAGTCCTTGTTGTTGGCGAATGATCCGTCTGTGAAGACGAAGACCTTTGCTGCTTCTAGACCTATTGGGACAAATCGAAGGCCTCTTTGTGGATTGTCGATCTGCCATTGGATCCGTTTATTCAACGCCTGAAAATCCTCCGCGGTTGGATCTTGTGATTGTGCCGCGATTGAATAATCGAAGCTAGCCTCTGGTTGACAAATTGAGGCTATATAGGCGCCACGGGCACGTTGTTCCACGTATCGTTGGGCCCGATCTTCCGTGGATAGATCGATAATTTTGAGGTTGTTGACCTGACCTTTCTGCATGACTAGAAGATAGCCCTTCTCTAGAGCAATGAGGCTGCCGTTGAAATCACAGGTATCGCCTTCTCGTAGGGTCTTCTTTGGCTTGGCTTGGAAGCATAGCTCGCGGTCTTCACGTTGCAGGAATGTTGTTGTGCCTACCAATAACGTATCATCAGTCTGAAGCGCGGCAACGCCGAAGGCATTAACCTGAAGTGCGGTATCCGCGTTGGTCTCTGCGGTCGTGACGTTGATCTCTGCGGTCGTTATCATTAAACATGGATCAAACGTTGACGGCTCCATCTGTAGCTTGATGCGGTGATGCTCATGATACGTATTGAACCAATGAGCGCCTGCTTCAGCGATTCCGTACAATGGCTTGACCACACGAAGGATGGTTCCCCTGGGTATCTCTCTTTAATTCGTGTGGCAAAGAGATGAGGATAGTGCGATTCAAAGTGGTCGATGCCTGCGTATAGGCCATCGTAATGTCTCGGATAGCAAGAGACATCTTCAAAGAGCAAAGGAAAGGGAAAGAGCGAGTACTACCCGCTGGGCAGGACGGGAGATTGTTGGAGCCTGCGTGAGGATCTCACGCTTCTCGTCGTCACCATATCCTTGTACCACAAGACGAGACTTCTCGTACGGTGTAGCAGTGTTCTTGCCTTTGACCTCCCGGACCATTCGTGACTTGAATAGCCTGTGTTTTCCATGCTTATTCATATCGTATCGTTCGGGCACGATGACGCCTGCGCCTAGCAGGTTCGTGATTTCGAGGTCATCAGAGGCTTCAAACGGTCGTCCGGCGGTAGTGATTTTCTTCTCTGCACGTAACTTTACGGCAAGGTCGAGGGCGGCGCACTCCTTATGCGATAGAAACATATTAGCGGGTGAAAATTGAGATCGAGGTAACGAAAAGGGCTAAGACTAAGGAAATAACTAGAAGGAACGAAGGTATCGTATTGCTGCTGATCTCGAGGACTTTTCTTGGTCTGCCGCGTCTGCGTGGTCTTTCCGGCTCGGGATATTCGAATGGCTTAGGCACTTCGGTCTCAACGTTGATGCTATCAGCCTGATTGTCAGCAGTCTGATTGTCAGCGTGTGGCTGCTGTAGAACATCGTGACTTCGTTGCTGCTGCGAATCCGGGTGGCGAAAGTAGGGCTGGACAGCCGTGCTGCGAAATTTAGCTGGCCCGTTGTCTAGCTCAACTGTGACTTCTGTGTCTGTCACAGCTAGGACCTTGTATGGGCCTTTCCATCCTCCTTTCTCACGAAATACTCGAACTTCACTACCAAGCGGCAATGATAGTGGCATCTTCTCAATCGAGTTGGGCCCATTACGGGCATTGAGGGCGTCATTGACCTTCCTTTTAGCTACAAGCTTGCGTAGCTCTGCCATAGCTTTCGTCACGGCTTTCGCACGTGTGATCGCGGAAGCAGAAGGCGGCGAATCCATCGTTATCCGAGGGTAGGCACCAAAGACTAGTAGTGTGGGCACTAGACCGTCAGGTCCGGCGGTATCATTGACGGATTTGAAGGCCATTTGAAGCAACGACTCAGCTGATGCTGTTTTTAGCTCGGCTTTCAAGATCTCGTATGCCCTTCGAATCGGGGCGTGATATCTCTCCACCTTGCCAATTGACCAGTGGGCTTCGACGGGCGCGGTGACAGGTTATTCCTAGCAGCTTCGCTTCTGCTTGGAACTCAGAGGAGGCAAAATTCGTACCAGCGTCGTGCGTGATAACATCTGGAGGGCCTAGGTATGTGTCAATCCAACACAATTTGAGTGCTTCCCACGTCTCTTTAGCCGATATATTCTGAAGAAATCGTCCGGCTTGGAAAGAGGTTGCTAGGTCAACGGCATGAAGGACTGGCCGGCTGTCAAGATGCATTACATCGACGATCAATTCGTAGTTGAAATCGCAGTTATCCTTTAACGTGAATTTGAACCTGCGCGGTGCGTCTGCCTTGATCTGGCAAAATGACAGAATTTTCGGATCATCGCGATTGCTTCGAATTCAACATCATGCCCAGCGCTTGTCAGTAGCTTATGTAGCTTGTGTACTGACGGGTGGCCAAAGCGAGTGTGTAGGCGCCGAAGCTCGGCTTCGGATAGGAAGGCAATAGCGGCTTCATCCTTCCGTAGGAAGAACCACGGATGACCCCATTTGCGTACGATCGGAATCCTCTTATCGCCGCAGATCAATTCGTTCGTGACGTTGTTGAGATAGGCACCGAGACGGTCCATATCCTTGAGGCATAGCAAGAAGGGCGTTGACATATTGATAACGTGGAAAACGACTTCTCCAATCGGGGTGATGACTGTTGTGATCCCGATCGTGTTCGTCGGCTCGTTTCCACCGAATCTGACCGTTGCGATCGTCGCATTCTTCCGTAGCTGGACCGTCGGCATCTCTCGTTGGAGCGCGCGGAATTGGTCGATCCCAGCTGTAGATATCTTCGCTGCACCCGTGTCAGGCAGGATCCCTTGGAAAGAGGTCCGGTTGTAGCGATCGAGCAAGAAATGCTGTGATTCCTCGCATATCGATTCTCCTCGACGGTGTGAATGCGGTGGCGAAAAGCTCTATTAGATAGGAAGGCAGCTGCAAAGAAGCTATCGCTTTGATCGTCAGAGTCATCGTCAGCAGAATCAGAGGTCTGATCTTCATCTGGGTCCCCTTCGTAATCGGCAAGGAACGTAGTAAATGGACGGGAAGATGACTTCTGGCCGTGAAATCCTCGTTCTCGAAGATATCTTTCCTTGGCCCTCTTTCTCTCGTCATCCGGATGCTTCGTTGAAAAACAGCCTTCTTTGCCGCAGACGTAGCAGCGCTTCGTCCACTTCTTCCTTTTGTCAGCGGGGTGCTGATAGCGGCGGTCAGTAAAGAATTGGTCTTGATCTTGAAGATATTGACTGGGCTGTCCGGGCTGTCTTTGGCTGACGGTTGTGAGTGACGATCTTAGCTGTGAAGATAGTCCCTCGAAGGTCTTAGCCGGCACGAAGAGGGCGAATTCTAATTCAGGCACGCCACGGCATGCTCGAATTGTCGTTGAAATTAGCTGGTCTTCGCCGCCATAGCTATTCCCAAGAGCTCTCTGGCATAGCTGCAATTTGTCAAGAAGAGCCTGGAGGATTTCACAGAGAGGCTTCTCGGAGATTCCTTCCGAAGCTGTGTGAAATTGATCGAGGTCCAGTCAGTGTGATACTGTTGCCTATTGACTTCCGTATCAAAGTGCTGCTTCATCTTCTGATACATCTCCGCGAACGTTGAATCGCGGCTGACTTGATGCACGAAGAAGTTCTTTGCTCTCTTCGTGAGGATATTTGAGAGCAAAGCGTGGAATTGTGACGGTTTGATGCTAGCTGTGAGGCAGGCATCGAGAAAGTAACGGATCTTATCATCTAGGATATCGTAGGCGTCACCTGAATAGTTGAGCTTTCGATCCCTTAGAAAACTGGTTGGCGATGGCAGGATCGAGGTCTTCATTGGGGACCTGGACTGGGGCACGGTCCGGTAAGCTTCGCGGTCGATAGCTGGTCTGATCATAAGTTCCTGCTGCTGTTGATTCGATCGTGACAGGGGTAGGGATTGGTCATTGGGGGGGTCTTGCGGGAGGTTTAGATCGGGAGTGACTGGTGCTGGGGTTGGTGCTGGGGTTGGTGCTGGGGTTGTTGCTAGCGATGGCGATCGTCTGAGGAGTTCTTGTTGGCGTCGGTAGGCGGCCGTTTTCTCGTATAAGATGGCATCACGAAGATCGTCTTCATCCCACTCAGGAAGTCGGTCACGGTTCTTCAGATTTACTAGGAATGCCGTGATCTTTGCGTTCAGCTTTCCTGTATAGATTCCTCTGAACCTTAGGGTATTCCGTAGGACCTTACGGACCCTTGGATCGACCTTCTTGAAGTCGTCTTCCTCCCAATCCTCAAAGTCTTCTTGGAATGATCCAAGCAGCTCGAGACCTTGACATGTTGAGGAGACTTTATAATCAACGATGCGGGCGAGAACGAAGGTATTATAGTGGATCTCATCGGAAGTCTCGTTGACTGGGGTGTTGAAGAGGTCCATGTTGAAGATTGTGGCGAGGCCACGGTTGAATTCAGCAATATCGAGGAATTCGTTGATGTCGAGCGTCGGTGCGTTCGCGTTCGCGCTGGTGCCGCTTGCGCTGCTGCTCATGATGTCGGATGGGGCTTGACAGGAAAATCTGCGAGGGAATAGGGCAAGAAGGTGTCAAGAGAGGTCAAATTGATCGAGAGTGATCAATGAAGCTGATAATCAAGCGGGATACCAGAGATTTGTATGTGCGATAGGGCACGCCTAAGAGGTCAGCGGCTGAGGCAAACAACTAGGCACGGTTGACTGAATAGAGTGGGCGCCGGTCGGGTCTTCGTAGTCAGTCTCGCGTTCTAGCAATCTTAACTTCGCAGGGCAATCTGATGCAGATGATGCTTAGAAAAGACTCTCTTCTATCTTGCTGCTCTGAGGTTACCAGCCAGGTAACAACTGATCAGTGTGGATAGGCTAACTGAGGCTCAGTTGGGTCTTTGATCGGTGATCATGTTGTTCTTGTTATTCTTTTTCTATCTAGACCATGCGGTGAGGTTTGATAGGTTGTGTGTGTGTGTGCGGGTAATCGTTGTTCCCTGATGACGCACGTGATATCCTTCTGCGATGTGCGCTCTATCGTACAAATGATCAGACAGTCGGCTTGAATGTAGGTGGATCAACGGCCCAATCCAGCGTGTGCGACGGTGTAGGAAAGAAGAGAATGTGCAAGAGGCTATAACAGACCACCTGGACCACTGGTAGGAGAGCACAACTACGGGAGACCGTCGTCCACTGGGACTAAGTCAGGAAAGAGACCCCCCCAGGGCCGCCTCCAGGTAGTTGCGGAGCTCCAGACACAATGCGGTGCTGCGCTCGATACCCCATTCTTCAACTTCACCGACTCAATGCTCCACTTCCATTGCTGGGTGCAACATGGTCCTACATGAAGTATAGTTATTTGCCACGTTAAGGGCTGTTGTCTTAACCTCCCGGGTCCTTCTCTCCACCACAAGCCGGTATAAGGAAGAGGGCCATTTTCTATATAGGTACGATACCCCGTCGTTCTATATAGGCGTATTCTGCGTGGCTCATCGCCTCGAGCCTGTCGAAAGTGATGCCAAGTCGACGTCGCTCTCAACTTCCTCCTCTTGACTGCTGCCGGAGGGGAATGCTCCGATTCTGAAGGTATACTGGCAGATTGCGAGACACTATCGGAAGGCAAAATTGATGATGAAGGGTTCGATGCGATGTCAACCTCCGGCACACGGGATACGCAGTCTTCCATTGCCAAAGCCGAGGTATCGAGGGGCGTGCACTTCAATCAGCAAAATGGAGGGCATGAAGAATCTTCAACGAAAGAATGCTACCATTCTGTGCCGAGCCCCTTTCCACAGCGCTACGGCTGACGAGTGGGAAAAGTAAGTACGCCTAAGACAGGCAATCAGAGCATAATAGGGGCATTGTTGGATCCACCTGTGCACTAGGCACCGATCGCGCACGTATAACTAATCGACCGCGCTAGTCACGTGCGAGTAAGAGGTGGGGCACAGGGAGGAAGGTCTTTGCACACAGTTTAGGGACACGTTTCCCTAGTTACACAAGATATAACCAATTGAACCAGTTCGAATAACCTCACTGCAGTGAAGAGCCTGTCCACACTGATCAGTGTCGCCCGGCAAAGGTGACACAGAACAGCAAGACGGAAGAGAGCTAACCTATCGTCACGCTCTGCAAAGCGAGCTCCTGACGGTAGGATAGTTGCTACAACGCGCGGATTGCTACGAAGACTCTGCATCAGAGCCCACTCTAGTTATCCAACCGTGCCTAAGCTTTGCTGTCATCAGCGACCCTTAGGCGTGCCCTATCGCACATTGATAACCTCATTGACACCCTGTGCCCTGTTTCTCAGCACACAGCCTGTCAATATGTCTGACAATTCATCTGCCGCACTAGCCCCGGCAACAGCCCAGGATACCCCGGCCAACGTGTCTCTCGAAGACAGGCAACTCGTTGAACGGAACCTGACGATCGTGGAGCTCCCTTCACTCCCGATCAGGCATTTCGACGCGGATTTCCTCAACGAACCTATCACCCAGAGCTCCTCCTTGTCCACCGCAACAGCTTCTTCTTAGGCTGTGTGGCAACATACACGGTGGATAAACGTAACCACGGAATTGCCCTGCTTGGGGATCTGTATAACGACTTCACGGGATGGAGCTATGATGACTTCGAACTAATCAACCCACGCCTTAGATCAAGACTCCGGACGCTTCTCAGAATTAGGGGGATCTATATGGGCAAGGCCAACTCTAGCATCTCTCGAGCTTTATGTGGCCTTCTAACAAGTAACGAACTTCCTGAATGGGATGAGAACGAGTTGCTTGGTCAAGAGGTTGCTGAAAACACCGTGGCATATAAGGTGAAACAGAAGCTGCTCCAAGGAACTGTTAAAGCGGCTATATCGTCACCGGCACCGGTAGTAATCCAGCAGCCAACTATTACCCGACCGGCGGAACCGGAATCCCCTCAGATCATTGAGACCCATCAACCCGCTCAGCAAGAGCCTCAGCATCAATGGCGCGAATCCCTCGGTATCAGCAGACGCTCCCGTACGGACTACCAACTTCCGAGATGCATACACGAGCATTCCACCTGTTCGATTCGAGAACGAGGAAGTTGAGGCCGATCTCACGATTAGATTCATTAAGATATGGGACAAGAAACTAGCCTATACCGGCGAACCATACGATATCTTCGATGACAAGATCCGGAAATTCATGAGCGTGTGCCGTCAAGCAAACATTCCTCCGTCTAAATTCCATGGTGTTTTCCTTCGATTCTGGCCAAGGAAGCTCAGTCCTTCTTTCTACACGAAATCAGCACTGATTTAACCTTCGCTGAGATGTATCAGAAGATGAAAGAGCACTTTGACACCGAAATCAACCAGAAGATGTATCATACCCACTGGAGCACCCTCACCTTCAGCCGACTTCGGGCTGAGATGCCCGGTAAGTCATCTGACGAGGTCCTCCAGGCCCTTCTTACGAAATTGCGGCTCTGTAGGAGAGCACTCGGGGATAAGTCTGGCGGCGAAGGTGGCCTGATCGATGCAACGCTCAGGGCGTGCCGTGGTGTGCCTGAATTCCGACTCGCGATATACTCTCCGCACCTACATTTGAGGGATTGGCATCACAGCTTCGATCATCGCTATCTGCCATGCAAGATGAACGATCTGAACAACCCAGTGGCCAATATCCCCAAGACCTGGATAGAGGACACGATCAGCACTTCGTGGATCGCAAATTTCAGCGAAATTCCGGCGGAACAAGAGGTCAATCACAAAGGCGTCAGCCAAATTGGAAGA